TACCCAAAGTAAAGTAACAATCTTATAAATTACTGGTACGTGTTATATATATAATAAAAGTACGTGGAATAAATTATTACTAATTTTTACAGTAATCTTTGTATCCATAAACAGCAAGACCAAGTAACGGGCGTCATTATAGATTTTGATTAAATATGGCAATATATAGGGCTCTGATTCGGACAAATGAACGGCATTAAGACAGAGAACCACTTAATTTGAGCAAATTATTTTTATCTCGATTTACTCTAAATAAGAGTTTTATGAGTAAAGAAATAAAAATATATGGTTATTAACGTAAATATCTTTTTCAGAAATACCTTACAGTTCACTGGAAAACAGTATATCAAACTGAATAAAATTACATATATATATTTGAATAATAAACTGCTAATTTTCTTTTTAGAAAATTGATTGGCTCCTTTCCTGCAATAATTTTTTTGACGTAACTGCAGTACATGCATTCTGTAAACTGTATAATCTATCACATTAACTTGTTTGAGCTAAGACAATACTTTTATATTTCATTAGTCTCAACGACCTTGATAGAGGTCATCAGAGTAAATTAAGACTTAAACAAAATTTCAAATTTTTGAAAAACATGCTAGGGCATATACAGAAAACAGGCGCGTAGCTAGCCTATAAAGAATGTGGATTCAAAATAATCTAGGGGGGTCAGGGGGCATGCCCCCCCCCCCCCCTGAAAATTGTGAAATAAATGGTGCAATTTGGTGCGTTTTGGGGCCTCCGGAGAGCTTTCTTGACCAACGAAAATCCATAAATACGGCGCGTGCAAACTTCCGACTTTGAAGAGCTGCAAAGGCCGACAACTTTTCAAAAAAAATACTACGGTATGGTGTACGATTTAGGCTATATGATTTATAAAGTATTCAGTGTGGTAATTATCAGATCTGGCGAACGCGGCTGAATTTCAAACCACATTTTTTTTATTAAAAAATTATTTTTTTTGGTCAAAATAATGTGGATTCAGCTGCGTACTCGCGTATAGGCAGCTACGCGCCTGGAAAATAAAACCTTACAGTGAAATTAAGGAGCGAGCATTTCTCTCTTTCTCTTCACACATAGCGTAAATCAGCTTGTCCGCTTCCTTTTTAAGACAAGTCTTCCGATTAAATATATAAATAACAAATATTTTTTATCTTTAAAAGTTCCCTCTTTTTAGTCAGACAGCTGGAGATCTACACTGAATAATCTAATCTCAACAATTTTATCCAAGAAAAGATTGCAAATAGGTCAATTAAAACAAGTGATGACCCTTATAACAAGAAATTAAAAGCGACAGTGAAGTTACAATAATTGATTTAATGTGACAAAATTCATATAAAAAGGGCAATCCCTTGGAAGCATTAATCACAACAAATGAAATGAGAATTGCAGACTCGGTTTGATTGATTCTGTTAATGAGTGATAACGGTAAAGTTCAACATTCCTTACGCCCCCCCCCCCCCCAGCACTAGCTTGGGCTGTATTCCATTTTCAACACGTAACGTGCTGGATTGGAAGCAATGATCCCCAAGGACAGAAAAATATATCTCTGAAGTGAAGTATGGGGTAACTTTTTACAGCTGCCACACGGCATCTGACTCAAGCTTAGCATCAATGAGAAAATAAAGAAGTCATTTTGTCGCTCATCTGACTGAAGTGTCCACTGGTTACTTTGGAAAGTCAATGGTTGCTATGAAAGTCACTTGTTACCAGAGAGTCAGTTATTGCTAAGGAAGTCAAGCTTAGCATCACTGGTAAAATAAAACAAGAGGGCCATGAAATTCCCTTTGTCGCTTACCTGGCTTAAGTGTTCACTGGTTGATATCTGAAGTCAGTGGTTACTATGATATTCAGTGATTGCTATGGACGTCACTGGTTGCTATGGAAAGTCAATGAATACTATGTAAAGTCAATAATTGCTATGGAAGTCACTGGTTGCTATGGAAAGTCAAGGGTTGCTATTGAAAGTCAACGGCTGTGATGGAAAGTCAGTAGTTGCTAGGGAAAGTCAATGGTTTCTATAATGAGTTGCTGGTTGCTATGGAAGTCATTGGTTTCTTTGGGAAGTCAGTTATTGCTATAGAAGCCACTGGTTGCTATATAAAGTCAATGATTGCTTTGGAAGTAACTGATTGCTTCGGAAATTACTGGGTGCTATTGAAAAGTCAGTTATTGCCATGGATATCACTGGTTGCTATTAAAGTTACTGGTTGCTATGGAAAGTCAATTGTCGCTATGAAATTTCGCTGGTTTGTTTGTTTCTTTGGTTTAAGGGTGCGCCAACACAATTTAGGTCACGGTGCGTCGAAACAGGAACACTTATTTTGACTAACCTCGGATGTTACAAGCGTACAACAACACCAGGGGTCAAACGACTTCGCCTGCTGAAGCTAAGAGATGCATAGAGATGCAGTATTTCAATTTACTATCAAGCAGGAAAAAATGGTGGCTATTTTGTTGCCTTAACTCTTAAAACCAGCCTCTAAGCCTCAAGTAGGATGCAAAGTCAGTGTCAGTGGTCACTATGAAAGCCCTAGGTTGTTATGGCACTGGTTGCTATGTAAGTCCCTGGTTACTATGAATAGCCAATGATGGTTATAGAAGTCAATGGTTGCTACGGAAAATCAATGGTTGCAAAATGAAAGTCATAAGGAAAATACATGATCCCCCATTATAGAAGGAGCCAATTGAGCCTCACGACTTTAATTTGAATAAACTTGGCTGAGGTCAACTAGATCATGTTTCATGCCAAATTACTCAGTTTTAGTCTCATTAGTTTTAGAGAAGAAGTTTTTACTAAATACATATAAGGAAGCCAGTCTCCCCGAGGTGGGGCCAATTTAGACCCCCGCGGCTATGGTTTGAACACACTTGGTAGAGGTCAACTAGACAATATTTCATTCCAAATATCTAGGTATTTGCTTTCATGGATATTAATTATGGTTTATCAAATGAATTTATATATAAGAACAAGAAGCGCCGCGATGCGACCAAGTTTTGATGTGACAGCAATCAATAGATCAAAGTGCACTGAAGTTATTGAGTAGAAGCTGAAAATTCTATTGTAAGCAAATGAACTTGACCTTGCTCCCAGATATCAAAGTGGCAATCCAAAGCTGCCACACAGCAAGTTTGGTGTCAAAAGGTCAAAGCAAACTCAAGTTATTACGTGAAAACTGAACACATAAACCTTGATTACAGACACCTGGGTAGCAGTCCAAAGCTGCCTCTTGATATCAGCTACCCATTCATCAAGTTTGGTGTCAATAGGCCAAAGCAAATTCAAGTTATTGAGCAGAAACTGTTTTTCTATTTTTAGTATCAGAGACCTTGACCTTGACCACTGACACCTGGGTAGCAATCCCAAGCTGCCTCTTGATATAACCTACCCATACACCAAGTTTGGTGTCAATAGGCCAAAGCAAACTCAAGTTATTGAGCTGAAACTGAATTTCTATTTTTAGTATCAGTGACCTTGACCTTGATGACAGACACCTGGGTAGCAATCCCAAGCTGCCTCTTGATATAAGCTATCCATACACCAAGTTTGGTGTCAATAGGTCAAAGCAATCTCAAGTTATTGAGCTGAAACTGAATCTTTTTTAGTAACAGTGACCTTGACCTTGATCACAGACACCTGGGTAGCAATCCCAAACTGCCTCTTGATATAACCTACCCATAAACCAAGTTTGGTGTCAATAGGCCAAAGCAGACTCAAGTTATTGAACGGAAACTGAATTTCTATTTTTAGTAACAGTGAAATTGACCTTGATCACAGACACCTGGGTAGCAATCTTAAGCTGCCTCTTGATATAAACAACTTACACACCAAGTTTGGTGTCAATAGGCTTAGGTTATTGAGCGGAAACCAAAAGTTGACGCCCGCCCGCCAGCCGATTTCGGCATCACAATAACCCAGTTTTTGTTGAAAACCTGGTTAAAAATCCATGAACCTTCGGTGTTGAGCCAATTTAGACTCAAGGCTATACATTGTACAAACTTGGTAGAGGTCCTATAGCCTATGTTTCATGCCAAATACCTAAGCTTTAGCCTCAATGGTTTAAAAGAAGAAGAAATTTTATGTTTTTAATATAAACATATAAGGAAGACCCTAGGGAGGAGCTTATTTTGACGAAAGGGTTATAATTTTAATACTTTTGTAGAGGTATACTGGACATTGTTTCATGCTTAAGGTGATGCTACACAGCAAATTTCTAAGAGAGACTAGGGCTTGCACTTAAATATTTTAATTTTTAAAATCTATTTTTAGCCCTTCTGACCCGGATGTTCAATAGAACAGAATCATTTGAACAATTTTAGTAGAGCCTCATGCTAGGATCAAATTTGATCTAGTGGTTTCAGAGGATAAGTCCTTTGAAAAAAGTTCTTTGCAGGACATATTTTAAGCTCAGGTGAGCTAAAAATAAAGAACAAACCAATGCAGAAAATATTTATTTGCTACAAAACTATATAGAAAAGCTGTTATTACAAGTAAACCAAACTTTAAGAGTTTTCTTTCGGTTGCCATAGCAACCAGAGTTCTGCTAGGAATTAAATTCTTTGAACAATTTTTAAAGTTGACAACCAAAGGAACATTCCTGTGAAGTTTGGATGAAAATGGCTAAGTGGTTTATGAGATGTTGTTTAAAGAAAAGTTTACGGACAGATGACGGACAGAAGGACACCGGACGAAAAGCGATCACAAAAGCTCACCATGTCACTTTGTGACAGGTGAGCTAAAAATGCAGACGACAAAATTTTGTCATATGAATTGCGAGTGCAATTATTTGGTAATGCTGTCGAACTAGTATCTCATTATCTGTTTTATTATCATACCTTTTATCATTAGCCAGAGATTACTCATGATTAGTTATGTAAACTGATTATCATCAGCATAATCATCATCATTATAATACATATGATTCATCCTCATTACATGTCATAATATTAAATGTCATAATCAGGTGAGCAAAAAAAAATAAAGAACACAGCAATGCAGAAAATATTTATTTGCTACAAAACAATATAGTAAAGCTGTTGTTACATGAAAACAAAATTGACTAGAAAATATATGAACAAACGTTGCATGCTATTGCAGTAGATATTATTGCATGTAAGTTCATGTACCAAAACAAATTTTTATCCATTCCTGAAAATTATTATTCGTTGTTTACTAAAATGTACTTAGAGTACTTATCCCATAAAAAACATGATGAATATTATTTTTTCTTTACAGAGCTTCAATCTTAAAACAGCAGGATAATACTATTTTCACATGCTACCATTTCTTTCTTCCTAAACTGATTAGTTGTTTAGGTTACACCCAAACTTAGAGAACAGGAATCGAGAATATTACAAATAAACTCAAGTAGTAGACAAAGTATTGGACAAAAGAGCTATTAAATTAAATGGTATTTCCAAACATAGACTAAAAACAGTGTTGTCTAAATTGAATCAAACATTGTGTTGCCTTAATTGAATCTAACATTGTATTGTCACAAACTCTCAAATTAACCGACCATTGATTTAAAAACTGTGTTGTGTTAATTGAATCAAACACTGTGTTGTCTCAATTAAATCAAACACTGTGATGTCACAATTGAATCAAACACTGTGATGTCTCAATTAAATCAAAAACTGTATTATCATAATTGAATCAGACACTGTGCTGTTTTAATTGAACCAAACACTGTGTTGTCTCAATTAAATCTGACACTGTGTTGTCTCAATTGAATCAAACACTGTGATGTCTCAATTAAATCAAACACTGTGTTGTCTCAATTAAATCAGACACTGTGTTGTCTCAATTGAATAAAACACTGTGATGTCTTAATTAAATCAAACACTGTGTTGTCTCAATTAAATCAGACACTGTGTTGTCTCACTTAAATCAGACACTGTGTTGTCAATTAAATCAAACATTGTGTTGTCTCAATTAAATCTGACACTGTGTTGGCAATTAAATCAGACACTGTGTTGTCTTAATTGAACCAAACACTGTGTTGTCTTAATTGAATCAAACACTGTGTTGTCTTAATTGAATCAAACACTGTGATGTCTCAATTGAATCAAACACTGTGTTATCTCAATTAAATCAAACGTGATGTCTCAATTGAATCAAACACTGTGTTATCTCAATTAAATCAAACACTGTGATGTCTTAATTGAATCAAACACTGTGTTGTCTTAATTGAATCAAACACTGTGATGTCTCAATTGAATCAAAAACTGTGGTGACTCATATGAATCAAACACTGTGTTGTCTCAATTAAACCAGACACTGTGTTGTTTTAATTAAATCAAACACAGTGTTGTCTTAATTGAATCAAACACTGTATTCTCTCAATCAAAAACCAGAAACAGTGCTGTCTTAATTAAACCAAACATTAGCCTGTGTCAATTAACTTAAACGATCAAGTTTGTTTTGTTTTGAATGATAACAAAATTCATATATAATGTTGAGCATAACGATTGTCTGCTGTACATGGACGGACATTGTGACATGATATGCCTGCTATTATGAACATATATGTCATTATTAAATCAACTGATAAGAGAATTAGAATGTTCACAACGACAACAAAAACTTTCCACCATATAAAAGATATACAACAGTGCAACAGTATCATAATTATATAAAATGCATCTAAAGGAAAGTAACTCAAAAAAGTTTATTAAAATCTGGTATTCCAGAATTATTTCCCTGTAATGAAAAAAGATCATGTTATCTACAGCATTTAAGAACAAGCCTTGTCTAACATTGGAAACATTGACATTTTTGCCTCAATATAAACAAGTCACCATGCAAAGATAGTTCACAACATGCATTAAGGAGGTTACAAAATTGAAAGTATAAGGTGTATAAAATACTAAAAAAAATATAAAATATTTTATTTTAAATATCAGCAGTATAAATGTTTGGCACTTTTAGTTTAAATATGATTTATCTATTATATATTACAGTTAATTGTGTAAAAAGCCTGTATTAAGTTTATTGGAACCTTTCTTGAGAGTCCTTTCTGGAACTGACCAGTTCCGGTGTCACATGCAGAAACATGGTTATGACGCAAGCAAGACTCAAGCCTACAAACCCTGGGTTGACAGACAGACCTCTAAACCAATAATCCACCACTTAACTTTTTGCACAGCAATTCCATTTATCATTCAACATATAAAAAGGTTTAATCACAATCATAATATTCAAAATTTTGTGAAAAAAAATGTGGCATGACCGATTCTAGCCATGCAAGACAAAAATAATTTGATACAAAATATAGGTTTGATATGAACATTTTACAAAGTACCTGAAATATAATAGGCATGGAATTGTATAAATTGGTTTTACTAATTGCATAGATGTCTGATACATGTAATATGATATGCAAAATATATACATGATAACAAATAGGTATAATCCTTTCTTCTACTACTATCTTTTTATCTTTTGACTGGGTTTTACGTTGCACCAAAACAGTATAGACTAAAGGCCGGCTTTCCAGCTTTATTGGTGGAGGAAGACCTCAACTGCCTCTCTGTGCATTATTTCAGGCAAAAACGGACACCCAAGTAGAACCACTGATGTTTTGTAAGCTAGCTGGATAGCTTTCTCACATGAAAGACTCCGAGGCCACTTGCCAGGCTCAAACCTTCATCGGTGAGAGGCAAGTGGTTTGAAGACAACAACCTTATCTACTGCTTACATTATTCATTAAAATCATGTTTTATATTGATTATGTCATAATCCTGGGGCACAATATAAAGGAACAAGCAACTGCAACGACTCAATAAAACAGTCTTATGCTGGCATTCAATTTAAAGTATATTGGTTGATAAGCAAAGTGTTTAAATGGTTTTATTATAAAATGGTTAGATTGATAGATTTTCATAACATCATATTAAGACATTTTAAATACAAAATGGCTGTTAAAATCTTAAGCCAGTAGACTTATATTTCTCTTGCATACCAAGTTTACTATGGACAAAAAAGACAATCAACAGGAAATAATGGCGACACACTGGACGAAAAGATAAATTGCTGTTTATCTCCAGTAATGTTGCTTGTCCCGTTGTATAAGTCCCAACATAATCCCCCGAGTCAGCGAGGAAACTGTTTTCAGAAATAAGTAATTAATCAGATCTTGACAGTAAAAACATAAAAAGGGCATCAAAGAAATAATTAATCTAAATACTGTAAAATCATTATCATTCGTGGGGCACAAATTTTTCGTGGTTTTCGTGTGTTGGTCAATCTACGAATTTAAGATCCGACGAAATTTTATCCCAACAAATACTTCTTGCCATGTCTCTATTCTATATATTACAAACATGCATTGGCGCTTTTCCAACGATTTTATGTAATGAATGCCCAGAGGTAATGATTAAATTTATTCACAATTGCTGTGAGACACGTAAAGATATGTATATACAGTAAGTAAAATGCACAGCGATTAATGTAAGATTACTTTGCATTAGGTTATTTATTTTATTTTTTTTACAAAAAATTGAAAATCCGCAAATTTAAGAACCCACGAAAATGCGGGTTTTGATAAAACCACGAAATTTCATGCCAACGAATATAAGTGAATTCGCAGTAAGTGTTTTTACACTAGCAGCCAATACATCTTTAGAATGTACATGAACATATCAATATTTATAATAAACTATGTTTTGTGAAAATGACTTATATAAGGAAAGATCTGAAACACAATTTGCATATTTAGTGTGTCGATATGGTGGTAACTTTTCAAAAATTAAAAAAAAAGAACATTCTAAAATGTATGTCTATATAGGTAACATGTTAATTCTATATGTTTTTTTCTAATTCCTTTTGTCTTTTATTTCTAATTTCTTTTCACTACAATTTTTTTCCCATTGCATTCTATTCAATTCATTCTAAACTTCACTACAACATTTTGTTTTGAAATGAAATTAATTGTTTCACCTTTGACATTGAAAAAATATATTTAAGAACATAGATCCTACAGACAAAAAAATAAAACAAATGCACTCATTACTCAAAATATCTAAGATTTATTTTTTTTCGTTTTTCCATCAATGTTGCATAGCTTCATATCAATTTACAACCATGGCTGTCAGTGACTATTCTACCCCCACTAGATCGGTCTTAAATGCTTTCTTGTCAGCTACAATGCCTGCGTCCTTGATAATAACTTCAGTTGTTGGGTGATCGTACACATCTTTTTCGACAGCTTCAATTTTCCTCACCACGTCCATGCCAGACAAAACCTTGCCAAACACGACATGGTGGCCATCTAACCAGGGGGTTGCTATTGTTGTGATAAAGAACTGGGAGCCATTAGTGTTTTCACCTGAAATAAGCAAATAAAACAGTTTGGTTTTTTTGTGATTTTCTATTACAACAGGGTTTCTTTTGTTAAATTATCTAACTACAAATTACTCCATATGGAATGAAAACAAGTAGCCTTCGATAGGACAGTGTGGTGCTTGATGGTAAAACAAGAGCCTGGATGATAAAGAATTTTCTTCAATAGGACAGTGTGGTGCTTGATGGTAAAACAAGAGTCTGGATGATATAGAATTTTCTTCAATAGGACAGTGTGGTGCTTGATGGTAAAACAAGAGCCTGGATGATAAAGAATTTTCTTCAATAGGACAGTGTGGTGCTTGATGGTAAAACAAGAGCCTGGATGATAAAGAATTTTCTTCAATAGGACAGTGTGGTGCTTGATGGTAAAACAAGAGCCTGGATGATATAGAATTTTCTTCAATAGGACAGTGTGGTGCTTAATGGTAAAACAAGAGCCTGGATGATATAGAATTTTCTTCAATAGGACAGTGTGGTGCTTGATGGTAAAACAAGAGTCTGGATGATATAGAATTTTCTTCAATAGGACAGTGTGGTGCTTGATGATAAAACAAGAGTCTGGATGATATAGAATTTTCTTCAATAGGACAGTGTGGTGCTTGATGGTAAAACAAGAGCCTGGATGATAAAGAATTTTCTTCAATAGGACAGTGTGGTGCTTGATGGTAAAACAAGAGTCTGGATGATATAGAATTTTCTTCAATAGGACAGTGTGGTGCTTGATGGTAAAACAAGAGCCTGGATGATAAAGAATTTTCTTCAATAGGACAGTGTGGTGCTTGATGGTAAAACAAGAGTCTGGATAATATAGAATTTTCTTCAATAGGACAGTGTGGTGCTTGATGGTAAAACAAGAGCCTGGATGATATAGAATTTTCTAAGTCCAAAAAGGGTTATTATTCTGTCAAAATCCATGTTAGAGTTATAGGTCTTGGACAGTGACCTCAGTGTGTGAAGTTTTAACCCATTCCCTTTTGTAGTTTTATAGATACCAACTTTCAGGACAAAACTTAACAAAGTGTCATGCCGACACCTGGGTGGGTACAATAGCTCTCCCTATTTTTAGAATAGTTAAAACTTATAATAAACACTGACAATGTCAAAACAATTCAACTTCTCACTGGGGATAATAAGGAAAATTAAAACCATTTTATGCCAGACAATATGTTTTATAGAACATAAGAGTGTCATTTATAAAGCCAATATACTAAACTATTACTTTAAGTAAACATAAACTTTTTCAAGAGCTGTCAGTCAAACAGAGGTTTTGACTATTTAGTGAAAATTGATGCCAGAATCAAACCATAAAAACCTTTCTTTTTTGTCTGGTATTTTAAGTATTTCACATTATATCAGACTAGATCATCATACATGCACTACAATATCCAGTTTTTTAATATTTAATCATTTTAAACCTTCAGCAAAGATCAGCATTCTATTTACTTAAATGACCACTCTATAGCATTTTAAATTTTTTACACAGTACACTGTATAGTAGATTCACTAAATTATGACAACATACCTGCATTAGCCATACTGACCCATCCTGGGCCATAGTGTTTTAAATCAACTAAATTTTCATCATCAAATCTGTCCCCATAGATACTTTTACCCCCAGTGCCATCTCCATTGGTGAAGTCACCACCTGCAAATCATTATACAATATATACCAATACATATCATCTTAAAACAATATCCAAAGATTTCTTATAATTCTAAAGCATGAGAAAGACTTTCTTAATATTCTGTGAAGCTATTATGTAATTCAAATATGTAAGCTTTTACATATTAAAAAGTTTTTTCTGTACGAAATCTGCTGTGGTCATAGTATTATTTTTACAATAGGTTTATCTCTTATATTTGGTTTGCTACTGTATTGCTAATCATGGTCATGCAACTACATAGTTAGGTGAAGAAGCAGGCGCTTGTTTTGGTTGAGTCTATTATGTTTTGTTTAGGGGGTGAGTTGTCATACACAAATTTACAATTTATATGCATTTATTTTTTTCCAATGATTAGTATTATCTTAAATGCTTCTGGGATTATTGTTTTATTAATTCATTTGTAAATAAGATTGTTATATGTCTATTAAGGGAATAATTTTAATGAACACGAAATTAGGTCACACCTTTATGTGTATTGATAACGTGATGGTTTAAGTCAATGAAAACACATCAATATGATTACAATCAGGTAGAGAAAAAGTGTGCAAAGAGTAAATCGATAATCTTTATGTAGCAAACAAACTTTGAATTGCAAGTATTTTTTCATATCTTTTCGGCAGGATAAACTGTCCGAGGAGGGCCAGGCATTTTCGTATCGTAAAATGGCTGCCATTTACAGTATCAAGTGATTATCCCAAGCACCACCGCGACTTTGCGCGGGAATTTTAATTGTAGCTAACCTCGGCGCGTCGCATAGGATGGAAAATACCTTTTTCATATTTTATTGTAATAAATATTTACAAGCTGTGTCTTTCGTTTTTTTTTTATCAATATATAACCAATAATGATGTTAATATGAATAAATAATTATATCTCAAATCTGTGACTATGATTTACAATGAAATTCTACCTTAAGTGTATTAAAAAGGTTTTTTAATTTCCTGTAATTTTATTTTGTGATTTATAATGCTTCAAAGCAGTCAATTGACCGTGAATTTTCTTTTCATATTTTGATTTTCTTGAAATCATTTTTCTCATCTGAAGGCATGCAACTTTAATATGATGATACATTAATTACATTCCATGAAAATGTTTAAAGATTAAAATATCTCATGACATGTTTGTTCATTTTACATTACACCTTTAATTCAGCAAACATAAAGTCTTCACAAAAAGTAGTATGCAATCGTACCTATATTACATACGAATGTATGTAATATTTTTCTTGTTTATTCAAGAACTTGGAACAGCACTTCTTTTTTTCTACTGTAAATCCATTTACTTGCATTTTCCTGTCAGAAAAAAGTCTTTAAAGTAATCTTTTTTTTCCCCCTAAATTTAAATTACAAAAAAAAGTTCCATGTTTGCAAAAAGAAAACAAGAGGGCCATGATGGCGCTAAAGTCGCTCACCTGTATAAAGGCCCCCAGAGCGGGGCCATTTTAAACCCAAGGGCTTTTATTTGAACAAACTTGGTAGACACCCATTAGAAGATGTTTCATGCTAACCATCTAAGGTCTAGCTCGTTGAGTTTTTTAAAAAAGATTTTTTTAAGTTTTAACTATACACATATAGTTAAAAGCAAGGACACCCCTAGGGCGGGGCCAGCTTTGACCCCAGGGCTTTTATTTGAACAAACTTTGAAGACACTCACTAGAAGATGTTTCATGCTTAATATCTAAACTCTAGCTATTTGTTTTTTTTTCAAAGAAGATTTTTAAGTTTTTCCTATACACATATAAGGAAAATTAATGTCCCCGGGGCGGGGCCAATTTTGACCCTAAGGCTTTTATTTGAACAAACTTTGAAGACACTAACTGGAAGATGTTTCATGCTTAATATCTAAATTCTAGCTATTTGGGTTTTTTCAAAGAAGATTTTTTAAGTTTTTGCTATACACATAAATAAAATCAATGACCCCCGGGGCAGGGCCAATCTAAATTCTAGCTATTTGGGTTTTTTCAAAGAAGATTTTTTTAAAAAGTTTTTGCAATGCACATATAAGGAAAATCAATGACCCCCGGGGCAGGGCCAATTTTGATCCCAGGGCTCTTACTTGAACAAATTTGGTAGACACCCATTTAAACATCTTTCATGCTAAATATCTTAGCTGTAGCTCTTTGGGTTCTTTAAAAGAAGATTTTTTAAGTTTTTACTCTATGCATATAGGGAAAATCAATGACCCCCTGAGGCGGGCCAATTTTGACCCCAGGGCTTTTATTTGAACAAACTTGATAGACACTCATTAGAAGATGATTCATGCCAAATATCTTAGCTCTAGCTCTATGGGTTCTTTAAAAGAAGATTTTTTAAGATTTTACTATATGCATATAGGGAAAATCAATGACCCCCTGGGGTGGGGCCAATTTTGACCCTAGGGCTTTTATTTGAACAAACTTGGTAGACACCCATTAGAAGATGTTTCATGCCAAATATCTTAGCTCTAGCTCTTTGGGTTCTTTAAAAGAAAATTTTTTAAGTTTTTACTATATGCATATAGGGAAAATCAATGACCCCTGGGGCGGGGCCAATTTTGACCCCAGGGCTTTTATTTGAACAACCTTGATAGACACTCACTAGAAGATGTTTCATGCCAAATATCTAAGCTCTACCTCTTTGGGTTTTTTAAAAGAAGATATTTTAAGTTTTTTCTATCGGTTGCCATGGCAACCAGAGTTCTGCATGGAATTAAATTCTTTGAACAATTTTTAAAGGTGAACACCAAAGGAACATTCCTGTGGAGTTTGGATGAAATTGGCTCAGCGGTTTATGAGGAGATGTCATCTAAAGTAAAAGTTTACGGACGGACGACGGATGGACGAAAAGCGATCACAAAAGCTCACCCTGTCACTTTGTGACAGGTGAGCTAAAAACAATAAAAACTATGTATTCCTGGTGCCATTATATATTGGGGTATGTAGTGTTATAAAGGTCATGGTTACACATGTACATTATAATGTCCCCCATAAGCTGACCATAGGCAAACAGCCTAGTACGAAGTTTGAGCACTTGCATGTGAGAATATTTTCCACTTGGTGTTTTAACTATAAATAAGTGAAACTGTGAGTAGTGACAATAAATTTCCCATTTTTGAGTGTCAGGGTCATTGAGTTAATAGGTCAAAATTGATCTACTGTCCAAACAGTATTCAATATTGGTCTTTACTTCAAGTTCAACAGAATTGATCATTTATTTCTGACAATGTTTGAATGATATACAGTACAACCACAACACAGTGGCCCTCAATAGAGCAATCTCTTCCATACAAAAACAGCACAATTTTTCCTAATTAAAGACCTAACAAATTGTTTCAACCTCTGTTGAACAACATCATTATTAAAGCAACAATCATATTCAATGCCTCCCAAAGGGTATTGCTCTACAGGGCTTGACAAATCCACTTGTCTGCTGGTAATCACAATTAGAAACAGCAACCAAATCTTTGTCTCCTAGAAGGTGTTGCTATACAGGGGTTGCACTGTATCATTGATTGTTTTCAATCTTGCAGCAAATAAGAAAATAAGTGTTTAACAAACCAACAAAAAGACCTATAAACTTATTGCTTTAAAAGATAAACTAGAACTGTGTCCAAAGGACACGGATGCCCCCACTGACAACATGTATATGGTATATAGTGAAAAAATCAACAAAGGGCCATAATTCTCTTAAATTTGGTCGCAGCAAAAATTCCTTCCTTTACTACCATCTACACATTAAGGTTATTCATCCCTGGAAGTTTAAGCAAAATCTGCCATTTGGTTTAAGAGGAGTTGCGTTCACAAAATTTCTATATGGTATATAGTGAAAAAATCAACAAAGGGCCATAATTCTCTTAAATTTGGTCGCAGCAAAAATTCCTTCCTTTACTACCATCTACACATTAAGGTTATTCATCCCTGGAAGTTTAAGCAAAATCTGCCATTTGGTTTAAGAGGAGTTGCGTTCACAAAATTTCTATATGGTATATAGTGAAAAAATCAACAAAGGGCCATAATTCTCTTAAATTTGGTCGCAGCAAAAATTCCTTCCTTTACTACCATCTACACATTAAGGTTGTTCATCCCTGAAAGTTTAAGCAAAATCTGCCATCCGGTTTAAGAGGAGTTGCGTACACAACATTTCTACATAGTATTTAGTGAAACAAGAGGGCCATGATGGCCCTGAGGTCGTTCACCTGTATATAGCCCCCCCCCCCCCGGCCAATTTTTACCCAAGGGCTTTGATTTGAACAGACTTGGTAGACACCCATAAGAAGATGTTTCATGCTAAACATCTAAGTTCTAGCTCATTGGGTTTTTTAAAAGAAGATTTTTTAAGTTTTTACTATACACATATAGTTAAAAAACAATGACACCCCTGGGGCAGGGCCAGTTTTGGACCCCCGGGCTTTTATTTGAACAAACTTTGTAGATATTTACTTAAAGATGTTTCATGTATAATATCTAAACTCAAGCTATTTGGGTTTTTTCAAAGAAGATTTTTAAGTTTTTGCTATACACATATAAGGAAAATCAATGACCCCCGGGGCGGGGCCAGTTTTGACCCCAGGGCTTTTATTTGAACATACTTGGTAGACACCCATTAGAACATGTTTCATGCTAAATATCTTAGCTCTAGCTCTTTGAGTTCTTTAAAAGAAGATTTTTTAAGTTTTTACTATATGCATATAGGGAAAATCAATGACCCCCTGGGGCGGGGCCAATTTTGACCCTAGGGCTTTTATTTGAACAAACTTGGTAGACACTCATTAGAAGATGTTTCATGCTAAATATCTTAGCTCTAGCTCTTTGGGTTCTTTAAAAGAAGATTTTTTAAGTTTTTACTATATGCATATAGGGAAAATCTATGACCCCCTGGGACGGGGCCAATTTTGACCCCAGGGCTTTTATTTGAACAAACTTGGTAGACATTCACTAGAAGATGTTTCATGCCAAATATCTAAGCTCTAGCTCTTACGGTTCTTTAAAAGAAGATTTTTTAAGTTTTTACTATATGCATATAGGGAAAATCAATGACCCCCGGGGCGGGGCCAATTTTGACCCCAGGGCTTTTATTTGAACAAACTTGGTAGACATTCACTAGAAGATATTTCATGTCAAATATCTTAGCTCTAGCTCTTTGGGTTCTTTAAAAGAAGATTTTTTAAGTTTTTACTATATGCATATAGGGAAAATCTATGACCCCCTGGGGCAGGGCCAATTTTGACCTCAGGGCTTTTATTTGAACAAACTTGGTAGACACTCATTAGAATATGTTTCATGCTAAATATCTTAGCTCTAGCTCTTTGGGTTCTTTAAAAGAAGATTTTTAAGTTTTTACTATATGCATATAGGGAAAATCAATGAACCCCTGGGGCGGGGCCAATTTTGACCCCAGGGCTTTTATTTGAACAAACTTGGTAGACATTCACTAGAAGATGTTTCATGCCAAATATCTAAGCTCTAGCTTTACAGTTCTTTAAAAGAAGATTTTTTAAGTTTTTACTATATGCATATAGGGAAAATCAATGACCCCCGGGCCGGGGCAATTTTGACCCCAGGGCTTTTATTTGAACAAACTTGGTAGACACTCACTAGAAGATGTTTCATGCCAAATATCTTAGCTCTAGCTCTTTGGGTTCTTTAAAAGAAGATTTTTTAAGTTTTTACTATATGCATATAGGGAAAATCTATGACCCCCGGGCAGGGCCAATTTTGACCTCAGGGCTTTTATTTGAACAAACTTGGTAGACACTCATTAGAAGATGTTTCATGCTAAATATCTTAGCTCTAGCTCTTTGGGTTCTTTAAAAGAAGATTTTTTAAGTTTTTACTATATGCATATAGGGAAAATCAATGACCCCCTGGGGCGGGGCCAATTTTGACCCTAGGGCTTTTATTTGAACAAACTTGGTAGACACTCATTAGAAGATGTTTCATGCCAAATATCTAAGCTCTAGCTCTTTGGGTTCTTTAAAAGAAGATATTTAAAGATTTTTCTTTCGGTTGCCATGGCAACCAGAGTTCTGCATGAAATGGAATTCTTTGAACAATCTTGATAGAGCTTCATACAAAGAGTATTCCTGCCAAGTTTCATTAACATTGGCCTTGCGGTATCATAGAAGATGTCCTTAGAATATCTAAAATGTGGACGGACGACAGACGACGGACGCCATTTGGTTGGCCATCCTAAAAGCTCACCTGCACTTTGTGCAAGGTGAGCTAAAAATCAACAAAGGGCCATAATTCTGTTAAATTTGGTTGCAGCAAAAATTCCTTCCTTTACTGCCATCTACACATTAAGGTTGTTCATCCCTGAAAGTTTAAGCAAAATCTGCCATCCGGTTTAAGAGGAGTTGCGTTCACAAGATTTCGGGACGTACGGACGGACGTACGGACGGACAGACGGACGGACAAGTGCAACGCTATATGCTCCCACTCTGTGGGGGCATAAAAAAGAGCAGCATATTATGACATCTTACTCCTCCAAAGGGGTTTTAAAACTAAATTTCAAAAATATTAATTTGCTTATTTTTCTTTAATCTTCCTAAACAATTTTTCACACTGTAAGATAATTCATGTAAAATTACAATACAATATTGAATTCAAAGGTATACCTTGAATCATAAACTTGTCTATCACTCTGTGAAATTTGCTCCCTTTGTATCCATAACCATTCTCATATGTAGAAAGTTGAACAAAGTTTTTAACAGTTTTTGGGACAATCTCTCCAAATAAACCAATCTCAATTCTACCAGCAGGCTCATCGCCAATGCTTATATCAAAATAAACAACATCTGTCACTTGAGCTTGTTCTGCTCTCTGAAATAAAAAAAAATCAATCATTTATTATGTAATTGTAACGAATGACTTCATCATGTATTGAGAATTCTTTTTCTTATGTCTTTTACAACAAGTATTTTATGATCTACATGTTGACCATGCCCACCTGCACTAAATTTAACGTGCAGTCTAGTAATCAGAGTCTATCCTGTTAGGATCTCATTATCTTTAAATTTTGAGATTGTAAACCAATAAACTCAGAATGGACTGTTCCAAATTTAAAGCAGAACAAATCCATTACAAAAATTTAGCAGGTTTACTATCATAACTAGGTGACACATTGTTAGGTTACTATATGCAAATCTACAATAGATTAAAAATAAAAGACAGTCATTAAGTTCTACAAAAAATTCTGTCAAATATTGTTGGAGCAATTTAAAATTTATAGTAAGGCTCAAACCTTAGCAGAGATATTCAACCTAGGGCTAGACTAGACAGTAAATGGCAAACTAAGAAATTATTCTTAGATGGTTCTGTGTCCTTGACAATTAAAATTTCTCATGTGAATCATAAATTCATGATAAACATATTAAACAAGGTCTATTGGAACAAGTAGCCCTTCTTACATGTAGATACTGTGCCACTTACATTCTCCTAATCATGTGAGCATAATTATCAATAACATGACATACTCCCTTGCTATACCGAAATATGTACTTGAATTTCTATTTTCCCATTAAGGAGAATGGCAACATTGTGAATTGACTTAGACCTATGTGCTACCACAGCTCTAAGTATGGTGCCAGAATTAACAGACTGAGCTACCTGGCCCTTACAATGTCTCACCAATAAATAAATTGAGCCGTGTCATGACAAAACCAACATAATGGGTTTGCGACCAGCATGGATCCAGACCAGCCTGCGCATCCGCGCAGTCTGATCAGGATCCATGCTGTTCGCTTACCAACTCTATTACAAGTGGAGAAACTGACAGCGAACAGCATGGATCCTGATCAGACTGCGCAGATGTTGGTTTTGTCATGACACGGCTCAATTGTTCTTTATCACCTCATTATCCTTAAATATCTTTGTTGCAGTTCAGAACTGTTCACTATTTAGGGGATATAATATATAAGCGGCTGAACAGCTCAGTCGGTAGAGCCGTGGTATAGTATTGGGTGGGTCCTGGGTTAGAGTCCCGGTCAGACTACACATTTTTCTCTCCCTGTGACATCTTCATTATTGATTTCTGCTGCAAATATTAACCTTTGTCCAACTAATTGTTCTGCATGATGAGACATTGTGCTATTTTGTGTCTTGACAATGTCACGGGTCAGAACTGTTCACTAATTAGGAGAGAAAATGTGAGCGGCGGAACAGTATTTCGAGGGTCCCAGGTTCGAGTCTCGGTTAGGCAGCACATTTTTTCCACCCTGTGACATATGGTGCCCAACGTGGGGCCGTGACTGATATAGCTCATAGTTTAATTTACATTGCTCTGTAACTCTGTGAAATTGGAGGACGAATTTCAATATAGCAGGGGAGTAAGGGTGTAAAGGTTTACTGGTATACTGATATATTGCAATATGAAAAAATAAATTTTGTACCGCCGTACGATTTTTGGAATAATGTTATTTTATAAAAAGCATAATTTTCAATTAATTGCCTTCTAATTTCGTACAAATTGCGAATAAAATCTTATATTGGCAAATTTTATTGGCGCTAACGTAAGATAAAAATATCGGACAACTAGTACACTTAAAAGTCAATAAGTGGCCGCATTATTTACATAAGCTGCCCAGATGTGTAAAGTCACACACAACTAGTTTTGTTTATCAAATTGTGTGACACTTTTAGTTGTTCCTAACAAATGGGTAAATTCTGTAGGACCTATATCACAGAAGGAGTTTTTAAATTATTGTACAAGCTTTAATACTGTGAAAGAAATAAAGTTGAAAGATTTTCAGTATAAGATTAATCAAAAAATTCTTGTAACAAATATATTTTTACATCAAATAGGTATTAGAGATAATGATTTATGCTCATATTGTAACATTGATAGAGAAACGATTTAACATTTATTCTATCAATGCCCGTATACCAATATTTTTCTTTTAGAATTGAAAGACTGGCTTAGAGATAAGTGTTTTGTCGATTTTGATATTTCTGACATTAAAGGCATACTGTTCTCGTATTATGGAAAACATTATATTTTGAATTTTGTAACATTATTAGCAAAATAGTATGTTTATAAAACAAAATTTAGAGAAAACTGTCAAAATTACTTAAATATAAATACGTTTTTAATATACATAAAAAAACAATTAAAAAAGCAAGAATATATAGCTTTTTTAAATGGAGATGTAATTTCTTTTCATAATTTGTGGCAAAATCTTATTCAAAAATTATCCCTTGATGATGAGTAACCTTAAATTTTATATCAGAATACTGATAAGGAAATTATAGCAACATAAAAGATTTTTAAAATATAATCAGACAACCTAAATGAGAAACGTACATACAGGCCTCTATACGAACAATATTTTTGGTGTTTTTTTTTTTTTTTTTTTTTTTTCAATGTGAATTTATATTAATATAATTATATCTTTTCTCATATATGAGTAAAAAACAAATACTTATGTGTATTTGATTATATTTATTATATCTATTAATCTTGTTGCATTATTAAGTAGCATGTCATAATTTTATAGCCCATGCATTATTTTTATAATTATTATTTACAATTTACATAATTATGTTGTCCTTGTCATATTGTGTATATTATATTGTATATATTGTTTGTTAGAAAACTTGTAAGGTGAAATAGCGGATGGATCCCTGACCCTATTATGACGGGGACAAAAAAATTGTGTGACACTTTACATTCTATTTAGTTCTTACATTTTTATTAAGTTTCTACTTAGAATATATACATATAATAATAATATAATTATACTGTTACTCCATCTTCACATCAAAACATATACATGACAATAGGTTTTTGTTTGTTTGTTTTCATTTTACGCCTTTTTCCAACAGTATTTCAGTCATATAGGCGAGTAGTTTCCTAATCATCGTTCCTGGAGAGTTACACCAGTACTAGACTACCTTCCTCCGCGCTAAACTACCAAAGCATCTCCTGGGGATCGAACCCACGCCAGAGAGGTAACTGGATTAGAAGTCATCGACTCTAACCCCTCGACCACGGAGGCGGTTTATGACAATACAATGTAGGTATTGCAATATATTGCAATACGCTTTGGAAAAAAAAGGCAATATATTGCAATACGGATTTTGCCGTATTGTTACACCCCTACAGGGGAGTATGTCTAGGTTCAGAACTGTTCACTGATTGGGGAGAAAATGTGTAAGCGGCCGGACAGCTCAGTCGGTAGAGCTGCAGAACGGTATTCCTAGGGTCCTGGGTTCGAGTCCCGGTCATGCTGCACATTATCCTCACCTTGTGACAGCAATATCTCGCCTCTACTGTAATAGCGAGATTCTGACCCAGAACGAAAATATCTCAGAATCAAGCTTCGGCACGTCAATATATTTTGACTAATATTAACCTGTATTTCCTACCAAATAGCCTACAAATGTTTAAGTAAAATTCAAATATTTTCTTATTTAAAGTAGGGCTGATATTGAATTGCTATATCGATATATCATCGATATTTATCATCCGATACAATATCTATACACATTTTCAAATATGGATACAAGCCAAAATTTATTTATTTCTGTTAGTAAATATATTCCTCTCAATTTTGCCTTATAAGAGAAGTCACTTTTTTCCAGTTTTCTAGGCTAACTTGAACTTTAAAAACTCTGTTTTCAAATGTCAGTGGCAAAAATAACAGAAAAAAGAAAATTTCTGTTAGTTTGTAGTATTTGTAGTCTAACACAAGCATGCATAACACCATGAACACAATTTATAACACACATTTAAAGGTTTTTAATTGAATCTACAGTTAAAGTAGATTTATCAATATATCGTCGATATTTGTCTCTCGATATATCAATACAAAATTGTCCATCAATAACAGCCCTAATTTAAAGGTGATAAAACTTTAATAAAACCTTAAACCTACAATTTTGTTTCATAAAACATCAGGGTTCTCACTAGGACTTTAAAACATGGAGTCCATGGACTCCCAACCATGAAAAAGTTGGAGTCCAAAAGCGCGTCGCAATATACAGATTAGTCATTCAATGCTCACAATAGCATTGCTGATATTTTTATCTTCAAGAGACTTCCAAGGTTTATAGTTATTCAAAAGAAACTCTGAACTACATAGTATAATTATTATTGTTTTGTTGTTAATATTTATTATGAAATTATTTCATTATAATGCATCAACACATGGAAATCATTTTTTTTCTCACTTTTATACCAAATGTAATTTTATTCTGGTTAAGAAAGTCCACTCTAAAGACAAAAAGTTTGTATTAGTAAAAAAAACGTAAATGTATATAGGCAGCGTTTAGCGGAATGAATAGGAAAATCATGTACAGCTTCACACAGTGTGTAAGAGATTCATCCGATCGACAATTGTTTTAGCAAATATCTTCAAAAGGGGGCAAATTGAAGATCGATATTTAAAGATTTAATGTTGATTAAATAATAAAGAAACAATTCATTCGCATGTTTGGCTTGGAAACCGAGAATTTTTGCGAAATTTTAGGGTTTCTGGCGAACGTGAAATCGCCGATGTTCGGGATCATTTTTTTTTTCAAAGAAAAGCGTATGTGTACCTGGCATTTCGGCACAATATCTTAAATTCTCATGTAGAAAGTTTTTGCAAGAATAAAACTGAAGCAAAATTGTGCCTAGAAAATGCCGAAAATATTCGACAATCATTATAATGCCGAACATATATGACAATCATTCATCATTTGTAATTTGAGAAAACAGTCTTTAAACTTGCGGCGTAAATAGTCGATAATTTTATCCTTTTGTCGGTAAAATTTGCTAATTTCCAATCAACTATTGATCAAAGATATAAAGTTATCACCTTGTGTTATATCTGGTAATTACATGTACTGTACAGCGCGTGTATACATTAGTCTGATCACTATTGCGTGATAATGATCGGAAGCGTTAATGCCGTTATCGCTGATTGGCTAATCGCTTCACGGGTCGATGTGCATAGGACCGCCTACCTATCGACTGACACGCGCTGACACATTTGTGAATTTGTGGTTGTGAACAATCGGTAATGTTTATGCGTACCCAGGCAAAATTAAGCGTACGTGGAATCCTTGCTCTGAAATATTTGCGTCCAGCTGTAATAAACATGTGTTTTAAATAAGCGTCCCCAAGAACCCTGAAACATATGGTGTGAAGAAATATTTGTTTGCCTTTTTCACCTAAAAAGTTGACAAGACTACAAGGTGGGAATATATTTGTGGTGAAATGGTACGAGGGCGAAACATTAAAAAAAATCATCAACTCGGATACTTTTTACTACAGACAAGTTCTTCTCACTTATTATTTAATAAGTCACAATATTCAACTAATAGTAATAAACATGCATACTGTTTCTATCGATAAACAAGAAACTGTCAAAAACACGAAATATGACAACAAAGAATTCATTTTTCCACGTTGAATCATCTCCGTTCGACAGACGCTTTCAGCTTTTTGTTACATTTGTTTCGTCATCAAACTCAAACGTCCCGTTTTTATTCAGAAGTAAATGAACAAATCGTTATGATTTTTTATGCTGATGCCTTCAGGAAGATTAAAAAAGTGTAAACGTAACAAAAAAAAAATTAAAACACAAGGATAATAAGATAATTAAGCGAAATATTACTTGAAAACTGTCTTCCGCCTTTACTCTTGTTACTAATCTATATTTAGAATTGGGAATTTCCTTTTGGAATTCCTCTGGATTTATCATGATGGGACTGTGCCTAATTTAGGTGTATGTGTAATATTTTCAGAAAGTATTGATTTATACAATGTCCAGTGAAAGATTTTGTATTTTGTTAGCAAAATGTCTTGGTAAGAAAAAAGAGAAGAAGTTACTGAAATCATCCACATCAAAGGTTGAAATTTTGCCAGGCACACTTTTACTGTTTTTAGATATTGTCAAAAATTCAAGTAATCATTTACAGTTTGTATTAGAAACTCTAGACCAGGAAGATGTAGAGGTGACTTGTGACCGTGATGACTTTAATGAGATCAGCAAAGAAGAATATGAACTTTTGATAAGTGTACCAACATGTGCTGATCGGTATCAAATCTTTCTGAATAAAGAATGGATGCAGGAAGGACAAAAGTTAAAAGTTGGAGATTATGTAGAAGTTTATGATAAAGCCTCGGCAAAGGATTTAATAGGAATTCTACGTTACAGGGGCCATGTACAAGGTGTTAGTGGAATTCACTTTGGCGTTGAGCTTGTGGTAAGATACCAGTTAGTCTATAGTTGACGCATTTTACAGACTTTTTTTGTTCTATATTGGTTTAAACATATTTATTTAATTATGCTTGATTGCGAAAAAAGTTTTTGCAACTTACATATTGATCATTTTCGACTCTACTTCCTGGAACCAACCAGTACTAGTATCATATGAAGAAACATGGTTGTGACCCGATTAGGGCTTGAACCCATGATCCTTGGGTTGAGAGGCAGAGCTGGCACCTTAACCACTAGGCCCATGCTCCCAGGTTCTATGTCAAACCGAGAAAAGATATCACCTATGAAATTTTTTGTGACTAGTACTAAGTAGTAGTAGTATGGTCCTACATAAAGTTCCTTTAGGATGTCCCTCGTGGGTACCAAGTTACTTAATTTTTATGGCAAATTGTAACAATGAAAAAGACATTTCTTTATTATCTCAGGTAAGAAATTAACTGTTGCATCTATTAAATTTGATGTAAATGATTTATGACAATAACATTAATGTTAATGGGTGTCAATACATGGTTGGCAATTTAAAAAAAAAAACGAATCATAGTAATTATAATCATTCTATTATAATGTTTTATTTCAGTACAATAAAGGTCAAGGCCACAGTGATGGATTGTTCAGAAATCAGCGATACTTCACTTGTTCCTCAGAATCAGCCCTATTTGTAGGTCTCCACAGAATACGTCAACACAAAGGTCTTCCACCACCACAGCGCCAGTCTGAACCGGCTGGGGCTTGTGGTACTAGCGTGTACAGTCAATATGGAAAAGCAAATGCATATGGACTTAAAAAGGGGTTTGATAAATATTGTTTGGATAAAGTGACGATGGCCCTAACAGGGGTTTGTAAGTGGATTGGAACTTCTACACAGACTCAACTGAAATAATGACATAACTGTCGGAAGAATTTTGATAACGTTTTGAAATATTTTCAATTTCTAAACAAAACAAATTTTAATCTGAAGATTTTGTTAATAATAAAATTTAAACTTAAATAAATTATTTATGATTTTAAAAAATGTAAACTTTGAAAGCAATATTCGTTTTTTTTTTTTTCTAAAAATTATTTAATCTTAATTTTCTTTTTATTAAAGCCAGTAAAGAATAAGCTTAGCTAATGAAAGCAATTTTGTTATTTTATAATATTATTTCTAGTACATTAAATTTTGACACTAGAATATTGGAGATAATTTATCTTGAAGTTGAATGCTCAACAAAATTTATCAATGTTCCCATAGTATGACCTTTAAAAAATTTAAACTTTTACAAAAATGGGTCTTTGAGTTCCTTAATTAATCCTTTTTGGTTATGATTTCTTTAATAATTATGTTTAACAGTGTTGATGCAAACAGTTGGCTCATATCTTTTTTTCTATGAAAACACAAAAGATTTGATAATTGTGATAAATCTGAAAGTCATTGAGTTATGATAGATTGACAGTTGCATTATATTTTGTCTGTAACAGTATGTGTATTTTTTTGCTGAATATTTTGTAGGATAATCCGGTGGGTTCTGGTACAGGAAAATATAGAGATCAAAGATTGTTCACAGCGAAGCAGAACCATGCATCTCTTGTTCCAATCCTGGGCTTAATGAAAGAGGAGGAGTATATGAATGAATCAAGACCAGGTATTTGAATATTGTATATATGAAGCCGCACCTTTTAAAAAAATTTAACATAGTCTTTTGAAATTCCAGCCTGGATCCAGACCAGCCTTTTTGCTTTCTGCCCATTTTGGAATCGGGACCCATGGTTTTCGCCTAAAAACCCCTTTAAAAAGTAAAAGAAAAAAGACATGCCAACATCTTTGGATCCTAATCAGACTGTGCTGTTTCGCAGGCGGGTTTTGGACCATGCTTTTTGAAAAACGCACATTTTTCGTTTTTGGGGGTTTGCAACTCTACCCTTTAAAATTACACCGAAAAAAAGATTGTTTCCCCCTCCAAAAGCTATATTTTTGCCCCAAATGCATATTGACCCCTAAAATCCCGCAATCTTTTTGGGTAAACCAGAACTGCGATTTTTTGGGAAAGCGGGTTTATATCTTTGGATAAAAAACCCTTCCCAACCCATAAAAAACCCTTTTTTTTGGAAAATTTATTTGTTTTTTGGTAAAAGGACTGTTGATTGATCAAAAAGAAGATTTTGAAATAAAATTGGTTGAAATGAAAACTAAGATGCTGATATTGGTAACAACTGGTCTGTAGGTATATTTTCAGAGACAGCCTTTATAATCTAGTCTTGATTTGGCAAAAATCTTGTTATGAAATTTTGAAATATGGTAAATGCACATGATAACCAATAGTGGTAATTATGTTGCCAAATTTGAAAGATATACCAGTGATTTTTTTCAAATTTTCAAAACAACTCATGGCTGTCTGAAGGGGAAATATAACGTGATAATCAGAAAAGTGGGAAATCTGAAATCAAATTCCAACAACTGAGAATTCTTTAATTTTATAAAAAATTTTCATTTTAATTTTAACATGCATGTACATAGCAGAGGCATGTATAAGGACAGTTTTGTTTTTTTCAGTCAGTCAATTAAATTTATAAACTAGCCTGATATAAAATTTCAGATGCTTTTAAGCCCTGGCTCTCTGGTGAAAAAGGCACGGGGAAATTTTCGGGGGAAAATAAAAGGGAAATTCTGGGGGGAAAATTTATAGTCAGGGGGAAACCCCCTATTTTAAGCTGGTTAAAATACGGGAAAAAAATTACGGGTTAAACTAGCCCCATCTTTTTGATTTAAAAATATTTTTTTTTTACAAAAATTTTAAATTTGAAATTTTTGAAGTTTTTACAGAAAAATGTCAAATTTGAAAAAAAAATTACAAAAAAATTTGATGAATTCAAATTTTCCTTTTTTCCGATTTTAAGTAAATTTGGTCTTTCCCTTTAAAAAAAAAATGCCATTTTAAAAAACACTATAATTTAAAATTAAATTTTGGGCCATTTTACAGTTTAAAATTGGTTTAAAAAAAAACTTTATATCTACTATTTGTTTAAACAAAGCATGGTTTTTTTTATATTTACAAAAAGATTTTATCTCAATTATCACTATTTTCAAATATGAGCATAGATTATCCTATATTGAAAGTATTACCAACATAAAAAATTTTTGGGTTATAGGGGGTTTTTTTTATGTTTACAAGAGGTCATTTCTTAAATTAGGCAATTTGTAACACATATATAGACTACAGCCACATAAGAATGTTAAAAAATTTTTAAAGTAGCCTTTGGCCCATTAAAGGGGATATTACTATTAAACCATTTCATTGTAAACCCCTCAGAAATTAGAATGATGTAAAAAAAAGTGATATTGAAATTTTAAAACAATTTTAAAGGGAACTCCCATTGAAGTTTTTTGAAACTACAAGACTGGCAAAATTTTTTTTGAAGTTAATTTCCATTTTATGTAGATCTAGATCAATAACTTGGGTGTAAATTTTTGATAATTCACTCACTCTGTTTTTTTTTTTTCAGAAAAATAATTCTAATTGTGAAAAATGACTAAAAATTGATATGGGCTAAGAATAACTTAAAAATACGATTTTTAATTTATTCCTGTATATATTTTTTAATAATATTTTGCATACCTTGCTGTTTTAAGTGCCTCAGCTGATCAATGTAAGAAAATTAAATTTTATGTTTTTAGACTTTTGAACCTCTGTGGTGTTCCTTTAAGGCAAAAAGACAAAACTAATCAAATTATTTCTGAACTTTTTCTCTGCCTCTTTTCACACTATCGATATGTTTCAGTTATTATTCAAAAAAAAATATTTTTCCGACATTTTTCCATATTTATTTGTAAAACTCTGTAAAACTAACACTTTGATGATGTTACTCAGGGATATTGAAATTGTAGAGACATAATAGAAAGAGCATCGAAATACGAGGCAAATCTGATTTGTAACGAGGGGGCGTGTTTTTGGATGTTCTTTTCACTTTTTTATCATAAGCAAAAAAACAGATAAACGCGTTCTCTGTTGTCACAATATAAAACCCCAGAAAAAAAAAAAGTAAACCAAAATTGAACGAGCATCTGAATATTATATTACTATCCCCGCTATCCCTTTTACTCTGTTGTCAACAATAAGTAAACCCCAGCAAAAAATAGCAATCATTGGGCATGCTCTGGAGTGCGGGTAACTAATACCTGTATTCCATTTAATGCTGTGTGCATGCATATGTATACAATTTTACTCTTGACACATTTTCAACAGAAAGGTCACCAAACTATGTTACACTATTGTACTTAACAACTATTAATCATTTGTTTAACAGAAATAATTTGCAACTGTGAAATAATAGTTGTTGGTTGTTTTGTTTTTTTTCCCCATCTCTTTATATTACGACAGAGGTCAGCATTTTATCAGCCATACAACAGAAAAAGGTACTTTTGTATAAAGGAAGAAAAATAGTGCATGTTGTTAAAATTACATAGATAAAGCTTGATGTTAAATATTATAATGATTATATACCCAAAACTGAAACAAGGAAATGAATGTTAAATATTTGAAATGTTAGGTTTCAATGTGTTAATGTAATTATAAATAAATTATAAATAAAGTGTATTATGAAATATTGAATACAAAGAATTGCAATACAAATACTGCCATAGTTTATTATTGTGATACAATTTTATTTTTTAATTTTAATTTTTTTTTAATGACTTCATTTAAACATTATTTTAAATGTTATGATGTTTAAAACTTTAAAAAAAAGAAGAAAACAACAGCAAAACCAAAAAAAAAAATAATAAAAAAGATTTATTAAGAAATTTTTTACAATGGGAAAAAAATTGGGCCCTTTAAATTTATTACATTAAATGACCAAAAAATTTTTAAAACTAAAATGTCAATTTTGAAAAAAATTTTCGTATCAGATTTGTACATGAAAATTTTGTTTTTGTAAAAAAAATTATTTCCCCAAAAATTTTAGTAAAGCAAAATTTTTTTTCCCTTTTTTTTAAATATGTCATTCCCTGCCCTTTTTTAAAAATCCCCCTTATAAAATGGGTTTATTACTGGGGATAAAAAATTATCAAAAAAATAATGAACCATATTAAAGCCCTTTTTTATCGACATTAATAAAAAAAATCAAAAAGAAGGGCACCTTTAGGGCCCTTTCACGTAAACGGAACTTTTCCTATGAATATCTTTTGGGTTGCATAAAAACCCAAAACAAACAAAAAATTAAATTAAAAAAAAAATTGGCCTTTGTCCCCTGGGGAAACCCCTCACTTACAGACCCCAAATAATTTTTTTATTATAATTATCCCTTTTATTTTTTTTTTCCTTTTATAAAGAAAAATAATGGTTTTTTTCAAAATGAAAAATGACCCAAACCGGGGAAATTTGCTCATTTACTGAAACTGGGGGTATTTGGAAAACACAAAAAAAATTATAGAAACAGAGACGTATCTGGCGGAAAACACGTCTTCAGCAATCCCCCGGTTCCCGGCCCGACGGGGGTTACCAGCAAACAAGATATCAAAAATAGAAAAAAAAACCCGTTTTTAATTGTTTGGGATGCTATGGTTCAAACCCCAGCCCAAAAAAAATTTAAAAAAAGGGGGCCCCCTGCCCGCCCGCAAGGGGTACCCCGATTCAAAGGGGGTAAATTTCCCTTTTTTTTGAATATTCAAATCAAAACAAGGTAAAGTGATATCTTATATAAGTATATTATTATAATATTTAGAAAATATGAGATATCTTTATTATATACTTATTTATAAATAAATAATTTTGTTTAGGGAAATATTGAATGAAGAACAAAGTGCAATTTTTCATTTTTTCTGTTTTTTTACCTGTTTAAATTTATTATGCTTCCCCAAAGGGTGAGCAAATTAGTCGCCGCTTTGTCTGTCCATCTTGTCCCGCTTTCCTTGTCCCGGAACATAACTGTAACAACAAAGGTACTGCATCATGAAATTTTTGTATGATAATTATGGGTAATTGCCAGTATTTTTTAAAGAAAAACCGTAACTCTGCCTTCCTAATTTTTGAGTTATTGCCTTTGTTCATTTTTACCCTTTAACTTTGTCCATGGGAAATAACTCTGAAACAATTAAGAAGATATTTATATGAAACTTTGTAGGTAAGATAAAATATCACTTGGGAAGATGAGCAGTGCGAAAAATTTCCTTCTTGCCTAAATTTTGGGTTTTTCACTTTGGGAAATTTTACAGGAAAATAATTTTGAAACAAAAAGGGAACTTTTTTTTGTCCCAAAAAATTGGGGGGCATCACCTGGGTTTAAACCGGGTTTTTTTTTTCAAATGAAGGGGAAAAAATTTTTTCTTTTCACACACCCGTCCGATTTTGACTCCGTAAATAAAGGGATTGCACGCCCCCTGAAAATATTTACTAAGTCATTGCGTTTACAAGACGCCGCTAAATGATAACGTTAAACTATAGGGGGCCCTCAAAAAAAAAATGATCTTTTTTCAACCCTTAAAAAAGGTCTTTATTTTCGGGTTTTTGATAAAAAAAAATTAAAATTTGTATAATTCCTTACTAATTTTTTTGAAATCCTTTAAAAAAACAATATTATGGGTCGCCAACTCGCATAATAAAAAATTTTTTCAACCCCGTCCCAAAAAAATTCAGTATTAACTTTTCACTATTTAATATCCTCTATTTATTTTCACTGGTGTCTTACTGGACCACTTTCTTCTTAAATCAGCCAGTAGCATAATTAAAGGAGAAGTCATAAGAATTGTAAGGGTAAAAAAGAAACACTGTATGATACTTCTATGCATTTTTTTTCAAAATTTTTGAATTTTTAAAAAATATCACATAAATTTTTCTTACTTTTCCCAAATTTAAATTCTGTTTATTTTTTTGCCGCCCGTCACAAAAATACAGGGTTTACTTTTGTAAACGCTTTTCGTCCTTTTCCTTTCCCTCGTCCGTCCGTAAACTTTTACTTTAAATGACATCTCCTCATAAACCACTAAGCCAATTTCATCCAAACTTCACAGGAATGTTCCTTTGGTGGTCACCTTTAAAAATTGTTCAAAGAATTTAATTTCATGCAGAACTCTGGTTGACATGGCAACCGAAAGAAAAAACTTTAAATATCTTCTTTTAAAAATCCAAAGAGCTAGAGCTTAGATATTTGGCATGAAACATCTTCTAGTGAGTGTCTACCAAGTTTGTTCAAATAAAAGCCCTGGGGTCAAAATTGGCCCCGCCCCAGGGGGTCATTGATTTTCCCTATATGCATATAGTAAAAACTTAAAAAATCTTCTTTTAAAGAACCCAAAGAGCTAGAGCTAAGACATTTAGCATGAAACATCTTCTAATGAGTGTCTACCAAGTTTGTTCAAATAAAAGCCCTGGGGTCAAAATTGGCCCCGCCCCAGGGGGTCATTGATTTTCCCTATATTCATATAGTAAAAACTTAAAAAATCTTCTTTTAAAGAACTCAAAGAGCTAGAGCTAAGATATTTAGCATGAAACATGTTCTAATGGGTGTCTACCAAGTTTGTTCAAATAAAAGCCCTGGGGTCAAAATTGGCCCGGCCCCAGGGGTCATTGATTTTCCTTATATGTGTTTATCAAAAACTTAAAAAATCTTCTTTGAAAAAACCCAAATAGCTAGGGTTTAGATATTAAGCATGAAACATCTTCTAGTAAGTGTCTACAAATTTTGTTCAAATAAAAGCCCTGGGGTCAAAATTGGCCCCGCCCCGGGGGTCATTGATTTTCCTTATATGTGTATAGCAAAAACTTAAATCTTCTTTGAAAAAACCCAAATAGCTAGAGTTTAGATATTAAGCATGAAACATCTTCTAGTAAGTGTCTACAAATTTTGTTCAAATAAAAGCCCTGGGGTCAAAACTGGCCCCGCCCCAGGGGTGTCATTGTTTTTAACTATATGTGTATAGTAAAAACTTAAAAAATCTTCTTTTAAAAAACCCAATGAGCTAGAGCTTAGATGTTTAGCTTGAAACATCTTCTTATGGGTGTCTACCAAGTTTGTTCAAATGAAAACCCTTGGGTTAAAATTGGCCCTGCCGGTGGGGGGGGGGGAGAAGGAGGTCATTGTTCTTCATTATATGTGTGTAGTGAAAATTTATGAAACTCATGAAACATCTTCTAATGGGTGTTCCAAGTTTGTTCAAATAAAAGCCTTGGGGTTTAAACTGGCTCCGCTTCGGGGGCCTATATACAGGTGAGCGACCTCAGGGCCATCATGGCCCTCTTGTTTCTGTTTATATGCCATCACTACAAATATATATGAATTTGTATTTTTGTGAAACTATTATAGTATATTTATATAAATGATCACTAACTGTATCCGATAATGCTTTAAAATGTTCTTATAGTTCTGTTCAAATACTTTTAAGGGTTTTCAAATCTTGTCACTTTAGTGTAATAACAGGGGGGTTAATTCCTATTAAATTATATAAGGTGTTATCCTATTTCTGAACTAAGGTGGCTATTTCTAGATCTTTCAAGACATCTAAAAACATTAAAAATATCATCAACAGCTATAAATCTGTTTATCTCAGAAAAAAGGGTGCTTCAAAAATCTTTTTAAAAAAACAAACAAAACAAGTTAGCTTTAAAAGTTCAATATAATGATGATTATTTGTTAATTTTAAACATCTATATTTTTTCAGAGTATTTGAACGAGGGTCTAGGTGAAGTGTTGACAGGTCAAGGATCTCAAGGTAATAATTCACGTCACAAGCCGTCCCCTGAACCGGACCCAGAGCTAGGACTAGGCTCTCTGGTGGAGGTCATGTCCACAAAGCCGCTTTATGGCCTGATCAAGTGGATTGGACATCTACCAGACCAGAAAGAACCAAAAAAATTGATAGCAGGACTTGAAATGGTATATATATTTGAGCCGCGTCAAGACAAAACCAACATAATGCGTTTGCGACCAGCATGGATCCAGATCAGCCTGCGCATCCACGCAGTCTGATCAGGATCCGTGATGTTCGCTTACAAACCCTATAACAAGTAAAGAAACTGATAGCGAACAGCATGGATCCTGATCAGACTGCGCGGATGTGCAGGCTGGTCTGGATGGTCGCAAACCCATTATGTTGGTTTTGTCATGACGCGGCTCATTTAAGAATATTTTTCACAATAGGAAATACATGTACACATGATATTTGTTTGACATTGATTTTGCATTGCATTAAACTGACATTACCATTATGCTCATCCAAGTGTAAATGCTGAATAAACTGGTAAATGTAAGAAAAACATTTTTCAATAATTGTGTGCAATTTCATATTTGACTATGGAAAAAAAACCATGTGTCAAACGGAAATTTCTATAATTATCATTCAGTATGTATCGATAATGCTCAATTCTTTAAATTGGGACTGTCTTTTTTATAATTTTAGGTCGTTTTATATTGTATCATACACGTTTATCATCATTTAATGGCCAAACATCATGATAATAACAATCTTTTGAAATAATTTACTATTTCAACTCAACTTGACACTTAAAAAATGACCATGATGTCACTTTAAGGGTTATAATAAAATCATCATATACAAAATTAAATTATGTATATATGTATATGTTTATGCTAGGCAAGCATAAAGATTCATAATTACTAGAGTACCTAGTAAATTTGGTATGTCATTTTATTTAAAGCAGTTCATTCAACTTACAAGTATGAATATTTTCATTTGAAATGGAAATCAATAATTAACCAGGTAGTATTTTATATGTTTGTAAATTGAATATTGTAATGTCAGGTAGTATATTATATGTTTGTAAATTGAATATTGTAATGTCAGATAACATATTATGTGTTTGTTAACTGTCAGGAAATAAGGTGTTGGAAGACTGTTGAGGAATTGTTATCTTGATTTTAATATCAAGATATGATATTTATTTCAGACGTTTTAAGTGTTTGGTTTAAATGTTAGCTAGTATAAAGTGGTGTAAAAAGTGTTGATAAAGTGTTGATTTTAATGTCAGGCAGTATTTATTTGTGTGAAGTGAGCTGATAAAGTATTGATTATAATGTCAGGTAGTATAAAGTAGTGTGAAGAGTGTTGATAAAGTGTTGATTTTAATGTCAGGTAGTATAAAGTAGTGTGAAGAGTGTTGATAAAGTATTGATTATAATGTCAGGTAGTATAAAGTAGTGTGAAGAGTGTTGATAAAGTTTTGATTTTAATGTCAGGTAGTATAAAGTAGTGTGAAGAGTGTTGATAAAGTATTGATTTTAATGTCAGGTAGTATAAAGTAGTGTGAAGAGTGTTGATAAAGTTTTAATTTTAATGTCAGGTAGTCTAAAGTAGTGTGAAGAGTGTTGATAAAGTATTGATTTTAATGTCAGGTAGTATAAAGTAGTGGAAAGAGTGTTGATAAAGTATTGATTTTAATGTCAGGTAATCTCAAGTAGTGTGAAGAGTGTTGATAAAGTATTAATTTTAATGTCAGGTAGTATAAAGTAGTATGAAGAAGAGTGTTGATAAAGTATTAATTTTAATGTCAGGTAGTATAAAGTAGTGTGGAGAGTGTTTATAAAGAAAGTATTAATTTTAATGTCAGGTAGTCTAAAGTAATGTCAAGTTCTATGTTACTATATGGTAATGTTAGGTGGTATGTCGACTTTTATGTTATAATTTCTCAACTGTTACGTTATAATTTCTCAACTGTTACGTTATAATTTCTCAACTGTTATGTGATAATTTTACAACTGTAACATTATAATTTCACAACTGTTACGTTATAATTTCTCAACAGTTATGTTATAATTTCACAACTGTTACGTTATAATTTCTCAACTGTTACGTTATAATTTCTCAACTGTTACGTTATAATTTCTCAACTGTTACATTATAATTACTCAACTGTTACATTATAATTTCTCAACTGTTACATTATAATTTCTCAACTGTTACATTATAATTTCTCAACTGTTACATTATAATTTCTCAACTGTTACGTTATAATTTCACAACTGTTACGTTATAATTTCTCAACTGTTACATTATAATTTCTCAACTGTTACGTTATAATTTCACAACTGTTACATTATAATTTCACAACTGTTACATTATAATTTCTCAACTGTTACGTTATAATTCTCAACTGTTACGTTATAATTTCTCAGCTGTTATGTTATAATTTCTCAACTGTTAAGTTATAATTTCTCAACTGTTATGTTATAATTTCTCAACTGTTACATTATAATTTCTCAACTGTTACGTTATAATTTCTCAACTGTTACATTATAATTTCACAACTGTTACATTATAATTTCACAACTGTTACATTATAATTTCTCAACTGTTACGTTATAATTTCTCAACTGTTACGTTATAATTTCTCAACTGTTACGTTATAATTTCACAACTGTTACATTATAATTTCTCAACTGTTACGTTATAATTTCTCAACTGTTACATTATAATTTCTCAACTGTTACGTTATAATTTCTCAACTGTTACGTTATAATTTCTCAACTGTTACGTTATAATTTCACAACTGTTACATTATAATTTCTCAACTGTTACGTTATAATTTCTCAACTGTTACATTATAATTTCACAACTGTTACATTATAATTTCACAACTGTTACATTATAATTTCTCAACTGTTACATTATAATTTCTCAACTGTTACGTTATAATTTCACAACTGTTACATTATAATTTCACAACTGTTACATTATAATTTCTCAACTGTTACATTATAATTTCTCAACTGTTACATTATAATTTCTCAACTGTTACATTATAATTTCTCAACTGTTACATTATAATTTCACAACTGTTACGTTATAATTTCACAACTGTTACGTTATAATTTCTCAACTGTTACATTATAATTTCTCAACTGTTACGTTATAATTTCACAACTGTTACATTATAATTTCACAACTGTTTACATTATAATTTCTCAACTGTTACGTTATAATTTCTCAACTGTTACGTTATAATTTCTCAGCTGTTATGTTATAATTTCTCAACTGTTAAGTTATAATTTCTCAGCTGTTATGTTATAATTTCTCAACTGTTACATTATAATTTCTCAACTGTTACGTTATAATTTCTCAACTGTTACATTATAATTTCACAACTGTTACATTATAATTTCACAACTGTTACATTATAATTTCTCAACTGTTACGTTATAATTTCTCAACTGTTACGTTATAATTTCTCAACTGTTACGTTATAATTTCACAACTGTTACATTATAATTTCTTAACTGTTACGTTATAATTTCTCAACTGTTACATTATAATTTCTCAACTGTTACGTTATAATTTCTCAACTGTTACGTTATAATTTCTCAACTGTTACGTTATAATTTCACAACTGTTACATTATAATTTCTCAACTGTTACATTATAATTTCTCAACTGTTACGTTATAATTTCACAACTGTTACATTATAATTTCACAACTGTTACATTATAATTTCTCAACTGTTACATTATAATTACTCAACTGTTACATTATAATTTCTCAACTGTTACATTATAATTTCTCAACTGTTACATTATAATTTCAGGAGGAAGAGACGACCGCTGGAACAGACGGAACGTTCGGAAGCCATAGGTTATTTAATTGTCCCCCTCGTAAAGGATTATTTGTACCATTATATAAATGTCGCAAAGATAAACGTTTCATGGATGAACGTCAAATGAGAAGTCCTTCTGCGGACAGAAGTATTAACTTTGGCAGCACAGAGACTCCCGATTTACCTGGAACTGTTTCGCCCCCTACCTCCCTAGAAAATATAAGTCTTGTCTGTGGGAAAGGTCGTGGAATTCAAGGTCATCATAATTCTTGTTATATGGACGCTACACTTTTAGCTATGTTCTATTTTACGACTGTATTTGATTCTATATTACATCGTCCAAAAACGTCAGCCGATTTAAAGGAATATACCGAGGTTCAGCAAGTGTTGAAAGAAGGCATTGTGAATCCATTAAGAAGGTAATTTAGAATTGATAACATTTTTTTTTTTTAAGAGATAGACAAAGTTAAATGTGTAAATACTGTGAATTCACTTAATTTCGTGGACACCGATTTTTGCTGTTTTGTCACAGAAAACAATTTCATGGGTGCTTAAATTTGTTGTCCGTTCATTTTTCCAAAAGGTAAAATGTAAATAATGGGTTGCAAAATAACCTTACAGCAGATGAAATGAAATTTCATTGGAATTTTTTTAATTTGTGGATTCAAGTAACTTTGAAAATTAGTGCCACACAAAAAATAATGATTTTGCAGTATTATATGATAAGGTTTGTTTGTATGTTTGACCTTTAGGTCAGGTGGTCTTGACCTGTGAAAAGTATGCTGATTTGACCTCTCATGAATTCTCTCACAGGCCATACAATGCGAAAATTCTTGCTGATATATATATATTTTTATATCCAGTATCCATGAATTTGTTATTGGTTAATGGCTTTTTTGTATTAAATCACATTACAATCTTAAGTATTTTGCAGTATTTTAGAGTTGAATTTAATCATGTATAAATTGCATGTAAACATTAATTATGAATAGGATATATCGTATGTCAGAAATAATTATATTGAAGATCTAATATTACTAACCGTAATTTACTAATGATTTTAATGCTATAAAGTGTATCTACTATTGTACTGGAAATATTAACTTATAAAAGTTATTATCATATCTTATGTCAGCTTGACATTAAAGGCTTATTAGCCTATATAAGACTGTTGTAATATACATGTATGTGGATTTCTTAAAGCAAAATGCCTCCAGATGAGTCAAAATATTTCAATAAAATCAAACTTAGGTTTTAAGGAATAGTAAAAGGATTCAAGATTCAAATAATATGTTACATTTTATGTGCGGTTAATGACTTATTTTTCAGTTTTTACAACCATATTTCTACTGCGTTACTAACGCAGTAAGGGCTATTTATGTATATTTTGACCACTTTTTGGTAATGAACGTGGGTAATAAGTGTCATCGTTAATGTGTATATGCTTCCTTTTGGTAACTTCACATTAATATACATTGAAATACACTTTCAATATTTTCATGAAAATTAGCATGAATCTGGAGGCGTGCTGCTTTAACAGACTTTCTTCTCCTTAACCCATTACTTCATGAGCCTTTTGTAAAAATGGCTGTTTTCATTGAAAAGTCTCCCGTTGCAAGTTGCTATAAAACATTTCTCAAACGAAAACATGTGTTTGGGACCCAAGCAGGACATTTTTTCACTGTTTGAGGCCTAAAAGGGGGGGGGGGGGTCGAAAGTGCGTTGTTTCGCGTATATATGAGGTAAAGGGTTAATACATGTATATAACAAAGAAAGCACTATAACTGGATGTCAGGGAAGAGTGTCTGTGGCTGAATGGTTAAGATTGTTGATTTCCAAGCACTTGCCCCTCATGGCTTGGGGTTGGAATCCCATCACAGATTCTTTCAAGTTTGGAAGCTATTCAACTACCTTACTGAACATTGGTGGTTCTATTCAAATGCCCACTAAGGTCTCTGAAGTAATGCATGAAGCAGGTACCTAAGGTCTGCCTTTCAAGTAAACGTGGAAAGTTGTCATGTGACCCTTGAAGTTTCAGTATAACTAACAACCCAACAAAACAAACAAGCGAGATATTAGAGACTATAACATGGCAGCCATTTTGTTTGATCTGTGACTGCTTCTAAGCAATTGTTGAAAAAAATGCACAATCTTACAATAATCATACAATTAAGGAAATCTGCAATGTTTGATAAGACACCCCCAAAATCATACTACATTAAAAAATTAAAAATGGACATACAACCATTGATAAGAAGGGCCCCAAATGTATATGACCTTCACAGCCATTATGAAATGTTACTGATAGATTCTTCTATAAATTGTTTCAGGATGATATATGTGCTATTTATCTTTAGTGACTCTGAAATCCTGTGTAAGACTTGTGTTGTTAAGTTTGCATGGATTGGTTGGGTTTTTATCTTCTCAGATTTATTATTTGGAAATTTAATGATAATGAATAAATGTCTGATAGCATGTCATTTGTTCTACTCAGGTGCCCGTTGTGCCTGAAATAATGCACAGAGGGGCACATGAGATATTCCTTCATCAGTAAAGCTGGAAAACCACCATATAACCATTAGTGAACAACCCCCCCCCCCCAAATAAAAAGAGAGGGAAAAATGCAGATTTTAATTTTTAATACATTGTAGTATGTTCAATCTAACAGACATTATGTCAGTGTGATTTCTTTTAAACTACATTTTCTTGTTTATTGTTACAACAAACTCAGTCCATTATTTTTCCTGTATTTTAGACATCACTATGTGAGAGCTGATAAAATGATGAAATTGAGAAAATTGTTAGATAAAGTTGGTAAAATACCCGGAATGATGAGTGAAGAAAAAGGTAAGTAATAATAAAACGAATAAATATTTAGACATCCTAAGAAATCTTGTCCTTATAAGGATCTATTTAATTGCACATAAATTATCCAATAGTGTTGAAGGTCATTAGCGTAGCTTTTCACTAAAGCAAATATTACTGGTTATAATACAATGGACAATGCTTAAATATAATGGATGATTATATAGCCTATGATTCAAACCTATATTGTATGATGTGCTAGGTAAGTCCAATATAGATTTTGAAACTGTGTACTATTCCAATAGAATCGGTATTGTACATGTATATAGTAATCTGTAGTGACTTGCTCTTAGTATAATTTCACACCACAAGTTTTTAACTTTTGACAGAGTTTTGTTAATTTTTTGGGGTTTGGAAATGAAACAAAGATAGATTTAGTACAATATGGATTTTATATAGATATTTTGGATTCGAAGGTGGGGTTGGGGGGGGGGGGGGAACTAAGTCCAATAATGATTTGTATGGCAACATCCACATGGTGCAAACTCTGGAACTTTATTGGTTACTTTTTATAAAGTGTGAAAGAAAGCAAATTATTTACTGGGTAAAATATAAATGATATTCAGTAATTCTAGTGAATGCTAGTTAAAAATGATCCCTGGCTTTTATGGAATTAACCTCTGTTCAGTTGTTGAAACATGATATGAATTAATTAGAAGTGATTGTTTTTTATTTCTGCTTGGTATGATATGTATTGTTGTATTGTGCAGGGTCAAAGACTTTCTTTAATTTCAGATCCTGAAGAATTTTTAAACTTGCTGTTAAATGAAATAACAAAAGCAGATCCGTTCCTAAAAATTTGGTAAGTTGAAGGTTATGAACAAATAATTAATTGAACAATTGTAAAAGCAGAATTTATGTTTTAGCCCAATGATTAAAGCGATATTAATATTATGTATACACTGTATTAAATCAATTTCATTATCACTGAAATAGTATGAGTGTTAATGCACTTTTACTAAGGCAATATTTTTGTTAAAGCATAGTAAATGACTCAGTGTCATTGGGATTGGATACTTACTGAAGCAGTATTTATGTTTAAACACAGTGAATGATACAGATGAAATGTTATTTCATTACAATTATTGAAGTACTATGAAAAGTACGTGAAAAGGCATATAGATGAGATTGCCATATTTATATCTTAAAAAGTTAAACATTTTGAAATATGAAATGTTATACTATTAAATGTTAATTAATGTTAATTTGTCTAAAGTTGTAAATATATTTAGATTGATAAAATTCCCCTTGCAGTTCGTCTGAATATATCCAAATTGTTACAGTTTCGATAATGGACAACAAAATTTTTTAAGTGATTATCCCTAGATCAAAATAATTTAATGATGGTTAAGCGTTTTGGCCGATATTAGGTTGTTGTTGTTTTTTTGTTTCAAAATTATTACAGGACTCCAAATATAAATAGGTTTTGAGAATTATGAATAATAGCATTTGGGATGGGGGGGGGGGGGGCAATTAGCATTTGTTTGTAGAACATAAAATATAAATAGAATATAGAAATACAACATGATTTAACAATTGATATATCATTATTTCAGTGCTGAAGACAATCAGGAGACTCAGCATACATATTTCTATCAGTTGATAATGGAGAAAGATGAAAGACTAGTTCTACCAACCACACAACAATTATTTGAACTTTCATTTCTACAGATTGGTATCAAGTTAAAAGAGGTTTGTTTGTGTGTTCTTTGTTAGTTCATAATAGTGATGTTCCGATTGTCGCAAGTCGCCGATAATCAGTTACTGTTATGTTAATCGACAATAATCGATTCACAAAAATTTGTTCCGCGACGTCGTCGAATATGTTTAAACTATCAAAGAGAATTAATTCTGACGGTAATTTTCTTTTATGAACACCTCGCCGATCGCAAAACAATCATCTCAGAGACAATTTGGAGTTGAACAGGATCAATACGTGATGTGAACAAAAGTAATTTAATGTGATGTGAACGTTATTATTTGTCATCAATTGAAAAATAAAATCTATTTCGTAAATTTATGAATATATAACGTTAAAACTGTGTTGAAAAGGGCTAAATGAAGTTCATATTACTGACTATAATTACCTGCCTTGGGAAGAAATGTTACTTCCCTATTTCTTTTTAACGCGACTTTATTCGAAAAGTTATCGATTATGTCCCATCCAACTGAACCGATGATCGATTGGAACAAATTTCATCCGATTTCCATCACTAGTTCATAATAATACCAAGGGTGTTAACGTATATTTTGGTTATCTGATATTGGCATTGTAATTGTTTGAATAGGGATAAGGATTGAACTAAATTCCTTAATATGAATGAATGATATTTGTTAAGTTTTGTGAATGCTATTAGCATAATTATGCTATACCCTTGTTATAAATTTGTAATGGAATATTTTATTACGGAATATTTTATTCTGTTAACTTTACAATATTCATGCATTTGAACTAAGAGAGACAATCTTTCCTCCAATTTTTAGCTTGCCTATACAAAGAGTAGAGAGAGCCTATTGTACTCACCCAGGTGTAAGCGTGTGTCATACTTTGGTTAAGTTTTTGTGTTAGTTGGTATCTCCAAAAATACTGAATGGGATGGCTTGAAACTTCATACACTTATTAAATAATAACAGCATTATAGGAGCTTACCTACCTTTAAGTCCCTTGTGGCGGTGGGGTTGCTTCTAATGGTAAAGACATAAGAATTAAACTACCTTTATTTCTGCGTGATCTTAAAAGAGAGGCGACTAAATGGGGTAAAAAAACTGGAGCCTATGCAACTCTGAGCTACTGCAGTTTTGACCCCTGGTGTTGTTTTGAAGTTTGTTACACCTGAATTTGTCCAACATCACCTTTCCTATTCAGGTGCCACTTGACTTATACTGTGCTGGTGTGTCATAAAACAAACCAAAACAAACATACCATTGAAAACTTTTAATTATTAACTATATGCTAGAAAATTACGTTTACTTATTTAGGAAAACTTCATCTCTTTCTGTTTTATATTTCAGGTACCGTCTTGTTTAATTATACAGATGCCAAGGTTTGGAAAGGATTATAAAATGTACAAACGAATTCTTCCTAGTCTTGAGCTTGATATTACAGATGTGTTAGAAAATGGTATGATTATTTTGAATATCTCTGACAATTTTATTGTATACAAATCCGGAAACAACAGTAGATTGAGTTTTATTTCTTTCAAAGCTGTTAAAACTTGTTCAGCATGATTTATGTAAACTGATTTTTTTTATCTGATTCATGTCAACACAAAGTATTTAAAATTGTGTGTTTACCGGGGCAAAATTTTTTTATTTTTTTTCAATGTTTAGATAAGTTATATACATATGTTAATTCACAAATTTATCATCTGCTATTTTTTATAAGTAATTTTTTTTGAAATATAACACTTGATCAAAGGTACAGTACAGCTTCAGCAGAGCAAAATCATTTTGGGAGCAAAAGATTTTGGTGAGAGTTGTTGCTCTGAGAAGTAAAATTTATTGTACAGTAAAATCTCTGAAAACCGGAATCCTCTGAAAACTGGACCATTTTAAAAGTCCTGTATTTTCTCCCTATATGTTCATTGACAAAAATCCTCTGAATACGGGAACCTTTGAATTATGGCTTCTAATGCGGAAGACAGACAAAACCCTACACATCAAAACCCCACACCTTTAAATTTTATAGAGTGGACAAAACCCCACACCTAAATTTTATACAGTGGACAAAACCCCACACCTTCAAAAAGAAATTAAAATATGACTGAGACAAAAGGGTTGAAAAGTAAATACAAAATGATTGAACAAAGTCATTGTTTAAACACATGACACTTATCAATAAATGTATAAAACCTCTGAAAACCGTAATCCTCTGAAAACCGGCCTTTTGGTCAAGTCCGAACAGTTTTACAGTATTTTGTTATGTTTATTTTGTAAAGTCTAGAGATAAGTTCTCTACAATGGGTTGCTCTACAGAAACTGTTTATTTTCCTAAGCTCAACTTATTTGAAAAGGAGAGTTACTGTACTCACCCTGGCATTGGTGTCGCTGTCAAAATTTGTATCCATTTTTGCATTGGTATCTCCAAAACAACTGAAGGGTTGAAACTTAAGGCACTAATCGTCACTTAGTGCTGTAATGTTTTAACTTCGATTTAAATTCTATGTATATTATATAAAACTGTTGATTTCTTGCAGCACCAAGAGAGTGTATTATATGTGGAGATTTAGCTGCATATGAATGTAAAGAATGTTACCAGGTCCATGGTGCAGGACTTAACACTATAGCTTTTTGTGATGGTTGCAAGAGAACGGTTAGTATAGATATTGCTGTCTTCCAACTTTGTTTTGTTTTGTATAAGTGAAGCATGTTAGACATTTACTGGCAAGACATTACCTATTTCCAGTTTCTCTTGATTCCGCTTTAGTACTTAACCAATTTGCAAAGCAAAATCTGCCTTTTTTTTCAAACTATGTAAAGATGAAAGCATTATTGTATTAATATATTATGTAAGTTAATGATTTTCTCCTGACACCTCCAGTGAAACAAACTTAAATGATTAACAATTTAACATAAACATGAATTTATGCATTAATACATTATACTTATTATATCATATGATATTAGTGCAACTGATGCCTTTGAAAAATTTATTTCCTAACAACTGCTGGTTAAGATACTGCTATTGAGGTTGAATGTTAGGAAGCTCTCCATCTTGCTAATATATTGTTTATGATTTTACTTACATGTTGGTAATTGCTGATCTTGTAGTAATGCACTTCTGAGGAAAGTTTTCTGTCATCATCAACCAGTTTGATACAGCCTTAAAACAGCATGCAAATTTTAAAGAAAATTTAGAAAGTGTTGTTATCTTAAATAGAAAAAGCCTTAAAAGTGAATAAATTAAGTGATTAAAAACTAGAAATCTACAAAATTTACTGAATATGTACCCAATAATGCAAAAACTTCATAACTACATTCACAGCAAGGTAGAAACAGGGTATTGAAAATAGTAAATATTAAAAGTCATATTTTGTAGAAAGCCTATAAAAAAATCACAGTTGGTGAAAATTCTCATTTCTCAAACTCTTAATTTCCTTTTTTAAAAGATTGATTTTTTGACACTTTGCTCAATTTTGGTATCAAAGCCTTATGTGGTTGTGATTTAACAGATTTGTTACACAGATTCCTGATAGAAAAAAAACACACACATCAATAAAGAGGTATATTGGTACTTTTCTGTCCCAGCAAAAAAAATTGTGCTTTGATAGGCCATGTTTATGACAGATCTTTTACTTTCTTGTATTTCTGTTTCCGATAGAGTCATCAACATAAATTGCGAGTTAATCATAGCTGTAGGAAGATAAGTGTACCTCCAGCCTACCATGATTATTACATGAGGAAAAAGGACGAGGGAAAACCTGTACCTATACCGCGTGAAAAAATGGAACTTTTTGCAGTGATCTGTATACAGACCAGTCACTATGTCTCTTTTGTAAAAACTGGGAAAGGTCGGGATGCTAAATGGATCTTCTTTGACTCCATGGCGGATAGAATGGGTATATTATTTTTCTTTCTCTGAAATCTGTTACCTAGTTTGAACATATTTGAGCCACGGCATGACAAAACCAAAATACTGCGTTTGCAACCAGCATGGATCCAGACCAGCCTGCGCATCTGCGCAGCCTGATCAAAGATCCATGCTGTTCGCTTACAAACTTTATAAAAAGTAGAGAAACATCATGGATCCTGATCAGACTGGGCGGATGCACAAGCTGGACTGGATCCATAATTGTCGCAAACACACTTTGCTGGTTTTGTCATGGCATGGCTCATTAATTTTATTTACACAAGATTGTGATGACGTAGATCAAACATACTTATTTTAACTTGATTATGATGAAATCCTGAAGTTTAATGGTACGTCTGTCAAGACTGCGAAGGAGTTAGCAAACATTTTTGACTGTCAAGACTGCGAAGGAGTTAGCAAACATTTTCTGCATTATATCCCCAATTCGCTCTTGATAGATCAAAGGAAAATCAATTTTACCAAAAAAGTATTTAGTCCCAAGCGATTATTAGAGATTTGTAAACGCCCATATTTGGTTTAATTTCCCGGCTGCTGACTATCATTAGCCAATCAGAATGCCTCCTATATATGGAAGCCTGACAACAGTTTATTGGTCTGAGACATACTTTATTGTGTGGAATAAGGGTTATGCATTGTTGGTGGTTGATAAAGTAAAAACATGTGTGTTATTCTCTTATTAACAAAGCAATGCAGGGTCAATATTTAAACAATGTAAAGACTATATGCTGTGGATTTTTCACTATTTGTTCATATTTCACACTCATACGCGTTTAACCATCTTCCATGTTTAAAATTTTCTTTACAATGACTTTATACAGAATCAACTTGTATATTACAGGTGAACAAAGTGGCTATAATATACCGGAAGTTCGCGAATGCAGCGATATCCCGCGCTGGTTATCCGACGAATGTTACAGTGACATTATGAAGTACCCGGAAGATAAAACGCTACCGGAACATATGAGACGACTTTTTTGTGACGCTTATATCTGCATGTACCAAAGTCCTCAAGTTATGATGTTTAAATAAGCTTGAATTTGCGTTATTTCTTTTTACAAATATTATTTATAGAGCATTCTTGAATTTTTGAAGTTTCGGAAGAAACACATAATGAAAACAGTGCCTAATAAAAAATAAATAAAGGATACATGTCAGATACAGCAAGTTATACAACTTGACAATAGAAGTACAATGTTCGTACATTTATCTACTCGGCTTAGTTATTGTAATGCTGGGAAAGTATATTTTCAATCACAAAGGGGCAGTTTGCAAATATTTAATAGTTAACAGTGTTAAGCAATGCAAAGTCACACATACATTATCTTCCTAAAAAGAAGAAGAGTAGAGCAACAAGAGTATTCAGAGGAAAAAATGGGTAAAGTCAAACTGGAATATAATGCTTGAAGATATCTTCTATAAATGTAATTATCTTGTTTAACTTGACTAAATACACCCCCACTACACAAAGTGTGGTGGGTGCTATATTGGAATCACTTTGTCTTGTTGCATAACAAATGTTTTTCTTTAATATTTTTTTAAGCACTTCAGCTATTAAGTTTGAACTTATTATTATATTAAGAGGGTCACAAAAATGTTCAGTAGGCCGAGTTACAAAATCCTTTATTGCTTTTTGACATAAATTGTACCCTCTTTAAGAAATTAGTTTTTATTTGAGTATCTCTAAGACAAGTAAGGGTGATAACTAGTATTTAAAAGATAAGTGTATAGTCTGCTGCAAAAACTATTGGAAGTATTGTTTTAATTTTGAAAATGCTTGTATGAAACAAATATGGTAGTAATTGCATTAAAAGCAAACGGTGCATGCAAGATATGATTGCTAAACATATGAAACCCTACTTAAAATAGTAGAATAATATTTTATCCCTTGAACATTTTATTCTGTTTACATATAAAATTCATGCATGTTGAATAACAGAGACATTCTATGTTACAACTCATTAGAGAATTGACCATAAAATTTGAATATCACTGAAACCAAAATAGATATTCACTTCAAATTTTAAATGTTATTAAATGAACTTATTCAGTTATATTACTTCACTGTTTTTGCTTGTTTCAATTAATTGGCACAGTCTAAGGTGTCCTGTTTCAAACTTTGTTTGAAGGTTTAAAATCTGTTGGTACTTTTAGCTGAAGAATGATTTATTTATTGCACCAGAGACTGTTCCTTTTTATGTGCTGTTATACTACAAAAGTTATATCCCCTTTCCAACTACCAACGTCACCTTCTATCAAAGACATTGGTGGGTGTATGAATCACGTTCAGTGAGTGTTGCTTTATACGGTATTGTTAAACTCGTTACATGTGAACAAAGTCAGAGAGAAAACAGAATGTTACAGATACAGAAAAAATAATATTGGGTTGGTTAATATGTTCTGTTGGACAAATACCTTGCTGTGATAATAAACAAGCTGCAAGGCTAGTCTCGTGATTCTGTAGATGTATTCCTGTGTTGTACTGAACATTGTGTTATAACAGTTATTATACTATACCTATTTTATTGAAGGTATTCACACGTTAAAGTGACATTATACCCATATTTTCATAGTCAAGTTGAGCTGAATTCACAATATATTACAAAAGATTGACTGTTTTAACAGTGATTGACCAATGGTTGATATTGAAAAATGTATAGGATAAAATATGAATCTGCCTTAAAGCTGCACGTCTCCAGATAGCCAAAATATTTCAAGAAATTCAATCTTTAGAAAAATGTATTAAGATCTTAAGAAAAGTAAAAAGATTCAATATCACTTAATTATTTACATGTTATGAGCGATTAGTGACTGATTTTGCCATATCAATCACTATAATTCTACTGCATTACTAACACAGAAAAAGGTATTTATGTATTTTTTTTATCTCTTTTTGGTAATTAACTGGATTGTAAGTACCATTTGCAATAAGTAAATTACTTTCTTTATTCACTTCACAATATTTTACTTTAAATACATTTTCAAAATTTTCATGAAAATTAGCATGCTACTTAAAATATAAAAAGACTGACTCACTCTTTTATTAATTTGAATGTAACATAAGGTAAAATCAAATAAATGTTTATAGAACTTTCCTTGGACCACATGAATTTTTTTATCGTCCATCAGAAGAAAACTTTAAAACTGAAAGGAATTATCGCAAAATGAAAACTTATTTTGACTTTCACTTGTTCACTCACTATATATACCCTTGGATGGGCATAATGTCACTTTAATCAACTTGTTTCATCAAATGATATGCAAAGGTTATCTTATAATTTGAGTCTGATTAAGGAACCTTTTCACAAGATTTGCTACGTATCATAACAGTTGAACAGTTGCAAAAGAGTGCTTAACCTTAAAAATTTTTGTATTAAAAATACCAATATACTGGACTTCATATGCACCTGTATACAGTTAATACTGTCATATATTTGGTCACATGTTGTAAAGGAAACATGTGATTGGATAATTAAAATAGGTATAGAAAGTAAGTATAATTGTCATTTCATCCATTTTGTTAGTTTTCAATATTTGTGCTGTGGAGAATTATGCATGAATCATTTTATATACATTGAAATCCATATGAAAATCATTAAAATCTGAATGTGTGTAGTAAGTAATTGTTATCCGTAACTCAACAAATGTGGGTTGGTCTCCACCAATCTGGTGTGACACAAACAAACTTTTACCATTATAGCTTCATTGTGTTTAACCATTCAAAAAAAGAGTTTTCAATGCGGCTGCGATAATAATCATTAAATACCAGTAAAAGTTTGTTTATACTTCCGGAATAGATTTGGAACAAACCAACATTTTCCGATTTCTTGATTATTCTATTGCACATGATGTGTATATAAGAGTGTTAATGAATGTTTCATACACAGTTTATGAATTTTTTTATACACTAGGTGTGTCATATAAGTTTGCACATTTGCAATGTTTCATGTGAAAATTAATGAAATTTGCCTTCATTTTACATGTTAATTCTTTAGGAACTTCAAATGACTTTGATGTAAAATTTTATTTATAAAAGCTTTGTATAATTGTAAAATGTTTAAAGAAATAAAAGAGAAAATTAAATCTTTGTTGAAGTGTTTATTATGAGATTTATCACACATCAAGTCAATGTTATGAAGTTTAATTGTTGTGGTGTTTAAGTTTACTCTCCAGAACAAGGCAGAAAGCCACATATAATTTACAAGAGCACATTTCAGTCACCGCATCATTCTTAGGCAGACTGCCAAACAGTTTACTAGAATTAGTTGCCTTCACTTTCTCAAGGACATGATAACTTCTGTACATGTTAGAGCAAAGGTCCAGTGTGAATGTGCGAAGAAAGGATTTCATGATCAATCACAACAAAAGTGACTTGCACCATCCGGCATTCAAACCCCAGGTCGCCTGAATTACAGTCCAATGCTTATTGACCTATCTAGCTAACTGGCTGGTTCATGGTGTTTGATGTTTACATAATAAAGTCTGATCTGCAGGCGTAATGATGTCACATGATATGAGATTATTTTTACTCCCTAGTATGATCTTGACCTTCAATGCAAAATCTATATTTATATGACAATAAATTTTGCTAATTTTGATGAACTTAAGGATACTTTAGATCCCCCATTGAATATTCATTAAAAGGGTTGGTACTGATAACTCCTGTGAAGTTTCATTGAAATCCTGGCAGTAGTTTGATATGTTAAAGCCAGACAAGGATTTTCTAGCTCTGGCAGTCATTTTGTGCAGCCAAGCCAAACATTCTGGTAATATGCACAACTAGATTTGGTATTTATTTGGTACTGTGACGTTTCGTCAAAATTCCGCCTGCAGTTTGACCAGTGAAAGCTGGACAAGGATTTTCTATTTTTACATCTGGTGACCATTTTGTGCAGCAAGCATCATTTTTTAGCGAGGAAAGTGAGATTTTATCATAAATTGACAGCAACCATGTATATAAAATTATATAAACGTCGTGACTATGCACTGAAAAGCAAATTTACAATCATGCAGAATTAAAACATCCTGTGAATTGATAAGAAGTATAGTTCTCAGGCAAATCCATAAAATAAGAGACAAACTTTCATGTCAGAAAAACAACTTTATTTTGATTACACTGGAGTGAAATGTCAAAAGGATACAAATATTTCCAATATTTACACATAAAAATTTTATCATCCAGTAAAAATCCTTACATCACTTTGCTAAATACATTGCAAATATACAAACAGCAAAGTTAAAACAACATAATGTCTAAAAACTAAATGTAATAACAACAACAAAATATGTAGTTATGTTCCCAATGTTATAGAAAAAAATAAAACAAAGCATTTAAGATTAGGCCATGAAAAAGTTTCCAAGTTGGAATACTTGTCACAACTTTTAAGCATTCCATATCATATACATGTACAAAAACCTAGACTTCTGCAGTTTAATAGCTTCATTGTTTAAAGGGCATTAAGCTATACTGCAAAATCATCATTATTTGTGGCACTGGGCTTTCATGAATAGGCCAATCCATAAATTTATGATCCCATGAAATTTTATTCTGTTTGCTGTACGAACATTTTTATGATATAATTTACACTTTTTTGCAAAAACAATCCGTGAATTAAAGAACCCACAAAAAATGTAATTTTTGACATAAAAAAATGTTTTCATGCCAACAAATTAAACAACTCACAGTTTTTGGGCTGTCTGAAAATGGCATGATAATAGTTGGAATTGCAGTAACAATCTTACTTAATTGGAAAGACTATTGCTTGTTAAGTCTTGTGGAGCAAGAATTTCATGCCGGAAAAACATCGCTAAACCCACTTGATATAGTAATGCGATATTTAGTTCGGAAATATTCTATTCTACTTATGGTAATGTATGTAAACTGAGAAAAAAAATGTTTGTTAGTTATTGGCATAATATTACTGTGATTCCTATGGTATGACAACATTGGGATTATATAAATTTTGGATTTTTTTTAGTACAATGTACATGTACAATGTATTTATTTAACTTACAGTAAGGAAGTAAAAAGCTAAATGTACTAGAAATTACCCAATTCACTACAATATCTGTTTGACCCACTTTTAAGTTCTATCCTCCTATTTCAATTTAATTAACAACATATGTATGGGAAAAAAAAAACAAATAAACAAAATAAGTACATGTATTTACAGTTAAAAATTCAACTTTTCTGTTTGTTACCAGAACAAATCTTACAATAATGAAAATAAACAATAATTAAGACACTGACAAAGTATTCTAATTGATACGTAGATTAAACATAAGCAATAAACAAAAACAAAATTGAAACATTTTCAATCCATAATTTGAGCCGTGCCATGATAAAACCAACATAATGGGTTTGCGACCAGCATGGATCCAGACCAGCCTGCGCATCCGCGCAGTCTGATCAGGATCCATGCTGTTCGCTTACCAACCCTATTACATGTAGAGAAACTGATAGCGAACAGCATTGATCCTGATCAGACTGCACGGATGCGCAGGCTGGTCTGGATCCATGCTGGTCGAAAACACACTATGTTAGTTTTGTCGTGACGCGGCTCATTTGTTTTCGTCACAGTATAAAGAACAGGTGGATAGATGAATTTTTAAAGATATAGCAGAATCAAGCAGAAATTTACAGCCAGTAGAAAGAGAATTAGTCAAAAGTATAAAAGAAAATGACAATGTGAAAAACTGAGATCACAAAAAACATGATATGAAACAATGATTAACAACTGCTTGGTGCCAAGCGAGATTCTGAATGTACTTCTAAACTACTAAATGTACATCTATTTTTAGCAGTTTTGGGGAATAATGACATGTCAATACCACCAGCATATAAACAAGACCAGTCCACATGTCTGTGCATTCAAACCACACCCACTTTACCCCAGACCCCACCCTCCATGTAGTAAGACCACACCCTCTATACTGTTAACAGGTCAATTTGACCTTTTTTTACCTTGTTACCCTCGATATTAAAGGCCCATTATGCTTCAGAAATGCTTTTCTTTTTATTTGTCAAAAGCTTTTTAATTTTGGTGTATCCAAAAAGTTACACATCAGCCAATTTCTGAATCAACTTTTCCATCTGTTGCTTTTTGGCTAAGTAGAGTTACAGTGAATTAGTTTTTTGTATGGTACTACTTTTGGTACTATTATGACAAAATATTTCATGTTTATTGCTACTTCCTTTAGGTAACAAGAATTTGTAACAGAGTTACCAACATCCCCCGCCTCGGGGAAGTTTTATATGAAGCATAAAATTGTGCAACATTTAATCGTATTTCAAAAGATTGAGGTATGGATTTTTGGGCTTTCAGTCCAAAATTTTGATCAATGTTAGATCTTCTAATGCAACAATAAATTTATGAAAGAAATACTAGGAAAATGAAACACAGAATTTAAAATTCTATCATGTTAACCTTTGACCTCTAAGTGTGACCTTGACCTTGGAGGTAGGCGTACAGGTGTTGTGCATGACATATTGTCTTATTAATATTACTATTTGTGCCAAGTATTTTCAAAATCCCTTGAACTATGTAGAAGTTATAAACGGGACACAAAATAAACCATATAACAGACTCAGTGTTAACCTTTGACCTCTAAGTGTGACCTTGACCTTGCCGGTAGGGGTGCAGGTGTTGTACCTGACATATTGTCTTATTATTGTGACTATTTGTGCCTAGTTATTTCAAAATCCTGAAGAAGTTCTAGATCAGACACAAAATATACCCTAAAACGGACTATGTTAACTTTTGACCTCTAAGTGTGACCTTGAACTTGAAGGTAGGGATGCAGGTGTTGCGCATGACACATTGTCTTATTATAGTGACTATTTGTGGCAAGTATTTACAAAATACTTTGATCTATGAAAAAGTTATGGACTGGACACAAAATATACCCTGTAAAAGACTATGTTAATCTTTGACCTCCAAGTGTGACCTTGACCTTGGAGGTAGGTGACTGGTTGTTGCGCATGACACATCGTCTCATTATTGTGAACAATTGTGGCAAGTATTTACAAAATCCCTTCAAAGATAAGAAAGTTATGGACCGGACACGACATATACCATCAAATAGACAATGTTGACCTTGAATGAGCAAGTGCGACCTTGACCCTGGAGGTAGGGGTCTGGTTGTTGCGCATGACACATCGTCTTATTATAACAAACATTTGTGCCAAGTTATTTAAAATTCCTTTGATAAATGACATAGTTATGGACCAGACACGAAAATGTGACGGACGGACGGACGAACGGACATTCTCACGGGACAGTAATAATGTGGCTACTCTAGTGTTCTCTATATAATTCTTTTTAGCCACACAAAAGAAAAGAGCCACAAAAAAGCATTACGGAATGAATGACATCAAAGAGAAAGAACAGTTACCTATTGTCCCTCTAGCCACATAGTTACTCTCCTGTGAGTGCGGATGGACAGACGGACGGACGGAGCCTATTTCTATATCCCCCCTTTTTCTTCGAAAAGGCGAGGGACAACAAGCATCTAACATTCTGTAAAACCATTATTTCAACATTACAAAATTCATATTTTACCTTTCTAAAGAAATTAAAAATTATTTGTTGCTGAGGCATAATGTACCTTTAATGATGAATAGTACTAAATCTGGGGAGAGTCTGTTATTCTGCTATGTGATATAATGATAGTCTGGTACACTATTTTTTGCACTTCCATGAAGCAAAATGAACATATCTGCATAACCTAATACAGTAAACAGAAGTAATAGCAAACATGTGTTGGTAACCAAAGAATGATATTTTCTGTGTTTTTATCTACTAAAAATGTTACTTTTTGTATAATGGATATTTTTGACACAAGCAACTATCTTACATTATTTCCACAGATTTGAAACATGTCCAAGTATACCATATATACATGTTCCATTATGTAAATACATGTACATTAAAAAATCAACTTGGAACAGCACTTCTACAGTAAAAACTATAAAAACTTTGTTACATACTTTGCTTTCTATAACCCTAGTTAACAGTATACACTAATCTACATCGTGAATCAAACTGTAATACAAAGAAGGGATCTACAAAGAACTTCTGAAGTAAGACTTTTCTGGTCATAAAGTACCATTGAATTGTAACAAAGTACCGGCAAGTACTGAAACAAATAGCGGACACTTAATGCAACCAATAAAATGCTGAAATATATTGATATAATTCTTTGTATATCACTCATCAGTAAAGATTTATTTATCAAGTTATCAACAAAAAATAAACTCATCTTTATGTATGAATATTAAGTGGCAAAAATGCAACCACAATATATGCCTGAAGGTATTTTACATTTTATTTATACATTTATTTACTTTCTCTAGACTTTCCGATCCAGTAAACAGACCTGTCCCCAGTCAAAAGAAATCTCCTTTTTTCCAAATTGGTGTAAATAAATATAAAATAAAAGAAAATTTACACAGATAGACTGTTGTCACAACTCATTTTTGCCCTAAATCACTTAATTTTGCATTTAATAAGTGTCAGTTTTCCCTTAATTACTAAACTTTGCAAAGTAAGTTCTAAAAAAAACGCCTTAAAAACGAACCCTAACTAATTTCCAAAAAGTAAGGTAAAGCAGCATTGAAAAACAATAGCCCACAAACAAACTTAAGATCATTTGTCTTAGCAATACAGTTATGTAGAACAGTTAACAAAAAATTTACTCCCATCGCTTGATTAACAAAATAGTAAGAAATCATAGTAATATGGCAAGACAAAATCATGACACAATTCAAGTAAACATAGGTAAGCAAACAAAATATATGATACACTGAAATGTAAATTTAAACAGTTGTTAAGAAGTACATGTTCATGTTACGGAGTAACTGAACTATATTTCAATCAATTGCTTACACTTAAAGTATCATTTGATTTAGCAATTTTTTCATGTATCTAAATCAAACAATACTATAAACAAGAAACATGGCAATGCCATGAAACCAGGTTTTCAATTATCACCATTGTAGATAAATATGTTGTATTTGAAATACAAATACAAGCAACAAACAATGTAACTATGTGCAATGTAAAACATGAATAATGTAGGAGGAATTGCCACTGAAGAAGTGTTCACTATAATATTATGTATAAGGAAAAAAACAAAGGGCCATAATTAGGTCAAAAACTATCCAATCACAAAACCCCGACAATATGTGCCAGGGTGCTTGATGACAAAGCTTCTGTGAAAGTTTGAACAAAATCCGTTGAGAAATGTAGGACGAGTTCAGCACAGAAGAATTTGTTCACTATAATTATATTGATAATTCTGTATAATGAAAAACAAGTTACAAAGAAGACATGAAATTATATATCATATCTTTTTTAAATTACCTCCAAAGATGATATGACCTTTGACTGCCAAATCAAGTTAAAATCATGTAAACAGGATTTTCAATGTTAATGTCACTGTGACCTTGACCTTGGAGCCAGCCATGCGGAACATGCGTTCTGCACGTCATCTTGATGTGGTAAACATTTGTCTGAAGTTTCATCAAAATTCTTCAAAGGGTTGAAGAGTTACAGAGCGGACAGGATTTTCAATGTTAATGTCACTGTGACCTTGACCTTGGAGCCAGCCATGCGGAACATGCGTTCTGCACGTCATCTTGATGTGGTAAACATTTGTCTGAAGTTTCATCAAAATTCTTCAAAGGGTTGAAGAGTTACAGAGCGGACAGGATTTTCAATGTTAATGTCACTGTGACCTTGACCTTGGAGCCAGCCATGCGGAACATGCGTTCTGCACATCATCTTGATGTGGTAAACATTTGTCTGAAGTTTCATCAAAATTCTTCAAAGGGTTGAAGAGTTACAGAGCGGACAGGATTTTCAATGTTAATGTCACTGTGACCTTGACCTTGGAGCCAGCCATGCGGAACATGCGTTCTGCACGTCATCTTGATGTGGTAAACATTTGTCTGAAGTTTCATCAAAATTCTTCAAAGGGTTGAAGAGTTACAGAGCGGACAGGATTTTCAATGTTAATGTCACTGTGACCTTGACCTTGGAGCCAGCCATGCGGAACATGCGTTCTGCACGTCATCTTGATGTGGTAAACATTTGTCTGAAGTTTCATCAAAATTCTTCAAAGGGTTGAAGAGTTACAGAGCGGACACAATTTCGTTTGACGCCCATCCGCCCATCCGCCCATCTGCCCATCCGCCCATCCGCCCGCCATACCCCAATCTAATAACCAGGATTTTCAAAATTGAAAACCTGGTTAACAAACAATGGTTATGAAAAAATAGTTCTGCACTTTCATGTTACAAAAAATTTTTTTTCGTAGAATAAAGTTTATATCTGCATAAGTACAGAAGGTCAAATATTGCAATAATAGTTATAAAACTGTAACATATATCTAAAACTGTTATAAATGGACATGAAAGTTGTAAAATAATTCTTAAAATAAAACATATCAACATTAGGTGTATGAGCAATCGATGTGGCTAATATCTGGAAAGGATTTCAAACTGGATAGTTTTATAACTGAAAAAAACAGCCCACTTTTTCTACAGTTTACAGCAAATATCTAAAGTTGCGACTTTGCTGGACACAATTTTCTTTCTACAGGAAGAAAACTACCCTTGGAATCATATATAATATCAATACACTTAAACCGTACAATAACTGGTGCTCTAGTTTTTGCCATAATTTTTCCTCCAATGAAAAGGCCTAAAACAGACTATTTTGCAAAAAATTGTCTTCAACAGAGTTTATTAAAATATATAATTAAATGTCTACTTGAAAAAAATCTACGCCTATGAAAAGTAGGTCAATAACTAAGTATGTTAGATACAGCCGCTAATAAGAAAAAAATATATACTTCTTAAACAGCCACAGTTACTCCTATGTCATTCCTTTCGAGCTGTTTAAATTGTTTAATTGTTTATTAGGGTCTAATTATTACATAATCATATCATCATCTTGAAACACAATATACACCTGGCTGTCCAATGGCAGATTTTTAGATGCTTTCATGCACACCAAAATTAAAAACAGATTATACCTTTACTCAGTCTATTTAAATAATGATAACAAACAAAGCAAAAAAATGTTTCAATTAAAGATGAAGGTCATCCAAGTAAAAATGTCTGTTTACTTCTTTTGAAATTTACTTCATAATTTGTAATGGTATAAAATCATTTAAAGAAAATAAGGTATCATTCAGTTTGGTTGTTTCATTAAACATATAGACAAGAAAAAATGTTGTAATATTAATTATAATCATATGGGGTAAAAATATTAAAATACATGAGCAGTAAAACTGTACCTGTACATGTGTATTTAAGCTAAATAACCATTATTTGCAACTCATGCCTTTACATTTGTTCAATATTAACTATCACAGTATTCAATTCTAGCAAAACATAATGAAAAAAGAAAACAATCTACAATTATTTCAAGGTTTTTGGCTGAACCTATTAACAGTCACAAAAAAATAAAAATCAGTTACATAACTGAGAAATACAGTTTATATTTCACTGTATAAACACAAAAATATACACATGCCATTTTGCGATATATTAAAACTTCAAGAAAAGAATATAAACACAAAATAATGTTAAAGATAATAATATCTAACTTGCTGCTTTTACACAAATGTATACACTATACACTAAACATGTGTCAATTTCAAGACACTTCCACTCTTCGTCTTCTCCAAGTTACATGCATGTATAATTTTCCCGCATTTCCTCAATGTCAAGCAAGAAGGAAAGAGTTTCTTGTTACTGTTCTTTTTTCAATCCAGTGAGATGTTTGTCACAAACTTTATACAAGTATCTTAACTAAAAAACATGATGTCCTGGAAGGCTGGGAACCAGATGTATTGTCATAAAATACAATGCCGTATGTGCACCAAGATTCTCATAACTGTTTTTTTTTTAATGTAGCATGATGCTTGTAACATAAGTATTCAAGTAAATGAAAAACTAAAAAATGATGCCCGGGAAGGGATGGAACCAGATGTCTTGTCATAAAATACAATACACATATGCACCAAACAGAATGTGTAGTTTTTCTTTGTATAATATCTCTCAGATCAATGTGATGTTTTCCATGTCGAGTATCGTTGAGTATAGTTTTTAAACAAGCAAACATGTGACATTTACAAACATATGATAAACAGTAAACTATGTACAAAGGGAATGCAGGAAATTCCTCATTAAGTATGTCTGTTACTCCATCTCTTGATCACTGAAATGGAAAGACAAATTATGCTTATATTTAAGTTATAAGTTATTTCAGTAAAGCATGTACATGTACACTGTACTACTAGTACTACACAATCAAACACAAATTTCATTCATATGTTATTCTACTTTCAAGATGTTAAAGGCGACATCATAATCATATTGACAATAACAAGAAAATAATCTGATATAATTTTTAAACATCTGACATAATTTTATATCTTCTTGAAGTAAAGCATATAACAAGAGCACCACATGCATTGTTAATGCTTGTCCGATAGTGAAGAGTGTTAATAACTGTTATGCACTTCCAAGGTTGTCATTAACATTTTTTGCAGAAGGTTTGTTTTGAACTTGAGGCGGTCATTTCTGTCTTTATCATGCATAACAAAGAGTGTTTTCTTAATTTTGAGGCGGCCCATAATGCATTTGAGACAGGCATTTTGGCCTCCTGCCGCCTCTTAATGACAACCCTGCACTTCACTTCTCCATGAAAGGAATTTCTTTGTCATTATGATTGTTCAAGATATTGATACTTATAGAGAAGTTTAAGTATGTTCCACATAAAAAGGGATCATAACATATATTGATCATTTACTGTGATTTAGTTATGTGCATTGTTCTACAGATGTGCCATCTGCCAACAAACATTCTAAGTTAAAAGGGGGCATAACTCTTATGCCCCTTTATTTACAACTGTGACTCGTCATGATAATCGAGGATTCCTAGTTTCATGTTGATAACTCTCATAGCTTTGAAAGTTGAAACCAATCGTAAACATGTGCTTAGCAAGCAATTTGACATTTTAGGTAAAAAGGGGTATAACTCCAAATATATATGTCTCAGAATACTGCCCTTTAATTTACAACTAAGCCTAGTCATGATAAGCAAGTATTTGTATGTTGAAAATGTTGACCACACTTTGATCATAATAACCAAGACTTTTGCAAAGAAACAAATGTGTAAAAAATATGCAAGAGTAAACCAAAGATTTGTATGATCACTCTAAAAACTTTGCTGGCTTTACGTTTGTTACATCATGGATAATTTGTAATTTTTTTTGTTTTTTTGTTTTGGGTTTTACGTCACATAGGTTAATTCGCGACGTTCCAGCTTTACTGGTGGAGGAAGACCTCAGGTGCCCTTCCGTGCATTATTGCAGGCACGAACGGGCACCTGAGTAGAACCACCGACGTTCCGTAAGCTAGCTGAATTTGTAATTAATTCCCATTCATATAAATTAAACAAATCAAACAATTTACTACCAGTGTTAAGTAAGTGTAAAGACTTTATAATACTACATGAAAAACTTGTATGCATAGAATGTCAGAGCTTTCCTTTCAATATGACAATCTTCTATAGGGATCTAACCATGTCATTAACAATAAAGCTTCAATGAAGGCTTGATCAAACAAAGATGTTCTGTTTTCTACTTCTAGCAAAAACATAAAATCTAAAAATCAGCTAGTTGTGAAAATAGCTTTTTTAATATGACAGGGACATGATGTTCTTTCAACGCATAATGCCCTTTACCATATTATAACCAATTTGAAACAAAACACTAAGAATATCTGAATGCAAAAAATAAAGAGAGTATCAGATTCAGAAAACATTTATAACAGTAGTCTGTTTATATTTCCTTTGTTTACAACAAGAAATTTGACTCATTTGAAAATATATGCGATTATATATTTAAGAAATAATATATCCCAAATTGTGATTTTATTGCTCAATAACATCACTGTTTGGAGTTCGGATGCGGGGAACTCGTGATATAATGATGCGCATCCGAACGACAAACAGTGATGTTATCAAGCAATAAAATCATCGATTTGGATATATTATTTCGATTCTAACACGACATCAACAAATAAATGCTACCGTACATGATAATTAGCTAAATTGCGTCTGATTTGTTTCCGTACTTATTGTCAGCGCGTCACATTTTTAGTGGTTACGTCACGTGTATAATGATTACGTCACATGTCTAAATATAGAACGTCAAACAGTGATTTTATAGCATAATAACACACACTTTCGGTTCTTCTTAATAATATACAGAAAGATTATGTTCAATATTTTTATACCATTTTCATACCATATAACACTGCATGTTTGTTATGTTGCTTTCCATTGAATAATCTTGATGTTTCTATAGACTTTATACATGGCAACTGTCAATTGTTTAGGTAATTTCATTTTTTCTTCAAGAAAATTTACTGTATCATAGATTTGTTCTTCAGATTTTGGCCAAATTGTAACTGCTGGTTGTGATATAACCCTCCAAACAACAGTTTATATTTTTAAAAGGGCCATATAACATGTCAAAAATCTGTATTACTAATACTGATAAAAAAAGATTGCATTTGTAAAAAATGCTATGCCACCGCATAAATACAACACTAAAATAGTAATGTAGGAACACATTTTTTTGTTTTGACCCAAGGGCTTTAATTTGAATAATCTTGCTAAAGGTTCACTACACAATGTTAACTGCAAAATGTCTCACCTCTAGCCTTTGTCAATTCGAGAAGGTGATTTTTTAAAGTTTGTACTATATACATGTAAGGAAAACCTATGACCCCGGGGCAGGGCTAGTTTTGACACTAGAGGCAAAATTTGAACAATTTTGGTACAGTACCTATAGATGATATCATATACCAAATATCAAAGCTCTAAGCCTTGTACCTTCGGACAATAAGATTTTTTAATTTTTTACTATATGTACATAGTGAAAATCAATGACCCCCGGGGGTGGGGCCAATTTTGACCCCAGGGCTATAATTTGTTCAATCTTGCTAGAGGTTCACTACACAATGTTTCACGCAAAATATCTAACCTCTAGCCTTTGTCAATTTAGAGAAGATCATTTTTTAAGTTTTTACTATATACATATGAGGAAAACCTATGACCCCCGGGGCAGGGCTAATTTTGACACTAGAGGCAAAATTTGAACAACTTTGGTAGAGTACCTATAGATAATAACACATACCAAATATCAAACCTCTAAGCCTGGCACCTTCAGACAAGAAGGTATTTTAATTTTTAACTATATGTACATAAAGTGAAAATCAATGACCCCCGGGGCGGGGCCGATTTGGACCCCAGGGATATAATTTGAACAATCTTGGTAGTGGTCTACCAGACAATGCCTTATGCAAAATATCTAAGCTCTAGGCCTTTTGGGTCTTTACAAGAAGATTTTTTTAATTTATTCTTATAATTCCTTTTGGTTGCCATGGCAACCAGAATTCTGCATGGAATGAAATTCTTTGAACAACTTTGGAAGGTCTTCACCCAAGGAACAATCCTGCCAAGTTTGGTTGAAATTGGACTAGTGGTTTTTCACAAGAAGATTTTTTAAGTTCACTATATAATCTATATAACACACACACATACACACAAACAAACACACAGGTGAATCGCTATATGCCACCGCATCGCAGATGCTGCGGTGGCATAAAAATTGACATTTCAAAAATACTATAATTTATGTCTTAGCTGAAGCAGGCTTAATATTGCAATGTTCTTCCATAATTCAATCACTACACATCAGATTTAACCTTCTACCAAGTGAAATCTAAAGCCACAAGTAAAAGTGCATCTAATTTCTTATGGAATGTTGTCATGTAAGAGATCACACAAAAAGAAGACAACCTGATATTATAAAAAATATGTTTCAGAACACGTCCTACCCACTGCCACACATAGTAAAAACCATTTCTCATCAAGATAAAATCAAATCACATTAATTAGAATGATTATAATAATGATCTGATGCTATTAACTTATTAATAGATTAGCAAGTACCAGCAAAAAAAATAAAGAGAATATAAATTGTCTTTCCTCACACAAATTTTAGAAGATAATGTGTTAAATACACTAATGAATGTACAAGCAATGAAAGTGAAATTATTTTCCATTTTTAATCCCTATTCTGTTGGAACGTGATTTAGCATTTTGCCCCCCAGTTCAGAGCCATTCAAGTCTGAAGGCCTTTTTCCTAGCTCTTTTGGGGGAAAAGTACCTAGCCCCATTTGGGAAATTTTGTGTTACAAATTGCTTAATTGGGAACATGTTTGGTACCATTTGAAACCTCCATTCAGGCTCTTTTGGTGCAGTGTTTGAATTGTGGCACAATGTTTATTCTAAATAACACAAATATCAATAATAGCATAACTGTTGGTTAGATACCACAATGAACTTCGTTTGGATATTAGGACTTTCAGTTTGATTAGGAATTTCTTCCAAAGATTGGGAAAAAAATAAGCATATTTGCCATTGGGAATGGGTCTGATATTCTCACCCATTGTGACACTGGGAAAAATTCAGAAGCCTGCACATCTGTGTGGCCTAACAAAACTCTATACAGTGTTTCTTTTTATATTTTGTTATTATATTCCTTTAAACTTTCAATGAACTGTATCAAATTCAAAAATTCAAAATTACGCAAATTCATTACACAAATTTAAAAGGTTTAACAGTAAACAAGAAATTAACATGAGATATAGATCAGATTATGTAATGTGTAAGAAGTTTTAAGCGTATATGAATGACTTGATTGTGAAGCAGCGAAAGTGTTGAGGAGAACATAGTTACACAGCTCAACATACCGTCTTAATATCGTAGACGTCTCCTACAATCAGAAACGTAACATTCCTCATAACCTTATACCACCGACCACACTTATTATGACAAAATTACGTACAGTACTATATTCTATAAAATAAAAACTTAAGTTATTTCAGTAACCAAACACTACCTCAAATTATTTCTCAAATTTAGAAACACTACCTTAGTGTTAAACACAGAAACTTAAATGTGTGTACAAATTATGTCCAATACATGCTCAAATTTATATATGGAATAGGAATAATGTGTAAATATTTGTTTCAACAAATAGTTCTGTAAATTCAACATTTCTGCCTGAGAATTCAGCCTTTTACTCACTTTTTCAAAGTTAATTATTCAGATTCTAATATACATTGTAATTATATATGAGCCGCGTCACGACAAAACCAACATAATGGGTTTGCGACCAGCATGGATCCAGACCAGCCTGCGCATCCGCGCAGTCTGATCAGGATCCATGCTGTTCGCTTACAAACCCTATTACAAGTAGAGAAACTGATAGCGAACAGCATGGATCCTGATCAGACTGCGCGGATGCGCAGGCTGGTCTGGATCCATGCTGGTCGCAAACCCATTATGTTGGTTTTGTCATGACGCGGCTCATATAATTGTGGCTCTTTCTAAGACACAATACATTTGGGACACAAAAAGCTTAACTAAAAGATACACATGTATGCAGATTACACTTAATTACATTTGACAACCACACTAAGATTTACCATGTGCTAGTTTCATGCAAATTGTCTCTTTTTCACACTAGGATTCTCAAGATGGACCTTTAAGTAGCTAACATGGTCCTGTAAGTATATTTTTAATTTCTTCAATTTTCAATTATTTTTTTTTTTCATTAATTTTCTAATTTTAATTTTTTAATGAAATTTATTTTTTTTCAAATCCAAAGACAACTATTCTATCTCAGCAATTTTATAGTAAGGATAGCAACTTACTTATCAAAGAGCATATCACTGGAGTCATCCATGGAGAAATCCTGCCCTATACCTGAGTCACCTCCATATTGGCTGCCACTGAAATATTTCAAACATGTTACAATCTATACAAAATTATTTAAATTAAATTACCCGCCAACATGAGAAAACAGCCATTAAATTTAATGTCACTTACTTTCCTTAAATTGAAATATTAACCATATTTAATTCTTAAAGAAATTCAATTCTATAGCTCTTGAAATACATTTATATAACTTTTGAAATTTACTTGTTGAAACCTACATGTATATATATTTATCTTTATCATTTCAAGGGTAATTTTACAAATGATGTTAAAGGTCGTTTTTACATGCTGGTGTTCATATTATACTTTTTTTTTTAAAATTAAATCAACAACAACAACAAAACTCTGCATTTTCTACACCAAACACGTCAAAATACAAGTTTTTTTCTTGTGGAAGGGAGAAATTTCTATAACAGTTTCAGTATCCTCAAAAAAAAATTACTTGTAACCTAAAAGAGCTGGTATGGGTATTCCTTGGCAGATTTAAATAACCTTATATCATGTAAAGATATTGCAAAGGTTATGATTGTTTATCAATGCGGCATTAAATATCTATCAATCATGTTTAGCTTACCTTGAAGCCCTGCAAGTGAAGAAAACAATTCTCTTAAGCTTCTTGTTATAGAAGAAGTAGTTGAACGACCAAATGCACCCGTCTTCACCGAAAGGATCGGACGTAAGGTCTGGATTGTAGCTGTACACGTCACAATCTCTTATCATTATCTCCTCATCAATCGCTGACCACAGATTCTGTTTTATATGGCAAAATATCTCATTGGCTGCTGACTGAAGCTGACTGTCCACTGTATTTATTACCCACTGAAAAAAAATGTATTTCGTATTTCATATATGTTCAGCAAGCCGATTAGGACTTTTCAACTTGGGGGCCACAAACTCATAGACCCCTTTCAAAATTACTAAAAATAGAACGCTGCACCACAGGTTACATCTGGAGGCAGCAAGCTATCTGCTAATAGCCTAAGTTCATTGAAAATGCTCAAAATGACCTTATCTTTGGTTTTATTGTTTATACTTTTTTGTCTGTTTTTTTTGTCTGTATAAAAATCTATTTTTTTTACTTTAACTATCCATTTCTGCAGACAAAAACACTGCAGATCCATTATTATTGGAACATAAAAGCATTGGATAAGCTACAGATACTATCATTCAATGCGCCCACTGATATGTTATTGAATTAAACTGTATTTATAATATTCTCTGAGAGTAAATTATAAAAAGGTCATTTTAGTATATAAGTCCCTTAACACTCTTCTCCTATCATCATTATTATTATTATTATTATTATTATGTACCAGTGTTTCGACATGTACAGCCTGTTCTATTATTAGAAACTTACAAGTGTTGGACAGCAAGACGGCAGTGTACAAATAACATACGTTACAAGGCTTACCTGATAAAAAAAAAATATGGTCAAATCCATGCAACCTTAATTGTCATTGATTTATTTTAAATTATCTTTAATTTATTTTTAACCTGAGGCATAAACTTCAGTTTTCAAAACTTCAATTCAAAACTACCAATATTATTAGAAATATCAGATTACAAAAAAATGAAAAAACAACTGACTGGCTTAAATACATATATTTGTGGAACATCTATCCAAATTATACATATATTCTTTGACTTCTGAAATGCATAACCCAGTCATTTAAAATATTAATATTTTGCAGAAAAGCCTGTTAATAAAAATTAAGGCTTAACTTTATTTTTTTTTGCTAACGATTAATTTACTATGTGGAATGGAGAAATTATTAGACCTGCCAGTTACTTGATTTATGTTATGAAACATAGTAAAAGTCATGAAGCAAAATAATTGGTCACATTATAAAACGATAAAATGCATGCAAAGAATTATTTGTTGGTTGCCACGGCTTTTAATGCTCTTGGTCATATCCTTTTATAGCGTTTGTCCATGCCATCCCTTCTCCACAATACGTATTTAGGAATCGAAAGTACATATAATGAACATGGTGTTTCTGTGTTTTGGCATATTTGAGCATCCATATATTTGACAATAAGAATGCCTGTATGAAATAAATATGTTTTGTTTTTAAAAATATATTAACGTAGTAGTATAATATTTTGTTCCGCATCATTTTATTCTGTTAATACACAGTTTTCATGTGTTTTCAAGAAAAGAAATATTTTATGTTGAGAGCCGACCGTGAGATGGAAATATCATAATGTTACCATTTTTGATTTATATGAAAAATAGTTCATTAGAATATTTCATTTTTGATATTTCATTAGTTTTTTTAACTATTTTATTCACCATTAAGTAATATCCTTAACTTTTACATAAAATGAACCCAAAATAAACCTGCAGACAAAAGCATCAAATAATTCACAAATTTCTGAAACATTTAAGATATATTTTGCTAATAACAACTGCTTATTTTAACAATTAAAGTATGATTATTGTGAAATAACTTCTCTGTGGAGGCTTGTCAGTAAACAGCTTTCTGCCTCCACTAAATAAAACATGAGTGACCTGAAATTGACCTTACATTTTGCAAGGCGTCTATAGTCTTACAACATGTAACTGACTGGTCACATATGAAACTCAGTCATATCCAGTTGAAATCATGGTAAAATTACTTCGTATTTCTAGTAACACAAAACATCCAACAGTTTTAGAGTATGTGAGTAATTGTAAAAATGTATAAATATATTAAGGTGCGTTGCTTCAAGTATATCTGTCATTCTGTATTAAAGATATTTTGTATTTCATCTAAATCAGTAAATGCAAGCTAGTCTCTTCAGTTCTTACTTAAACAAGATATGTTTGTAAAACATGTATGCCCCCTATCGGCAGCCAATTTGTCATGTGATCCGGTTATTATGCTTGACTTCTGACCCAGTGAACAAGCAATTAATAAGGGTTATCTAGTATCTACTGATCATGACTAGTCACAAGGTAATAATTATTGTGACCCCATAGGTTTTGTGCAGCAATTAAAGTTAATAAAAATCTTACCAAACAATATATACATAAATTTTATGAATCACATAGGCCTCATTAATGACAGCCAAGTTGTTACATATTACATAAGACCTTCAAATGCGTATACCAAACAACATAAAAATATCAACCAAGGCAACTTCAGTTGTTGAGTTATTGGTCAGTAACAGTCATTAAGTACAAGGTCACTATGACATTGACCCCTTGACCCCAAAATCAATAGGGGTCATCTACTGGTCATGACCAATCATCATACCAAGTTTGAAGTTCCTAGGACTAAGGGTTCTTTAGTGATTGATCGGAGACTGTTTTAACCTACAAGGTCAATGTGACCTTGACCTTTGACCCCTTGACCCCAAAATCAATAGGGGTCATCTGCTGGTCATGACTAATCATGATACCAAGTTTGAAGTACCTAAGCCTAAGAGTTCTTTATTTATTGATCGGAAACCGTTTTCCACCTACAAGGTCAATGTGACCTTGACCTTCCCCCTTGACCCCAATATCAATAGGGGTCATCTGATGGTCATGACCAATCATCATACCAAGTTTGAAGTACCTAGGCCTAAGCGTTCTTTAGTTACTGATCAGAAACCGTTTTACCTAAAAGGTCAATGTGACCTTGACCTTTGACCCCTTGACCCTAAAAACAATAGGGGTCATCTGCTGGTCATGACCAATCGCCATACCAAGTTTGAAGTTCCTCGGCCTAAGGGTTCTTTAGTTATTGATCGGAAACTGTTTTTACCTACAAGGTCAATGTGACCTTGACCTTTGACCCCTTGACCCCAAAATCAATAGGGGTCATCTACTGATCATGACCAATCACCATACCAAGTTTGAAGTTCCTAGGCCTAAGGGTTCTTTAGTTATTGATCGGAAACCGTTTTTACCTACAAGGTCAATGTGACCTTGACCTTTGACCCCTTGACCCCAAAATCAATAGGGGTCCTCTGCTGGTCATGACCAATCACCATATCAAGTTTGAAGTTCCTAGGCCTAAGCGTTCTTTAATTATTGATCGGAAACCATTTTAACATACAAGGTCAATGTGACCTTGACCTTTGACACATTGACCCCAAAATCAATAGGGGTCATCTACTGGTCATGACCAATCACCATACCAAGTTTGAAGTTCCTAGGGCTAAGAGTTCTTTAGTTATCACTCGGAAACCATTTGGTCTACGGACCGACGGACTGACAAGTGCAAAGCAATATACCCCCTCTTCTTCGAAGTGGGGGCATAATAACAAAAGCTAAAAGAATCATATAAAGATATGTCCTAATCAAGAGAAAGGAGCAGCAATAAAAAAAAAATTTGCATCATTTTTACCTCTGGGCTAGGTTCCTTGCTAAATTCCTCACTTTTAGCATTGCTAAAATCATAGTCTGGATTAAAGGAAGCATTTAATGTTGAGATCAGGTAGAAGAGTGTCTTTGTGGAGATAGTATCACATAGGTATGATTCCCCATCACTCATGCTTCTTCCATACGTCCTGAAAGATAAGAAAATAAAGTACTGTATAGCACAATATACAAACAAAATGTTACAATTAAAATATATGTGATGTGCAGGTGCTTACATTAAACTATTGCTCACAGTGATACAAAATATAATATAACAGTATAAAGATAGAGCATCTTCTGTAAAGAATACTATATAATGAAACAGTAGACTGTACTTTCATCCGAAACCTGGACAAACATCTGAAAGAAGCTGTGTTGCAGATTAGGTGCAAGAGGCTTTTTTTTCTGGTATAATCATCAATAAAGTTGAATAAACTCTGTGGCAATGGGGTTTAATCTGAAGTTTGGATCAAATAAGTTGAAGAAATTAATTTTAATCAACATTAAACGTAAATAAGTTGTTAATGATTCATAATGATTTCAATTTTATCACTGAAGACCTAAGATTAAAGAAACATGCTGTAACTACAATGTACCAAAACATTTGTATAAAAGGAACTACTTTTGTACATTGTAATCAAATTGTAAATTTACTTTATATTAAAATCATCATAATCAAATTGTAAATTTACTTTATATTAAAATCATTAATTTAGTATTATAATATATTATAATATAAAAATAAAATAGCAAATGATTTACTGCTCTACAATACTACATACTTATTAGGACTGAGAGAGACGGTGCTTTGTGGAGGTGAGAGTACTTGTAAATCATTATGGTGAGACTCTGCTGAATCATGAACCAGGGTCTTAAACAGTTTCTTGTCATTCCCAGCCATCTTACATGAATAACTCTCTATTCTGCAAACAAAATAAAACGGACTAGATTCAAATTCAAGAAAATCAAAATCAATAAAGTATATAATATTAAATATTATAAGTATATACATGTAATAGACAATATTATAAGTATATACATGTAATAGACAAAAAATATTATAAATTTATTAAGAAATGATTAGTGATACATTTTTCCTTTAAAAATAGCACATGTGTTGCACATTTTGTTTGTTTGTTTCATTTTACACCTTTTCCCAACAGTATTTCAGTCATATAGGCGGTTAGTTTCCTAACCATCATTCCTGGAGAGTTACACCAGTACTAGACTTCCTTCCTCCATGCTAAACTACCGAAGCATCTCCCGGGGATCGAACCCACGCCAGAGAGGTAACTGGATTAGAAGTCTTAGTGACTAGTCATCAACTCTAACCCCTCGACCACGGAGGTGGTGCAGCATACTCTGTCACTTCTGTAATGTGAACAAACTTCTCATTGATAGATATATTAAAGTATGACAAAGTTTCAATCATGAACAAAAATTTAAAATTTACAATTTCAAATACAATTACATACCGATATTAATTTTATTATTGTAAATGCTGTTTTATTACTTTATTACTGTACATACAACAAAGTGTGTGACAAAAGCGTCAAGTTAAATTCTAGAAGTTATCAGAGCTTTTTTACTATTCTCAAAGAGAAAAACTCACTACTGAAAGGCAATACATACATGTATCATGATTATAAACAGCTAAGATGGCCAAAGATCACTACTTAAGTTCCATAATGTTTAATATTAACAAATTCTTGAAAAAATTTGAACAAAAGATATTATATTGAGTCTTTTATATATGCATTTCTATATTAAATACATGTACACAAAGGATCATACCCTGACCCCACTTTGTTCAGACATGTTCAACTCTCAAAAACACAATTTCTATCATTGAAACACAAGTGAGGCATCTGTTATTCACATAAAAAATTTTAAATCCCATCTACCATCAAGTTTCAATAATAAATTTATAAATCTTTATGTTAAATGAGACTTTTTGTTTTTTATTCACATCTAGATTGTTATATATAATTTAACAATATATTACAATTCACATGTTACAGTAATTGAATCAAACTAGATCTAGTATTAAGTTTCAGATAGAGACAGATTGGACTGGACAGATATACATCCCATTCTGTTACATGATAACAATTTAGATCAAAGTTGACAAGTGTGTCAGGTGGGTAGGGTCTGACATCAGAGTTTCTTTGTATACATGTATAAATAATAATATATATGCTCACTCATTGGCCCCCTATGGTACCACTGTTCTTAATATTTCCAGCAAATTTTACACATAAAAAGAACTTGTATTTACTATTTTATTAAATTATGATTAACTGTCGCATCTTGACTTTAAAATACACATGACATTCATAGAATAATTCAATTATTTCAATTAGAAACATCTATGGTCATTTAGTCATGTTTTGAATGGGAGCTTAAACGGAGAGCACTATGGAACTGTGGTATGTAAATTGATGGCCCGTTTTGGCTTCAGTAGAATTTTTTTCAACAGAATATGACATCACTGCAGTTTCAGCAGACGACCTTTATTTGTCAGAACATGAAATTTTCAGTTTAACCGGTAAATATGGGATAAAATAAAAAAAGTATTTCCAACACACTCGGGCAGCTTTGGATTTTCCTATCAATGACAGAAATTTATTTAAAATTTAAATGAAAATGTTTCGAACATTTTTTATCCAAATTCAAAAAAAGCAGCACTTTCACTTCAATGGTGAAAACATTCAATTGGGTTGTTCAGCGAGTAAAGAAACACATTTTCTTATTGCACCGGAATGGGCAAGGATGCGGTACCCCCGGGGAGTACTAGATTCTATATGTCATTCTGGTTTAGACACCGGTGTCAAATATAGGAAATTTGACTGGATATTTGTTGCTGTCTTACCTTCCCTCAATCCTGTAGTTTTCCATCTCTGCTGTTATAGCAGCATTTATTGCCTCGAATTTTGAATTCTCTAAAAACTTCATTTTCCCGATGATGCTATTTCACACAATTTTTCTCAGTTAAAACTTATTTTTGATGACAGTGATGTTACTTAAATTAAAATAATTTCAATATGAGGAAATTGAATTATTTACTGGTTACTTTGTAAAAAATGTCTAAAAGAGTATATACTAGAACACGGATAAGGACTTTTTCTTCGACAAGAGTTCTGTAAGGACGGTATGGCAACAATAGAGTTTATATCAGTGTCATTTATCATGTTGATCACTTCAATTTCAAAGTTGACATCGATGGGCTCCATTGAAAATCAGCTGTAAATTTAGACAATAAAATCAAAGGAATTCACGCAAATTTATCACAAATAATTGTGAAATAGATAATCAGTCTTGAAGGTGTTACATATACCAGATGATTGTTTATAACCTGGTGCAGAAATAAACGAGTTCTGCTTAATATTTTGAGTTTTCTCTTGTCCTTACTAAACCGCAGTAAACAATAATGACCTCTCACAATAATTGGGTCAAGTTTTTTACCCACAATGCATCATCAATGACGTCATATGAATATGATAAATTCGCGAGAACGGAATACGGAATTTTACGTAAATCCCGTGCATTTACGGATCGAGAATTTCTGAGATGACATACTGTATGAGAAATAGAATTTATTACCAGTGTATGCAAAAAAAAAGCTATGCAGTTTTCTTTTTGTTATTCAAAAAGAAACTTATTAGAAAGGATTTTTCTAATTCTATTATTATTATTATATTAATTTTATTATTATAATAAAACACAACAAATAAGTGATGGTGTTCTTCATAATTCATGGTTATGATAGTTTATCCACAGACCCAGACACTTAACTCGGGGTAGGACTTCTAAGCCCCCCTTTTAACTGTCAATAAAATTTTAATTTAGAAAAAAAAAAACACCATTTTTGGAGCCAACCATTAAAACAGTCCATATATCTGATTTTGTCACAGATTAGCCTGTGCACTAGTTTCGAGGTTCTTCTTTACAGCAATATAAGGCACAATTATCTAACCTAATGGATTATACCTAGAGAAGCCTGTATGGCATTGTTATGGGGGTTTTTATTCGTGATTTGTTCTTTCTTTCTTTAAGTCAATGTATATTTATCATTTTGAAAGATGTACCATTGTTTCATACATTAATTGAAAGATGTACCATTGTTTCATACATTAATTGAAAGATGTACCATTGTTTCATACATTGAAAGATGTACCATTGTTTCATACATTCTGAAAGATGTACCATTGTTTCATACATTGAAAGATGTATGCTTCCCTGTTGTTTAAATTTTTTTTCAAGTCAGTAATTTCATCTCCATAATAAAAATTTAAACAGATATCAAAAAAAAAAATATAAGTTTTCCTTAGATTTATACACTAAACTAGAATTTTGTTATAAGAACTCATAATCAAACATTTAAAAAATATAAAATGATGTTCTGTCATTATTTTCATAATTATCTTCTTTTTACATGACCTACCTTTAGCAATTTTTGAGCTGACATTTCAAGTAAACATAGTCATATAATAAAAACAAATGCTTCATTTTTTTTCAAATTGTATTTATTTGTAAATATGCCTGTATTTTCTATATACACATGTATAGCATTTAAAATTTAAAACATTTTTCTACATAAATATAACCACAGTTTCTTGCAATCTTGCATTCACATCACAAACAAAATTCTAATTTTAACAAATGGTAACAAGAATGAATACAAATGATTAAAACAAAAGTTTAAGTATAGGATTATTTTCATTCTAATTAACACTGAAACAATGCTTCCATTAGATTTCTAAGAAAAACTTGTGAAACAGCCATTAGCAAATGGATGCACAAGAATAATTTGGTCATAATTTTAAAACTTGTGCATTCATAATAAAAAATCATGCATTCATAATAATATACATGCACAAGTAACATGAGTGAGGTATGTTCTAAAAGGAAAATACTGCTTGAGGATGCACTTACATGTGTACAGGTGGCTGTTAATGATAAAATAATGAAAACCTGATTTCTAACTATTTTCTAATTTTCTAGAGCTGCACAAAATTCATGTATGTCTATATGTATATGAATGGAGAAGTCTTTCATGTAAAAAAAAATTTAATATATATAAGCATACCCCTTTACACTGTAATAACATTGTTGATATGATTTAAAACAGTTTTTTTTATTCAAACAATCAATTTTTTTTATTTCATATAAATAGGAAATTTTATCTGATATATTTCCTTAAATGCAACACATACTTGCCTTAACCCTTTCACTGCCATAGGGACGGCATATGTCCCTATTATTTTCGGCGTATTTGCCATATGGACGGCTTTTGCCGTTTCTATAATAATAATAATAATAATAATAATAATAATTATAATAATAATAATAATAAATATACAGATAATCATACCATGGACAATAATTATTATTATACTAGCTGATTTGGAAACATATAATTATTATAATACTTATAACAAATAATAATAATTATATTAATTAATTTAATAATAATTATATTAATTATTAATATAGTAATTTCTTAGAAAACCTTCTGGCAAATAGGTGATCAATAAATAAATAATCCTCTGGCAGCGAAAGGGTTAAGGCAGTGAGCTCTTGAAAGTCTGGGTTCCAAACCTTAACTTTATGTTAGATTCAGGATGCACATTTAATCAACATGGTTTGACAGTCCAAAGTGTTTTGACTCTTAACAGTTCTTTGACATAACAACTATACACCAATATAGTTGTGTTCTTTCATGATTGGAGAAATTACAATTTAACATTCAAACAATTGCTATCATATCAATCTAGTTTAAAACAATATAAAGAAATCAGACACCCAGGCGAGACAGTGTATGTCATAAAATAGCACATTTCTGTAATAAAATAAACATAATACATAGTTGCTGAAACAAGCAACAAGCCTTAACGAAAATACATTTACAAGCAAAAAAAATATTGTTCTAGCCTAAAAATTTTACTTTCAAGCAAAATTAATTTCATGTTAGCCTGACATAAAAATGATCAACTTACAATCAATTGAAATATTCTAATGGCATAAATAATAGAAGGTGTCATAATAAGTACTTGTGTCATAATATGTAATGATGTCATAATAAGTAATTGACAATCAATGCCAGTAATAAGGATTGTTCTAAATCTTGAATAAATAAAAGTTGTTCTAATAAAAAGAAAATCTTGCAAATTTGCTTCATAACTGTGTATCAATTTATCAAGTAAGTGAAATTTTACACTAAACAAAAACATTTTTTATAAGAAAAAATATGATAAGTAAAATCATCTTTCAACGAAAACCCTTCAAAGTATTCCCCATTTTTTTAAGATATGTTGCTGGGTCCCCAATATTTTTCAAATTTGGTGCCAGGGATAGAAAATATTTTCATATTATAAATTTTGGGAGTCCCCGCATTTGTTTAAAGGAGTTTTTGTATTTTATTGGAAAGTTCATTATAAAAATTATTTAGATGAATTAATTGCATTTTTATCGGGAAAAATTCAAGTAAAAGAAACGCATTAGCTAGAAGTTTAACAATTACCAATTAAATAAAAGCCTATTGCACTAGCCTGAAAAATTTTGTAACAGTAAGTAAGTAACAAATTAAACTAGCTAGAAAAAGAAAACTGAAATAAAAACATGAACAAGAAAGCAGCATATTGCACTAGCTTTAAAGCATCAACTATCATAAAGAAATCTAAACTTCTATTTCCTATCCTAATTTAAAGACAGGAGGCACCATATTTTGAACAAAATGAGAAAAAAGTCTCTAAAGAACACTCAAAACGACAAAACTTAAATCGTTGTAGGCTCAGTTTTGATTGAGCCTGTTTATGGAGGGTACAGGAAAATGCAAGTTACCATCCACTCTCACTAGCACCAACTTAAAAATCTTTTCAAATTCATTGTAATTGCACAGAAACATGTGAAAGATTTTTCCTGACATATAAATACACTGAATTGAACCCTGAAAATATATTCAGAATTAAATCTACTGCTGACAGAAGAATTTTTTGTTCAAAATATATTAGAACAGCTAATAAATATAATTTTGTTGCAGTCAAGACTAATTCATCACATGTTGTAGACATAGAGAAACTATTTTGACAGGTAGCGTCCCAGTAAATGGTTTGGTAGAATCTTCAGTTAATGAAATTGGTCAAAATAGGGAGGGGGTAGGGACATGAGGGAGACGCTGAGGCTGGGATTACATTCTTCTACAAGAATATATATCAATCAATGATCAGAAAGCCCATTTTATTTCAGGAAAAAATGACCAAAACACTAAGAGATACGATGTTGATACATACTAGTAATTCATTTCATTTCATAGAAAAACAAGCTATTGAAAAACTATATCCATGCCATTCTTAAAGTTCTAAGTAAAAAAAACAACAACAACAAAATTCAACAACAATAATTACAATATAATCCTACACTTTAAAGGGATTATAAAAGGGCAACACATTGAAATGCTATTAAGACAGTTATATAATATGGTATCAAACTAGCTATAGGAAAGCTACTGAACGTAAAACATAAAATATCCTATGAACCTCCCTTGCCTTCTTTTACATTTCTAGAACAGATACTTGACTGCATACAGAGAGCAGAAATGCAAAATGGTGTTTACAAAATGTACAAAATGCTAAATTGATCATAAATTTATCATAATCTTGATATATACTCGGTCAGTAGGAAACAAAAACAACTTTTAATTGTTATCAATATAAGTATACACAAGAACTACATATTGTTCACCGAGTTGTTTAATTTTCTGTCTGTGAATTTATATGACTCCCTTTGTATAATTACTATGGCACACTTAATTTTATTATGCTATATGAAACTTGCTTTAAAACCTTTAACATTTCTTCCCATATTATTATAAATAAAATGTTGATAAAAAAAAAGGTAGCACATACAAAATAATTCAATTGTAAAAGATATAGTATTATTTGTTCAAAAATAACAACAATTCTAAACTAGTAAATATTCTGCCTCAGAACATCATAAAACCCTTCAAAAAAAATCTTAACCAGTCAATAACAGTTTTCAGATTATCATAAAACCGTTCCAGTCAAAAACAGTTTAATAGCTTATGTACACTTATCAATCAACAATATAAAATTTAAGTGTACTTGACTGTACGTACACCATTTATGTATTCAAACAAAAACATTTCACACTGTCATGACATTAACATGTTGAGTTTAAGTAACACAGACAATGTACATACAAGTCACATGGCGGCTTTCTAGCTTTTCTAGTGCAGGAATATCCCAGAAGCCCCGCCATGCATTATTTCAGGCATGACTAAGCACCCGAGTAGAACCATTAATGTTCCGTAAGCTAGCTGGATAGCTTCCTCACAGAAAAGAATTCAAAGACACTCAGTCCCTGAGGGGATAACTTTAAAACAAAAAGTAGGACAAACAAGTATCTTTTAATAAACTTTATCTGCCATTCCCACCTTGTTAACAGTAACTGATTTATTTCTGAGAGTACTTACTAAATGCTTAAATATCATAAATGCTTAGTACTGACTTTGTGCATGTATTATCTATCAGGGAAATACATGTTCCAGAAAGGATAGCAAATAGCCCGTAACTTTTAGAAAAACTGAAATAAACAGCCTACCAAGGAAAAATATAACAAATCATTATAATGAAATTTAGTTTAAGCTACTAGTATTACCAGTGGATTGAATTGTCAGAAAAGATAATTGAAGTTGTTATCCCTTTGGTTATTTCTAAGTTTTACGAAGAATGATACAAAATGTACATGTAAATTTTTTTCGTGGGGACTAAAACTGGCGGATTTTTATTCCGAGAACAAATGTATAATCACTTTGTGGGATTTACATAGACCCTATGTAACTTGAATAAACAAATCATAATGAAAACTGATTCAGATATGTACATGTATGATATATATATAAAAAGAAAGAAGTTGAAAGAACGCATTCAAAATGACAAGTGAAATATTTCTCCCCTAACAAAATAATGAAATGGATATCACATTTGACAACTTAAGAGAAGAAAATGTTCTAAGTTGAGTTTTTAGAAAAAATGTTTATTAAAATGAACAGATATGACAAATGTACTCAATTATGGATTAAAAATCTGTTGCATTTCATTGGCAGCCTTGATAATGCCTATGTTGACACCCTTGTGTACAAAGGTTAAACTTTCAGACTAGTATTTTCATACGAAAACTCAATGTATATACAGACCAAAATCAGAAAAAATCAGTTTGATGGAACAAGAAAAATCTAATGCTATCAGCTCTAAGGGTAAAATGAGCAACTGGAATGCTTAAAATACTATACACATATATTTACATATAGACGTTATAAAGTAGAAATAATATTATGTCATGTCCTCTGCTATCTAATGACACCCTGAGTTCTACATCAAGTTGACGGATTTATTCATCAAATCTTCTATTAGGCCGCAAAGAAAATATCCATAGCTAATACAGCAATATTCTCAAACAAGAGGGCCATGATGGCCCTGAGGTCGCTCACCTGTTTATAGCCCCCCACCCCGGGCCAATTTTTACCCAAGGGCTTTTATTTGTTTATTTGAACAGACTTGGTAGACACCCATAAGAAGATTTTTCATGCTAAACATCTAAGTTCTAGCTCATTGGGTTTTTTAAAAGAAGATTTTTAAAGTTTTTACTATACACATATAGTTAAAAACAATGACACCCCTGGGGCAGGGCCAGTTTTGACCCCTGGGCTTTTATTTGAACAAACTTTGTAGATATTTACTTAAAGATGTTTCATGCTTAATATCTAAACTCTAGCTATTTGGGTTTTTCAATGAAGATTTTTAAGTTTTTGCTATACACATATAACGAAAATCAATGACCCCCCCGGGCGGGGCCAGTTTTGACCCAGGGCATTTATTTGAACATACTTGGTAGACACCCATTAGAACATGTTTCATGCTAAATATCTTAGCTCTAGCTCTTTGAGTTCTTTAAAAGAAGATTTTTTAAGTTTTTACTATATGCATATAGGGAAAATAAATGACCCCCCGGAGCGGGCCAATTTTGACCCCAGGGCTTTTATTTGAACAAACTTGGTAGACACTCATTAGAACATGTTTCATGCTAAATATCTTAGCTCTAGCTCTTTGGGTTCTTTAAAAGAAGATTTTTTAAGTTTTTACTATATGCATATAGGGAAAATCTATGACCCCTTGGGGCGGAGTCAATTTTGACCCAAGGGCTTTTATTTGAACAAACTTGGTAGACATTCACAAGAAGACATTTCATGCCAAATATGTCAGCTCTAGCTCTTATGGTTCTTTAATAGAAGATTTTTTAAGTTTTTACTATATGCATATAGGGAAAATCAATGACCCCCCGGGGCGGGGCCAATTTTGATCCCAGGGCTTTAATTTGAACAAACTTGGTAGACACTCATTAGAAGATGTTTCATGCTTAATATCTTAGCTCTAGCTCTTTGGGTTCTTTAAAAGAAGATTTTTTAAGTTTTACTATATGCATATAGGGAAAATCAATGACCCCCTGGGGCGGGGCCAATTTTGACCCCAGGGCTTTTATTTGAACAAACTTGGTAGACATTCACTAGAAGATGTTTCATGCCAAATATCTAAGCTCTAGCTCTTACGGTTCTTTAAAAGAAGATTTTTTAAGTTTTTACTATATGCATATAGGGAAAATCAATGACCCCCCGGGGCGGGGCCAATTTTGACCCCAGGGCTTTTATTTGAACAAACTTGGTAGACACTCACTAGAAGATGTTTCATGCCAAATATCTTAGCTCTAGCTCTTTGGGTTCTTTAAAAGAAGATTTTTTAAGTTTTTACTATATGCATATAGGGAAAATCAAAGACCCCCTGGGGCGGGGCCAATTTTAACCCCAGGGCTTTTATTTGAACAAACTTGGTAGACACTCACTAGAAGATGTTTCATGCCAAATATCTAAGCTCTAGCTCTTAGGGTTGTTTAAAAGAAGATATTTAAAGATTTTTCTTTCCGTTGCCATGGCAACCAGAGTTCTGCATGGAATTAAATTCTTTGAACAATTTTCAAAGGTGACCACCAAAGGAACATTCCTGTGAAGTTTGGATGAAATTGGCTCAGTGGTTTATGAGGAGATGTCATTTAAAGCAAAAGTTTACGGACGGACGACGGACGACGGACGGAAGACGGACGGACGCCGGACGAAAAGCGATCACAAAAGCTCACCCTGTCACTTTGTGACAGGTGAGCTAAAAAATAATGTTGGTATGTCATTTTTTTTTCAAGATTTTTTATACTTGTTGTATAGCAGATACTTTTTATAATACTTTTTTCAATTTTAACATATTTTCTTTATATTTCTGTATTTTAATAATTTTTTTTTTTTTCATATTTTTATATTATTTTCATATATATTTTCATATGTGATAAAATTTAACAATTGACAAAAAAATATGTGTTTTTTTAAAAATACCCAAAACACAGACATTTTCTTTTTGTCCAAATGTAGGAGAAATGACCGACTAGTGAACTCCGAAGATTACGGTGCTGTCATATTTGCTGGTACAGTGTTCTGGTACGCGACATGGTTGACATAGAAATCATGATAATAAGCTAAAATGGCGACCGGTTGACCAAGAATCAGCGATAACCATACCACCATGTTGCCTAATTTTCCATGGACATATTTCGATTGAAGAATAGCTAGTGGAACCTGAAACAAACAAATTTGCAACTTGTATTTTCTGCCAATAAAATCTAATGTAAGAAGCAAACAGAGTAATTCAAGAAAAAAGTCTGTTTTTATTTTTATAATTGTTTTGGAAAAAGCTTATTTTCAGTTGTTTAATTATGGCAGTTTGTTGAACAACTTTTATATAATTATTTTGGAAAAAGCTTATTTTCAGTTGTTTAATTATGGTTTGTTGAACTACTTTCACTTTAAAAAGAAAGTATATATGTTATATATTTAGAAAGATTTTTACTTGTTCAAATTTTTCAATATGTTGCTTACTACATACACAGTTGATGGGGAAAAATATATAAATTAATCTATGTATTACCTGTCCTAACATCCCCATAAATGCCCATAATTTGAACATATGTAGTGGAACACTGACTAAATACTGAAATATAATTCAACAACAAATATTAAGGATTCACAAAATGAAAGAAATAGCATCATTAAACAAAGCAATAATATTAATTTTTCTTCATTTCTTTTATTTATATATAAGTATAGATTTCTGATTATAAAAAACAAATATTTGCTAATTGTTGAAACACTTTGCATGCAAAAAAAACTTAATCCAGCTGTCATGTGACGCCTGGGTGTGTACAATAGCTCTACCTTTTATTTGAATAGTTGTGCTAAAAGCACAATAGATATCATGCAGAGTAGTAAGTAATTGGTGATACGGGTTTATATCTCACAGATGTCAAAATCAATGTAAAAATTATTGGCCTTGGATAGTGACCTATGATGCTCTCAAATACATGTGTGAAGTTTCAACACATTCCCTTCAGTAGTTCTGAAGATACCAACTTGCTCACAAAAACCAAAGTGTGATGCTGACACCTGGGGGAGTACAGTATTAATTTTCCTTATTCTTTGAATATTCAAGCTAAAAATAGTGCAATTATTGGAGTATATACTTTATATACTTTACCTCATGAAAGAATGCTGACATAAAGAAGACAGCGATGGAAGCATTCAATCTAGAATATCCTCGCTTTACTAACGGTTTGTATAAATGTCTGAAATAAAGAGTTGATTTGATTTATTAATTTTTATATGTATGTAAAATACAATTTTAAATGAATCTTATAACAAAAAGAAAACAAGATGAACAGTAAGGATATTAAATGTAAAAAGATTATCTAGTCTATAAGTATTGAGTGAGACACCACAAAAAATACTGTATTCCTGTATATACCAGACAAGGCGCTTCAAAATGATCAAATGCTAAAATCTTGTCTTTTCACCTTTTACACCGATTTATATACAGTAATGTATTATGAGTGAAAAATGTAAGAATCACAAAAAAAGCGATATTTTTCTACTTTGTAATCATTTTTTTATGCAAGAGTCTAGAGGTACTTCTCCAACACTGTTGTGAGTTAAATCCATAAGGATTTCAAATTGGTAATTTTGCATATACAAATCTTGTACTATATCTGCTTGTAATAATTACCTCCCTTTATTGTTTCAATTTCGGAAACACTAACACATGTTAAAGATTTGTGTAGAAAAATTTATGACACAATAAATACTGTTACCTTGACGCCCATCTATGGACTGGTATATTCCATGTAGACCAGAACTGATTGACTGTATCACTATTCCTGTAAAATAGATCATCTTGTATGAGAATACATATTGAAGGCAAAAAAGGAATAGAGGATTTTAAATGAGTGTAGGATCAATACTGAATTTTTTGAGTGAGTTGAATAAAGTTATATTATATGAGCCTTTGTTAAGCAAAGTATTATTTTATTCAATGAGTTCAATTAATTCAGTAACAAACCTACACAAATAAATTATTCTATTTACCACATATCCAAAGTAAAGACTGTTTAAAGTGCAAGAATCATTATATTCATTGATGCTTCTATAGTGTAATGCTAATATTTAGCGCATCTTTACACTATGTTTGTATAATGTAAATGACTTCACATCAGAATACATGCACGACCCTGCAAAACCATTTTAACAGAGTCGCAAAATCGGCAAGGGTATGTGATAATGTATATGTCAGATGATATGGCAAAACCTTGAGTGAACTTAAGAGCTTTTTACCTGAACAATTAATTCAAGTAAGAAAGACTGAAAATCAATGTACCAATTATTCAATCGTGCTTTGGCTTCTAAGAGGACCATTTTTACATCTAAGAGGACCATTTTTACAATGTTAAAGTGGACTTGAAACATAGTTCAAAAGATCAAAATGTTCCATAGATTGTATAAGTACACAACTATCAAAAATTACCATCCATACATTGAGCACTAGTTTACAAGATAACACAAACACGCAAGAGTTGTTGTGTTACAGCTTGCTAAACTTGATAGAGGACAATACATCCTTGAAAACAGTCCTTGAAAATAGTCCTTGAAAACCTTGAAGTAAAAGATAGGGCAAAGCTATGTCAAAATCTATGACAGGGGTGTCTTCTTTTGCCAAGGAGTTAATTATAATGACAAAATATCGCTACAAACAAACTTAGATAATTCATTGTATTCTCTTCTTTAACTTACCACCAATCTTTGTAAAATTCTCTGTCCCCGAACTTTAATAACTCTGCGATAACATTGAGCGTAGAGTGGAAAAACCAGTAGAAGAACATGAGCCAGATGAAGTGGTTAGGTATAGCAAGTTTTAGTAACCTCTCGACGACGCGGGCACCATCCATCTCTTCTAGGGGCTTCATCGAGTTATGGACCAACGGTAGTATCCACTGTTGTATACATGCTCCTATCACTTGTATAATAAACAGCTGAAAATGAAACATGAAACTGTTGCAATTTAGATTATTCAAAATTATGTTGAAATAGATACATTTTGTTGTCAAAGTGTACAAAGTAGACAGTTTTTCAGAGACAAACATTTGTTTTCTTCACGGAAATATATAAAGTGCTGTACCCGAACATTATTTGGGCTATACTAGTAGTATAATATAAATAAATTGATGTATGGAGTCATATTTTGTAACAATGTGCACATTTGTTTGTAAAATAATGAAGACTAAGAAATTATCAAAACAATGTGCCTTATCTTTTTATGTAAAGAAAGACATTTAAAAGCTTTGATAAAAAAATAAAAAAATTTTATTCTGAAGCATTTAATGTAGTTGTTTTACCAATGGTGCTTAATCTTTTCCTGTTTAACAATTATTGAGCAGTCGCTTGAGAGTCTAGTATACATCTTTTTAAATTCCAGTTAATGCTGTTATGTTTTCTTATATTTTTCTATACATTTTAAAGTTTAAAATATGTTCCTGGTTTTGGAAAATGAAAAAAAAAAATGAAAAAAAGGACCATCTTACCATTTCAATAATTCTGCTGATTAAAAACCTTTTTCTTATTCTCAATGACCTTGGAAAGTTGAGCTCATAACATAGTGTTGGTGCACACATGAAGTAATACAAATCTGAAAGAAATATATAATTTAATAAAAAAACCCAGTAAACATTTATGTCCCTTGCAAGTTTCAGACCTATCATCAAATCTCGTCAAGTACCATGAGTACCAAAGCCACAGAGGCCCATGTAGGAATAATTTATTTAACAAGAGCTGTCGGAAGGACAGCACGCTCGACTATTCTAAGTGCTTGATAGTAAAAGAGCCTTGATAATGTTAAATTTTTTAAGTTCACAAAAGGGCTAATTTTTTTTTATAAATTCAAGTTATAGGCCTTGAAGAGAGTCTAATTATACAGTATTGGCTTGACTATTCGGAAGGTAATGTCACAAGGGTGTTTTATTGAGTATAATAATACTAATTACCTATGAATACATAAATTTGACAGAAAAGGTACAAAGGCTTGTTATTAAGATGTTTTTATTAAGTAAATCACAGCTTTATTATTATTAATGCTTAAATTGTCCCCAAAAAAGGCACAAACCCTTCAGTAGTTATTGAGATAACAGCTTACAAGCAAAACTTTACCATGAATTTCTAAGTTAAAAAAAGGGGAGAAAAATCAGCCTAAATGCAAGATAGAATTATGGATCTTTGTCAGTGAACTACAATTATGACTCTAAATGCATATGTGAAGTTTTAAATAAATATCTTTAATAGTTATTGAGATATGTAAAACTTGCATGTAAACATTAACCAAGAGACTAAGTAGAAAAGGGGATATGAATCAGCCTTAATGCAAGATAGAGTTATGGAACTTGGTCAGTGACATACAATTATGACCCTCCAATTATGACCCTATGTGCATGTGTAAAGTTTCAAGTAAATATCTTTGAAGACCTTTAACCTTTAACCAAAATTTCTAAGTTCCAAAGGGGCATAATTCTGTCAATATTGTAGGCAGAGTTATCCAACTTGTCAATCTGATGTACCTTGTTACTATAAATAAGTATTGTAAGTTTCAATTGAATATCTCAAGCAATAATTGAGATATTTGACTTTACAAAAAACTTAAACCAAAATTTCTAAGTTAAAAGGGGCATAATTCTGTCAATATTGTAGCAGAGTTATCCAACTTGTCAATCTGATGTACCTTGTTACTATAAATAAAGTATTGTAAGTTTCAATTGAATATCTCAAGCAATAATTGAGATATTTGACTTTACAAAAAACTTTAACCAAAATTTCTAAGTTAAAAAGGGGCATAATTCTGTCAATATTGTAGGCAGAGTTATCCAACTTGTCAATCTGATGTACCTTGTTACTATAAATAACTATTGTAAGTTTCAATTGAATATCACAAGTAATAATATAGATATTTGACTTTACAAAAAACTTTAACCAACGCAGACGCCGACGCGGACGCTGACGCCGACGCCGACGCCAACGCCGACGCCGGGGCGACTACAATAGCTCTCATATTCTTCGAATAGTCGAGCTAAAAAGGATAATTCAATTTGAAGCTTATAGAAAATTAACATGCAAAAGACAACCTTTGCATTAAGACCATATCTTTTAAAACCGTGTTCAAAGGTCAATTTTTCTGTTGATAAACTATGTCATAAAAATAACATTATGAAAATTAATTTTTATGTAGGTAAAAGCAGTCAAAAACATTTGATATCAAACTGAAAGAGACTGGTCTTTGTATTGAATAATGATTACAGAATTGTAACATTAATACATGTAAAATAGTTTGTCTTAAAACTAAGAATTATCATAATTTCACCATCATACATACCATTCAAAGTCAAATTTTCTGGATATTGTATCTGTAAAGTTTCTTCCTTTCCATTCTCCATAACTAAAATGTAATACAGGCATGTGCTTAAAATCATTCACAGAATATTATGATCATAATATTTAATTTATAAATAAAAAATATCAGCTTTTTGTTTGTTGCCTTCTGCATCAACAAGGTGAGCATAATGTATATCTAGACATTTAAAAGAATTGCTATTGTAATATTGATTCAACACCTTTAAAAACAACTTTTGGAAACATAAAAATGAACAACAGAAAATAGTCAACTAGACGGACCTTGGCCTCTATCAGTCGACCATGAACCTGACAAATAAATTCTTAAAAAATCTGTCAATGATAAAAACTAAAATAAACTTACAGCTGCCTTCTGACATGCTCACAGATTTTGCTCGTCTTGTACGCGTTTTAGCTGGTGACCTTGACTGACGGCACCATTTGTTGACAGACGCATAGGAGACAAGTTTCAGGAACATGGATGTATAAAGTCCAAGTATCACAGTCGAAATCACTGACATATATAACATAGTTGTTATAGAAAGACAATCTTGAGAATTATTTTTCTGATCTGAACTGCAAACACATAACAGATACTTTTTCTTGTATATTCTACAATATTCTATCAAACCTTAAATCTTTACCCCCAAAAATTAATTTCTCATGGACGTTCACTTCATCCTTAACTTTTTTCTTACAATAGCATATGAATTTCCAACTTCATTCATAACAGCGAAATGATGTCATCCTAGGCACGCAGTTTCATACTTAAATATGCTGAAATGAAGTAATGCTAATGGAGTTCATTCATAACAAGAGCTGTCACAGGAGACAGCGAAGCTCGACTAATAAAATACTGGACGCAGTAAGGACGACAAAACTATGAAAGAAAAATCAATTATGTATAATTATGTATTAAGTTATAGTAAAAAAATAACATTTGTTAACATTAATTCCAAGATCAAGGGGAATAATTCTAGAAATAGTCATGCTAGAGTTATGGACCTTGTCACACAACATTTGTGTAATGATAAGAAATATATATTTGAAGTTTGAAGTAGATACCTTAAAAAGTAAAGAAGTTATTATATTTCTTAAAGAAAATCCTAAGTTCAAAGAGAGATAAATCTGTAAATATTGCTTCAAGAGTTATGAACATTGTCACATAAACTGTATTTGATGATTAGGAATAAGTATTTGAAGCTTGAGGTAGATACCTTTAAAAATAAAAAAGTTATAATAAAAAATAACATTTTTTTAGTAAAAAAATCTAAGTTTATGGGGAGATAATTCTTGCAATATTGGTGCTAGAGTTATGAACCTTGTCACATAAGATGTGGATGATGATAACGTAAATATATTTGAAGTATGAAGTTGATCCCTTTAGAAATAAATAAGTAACAGTAAAAAAAATAATATCTTTTATGGAAAATTCTAAGATCAAAGGGAGATAAATCTGAAAATATTGGTGCTAGAGTTATGAACCTTGTCACATAAGATGGGGATGATGATAACGTAAATATATTTGAAGTATGAGGTTGATCCCTAAAGAAATAAAGAAGAAACAGTAAGAAATAGCATTTTTTTAGGAAAATTCTAAGTTCAAGGGGAGATAAATCTGAAAATATTGGTCCTAGAGTTATGAACCTTGTCACATAAGATGGGGATGATGATAAGGTACATATATTTGAAGTATGAGGTTGATCCCTTAAGAAATAAAGAAGTAACAGTAAAAAATAGTATTTTTTAAGGAAAATTCTAAGTTCAAGGGGAGATAAATCTGAAAATATTGGTGCTAGAGTTATGAACCTTGTCACATAAGATGTGGTTGATGATAAGGAACATATATTTGAAGTTTGAAGTTGATACCTTAAGAAATGACAAAGTTATAGTGAAAAAAATTTTACTGCACCAAAACTTTAATCTAAAATCTGGACGCGGACGCGGACGCCGACGCTGGGGGGAGTAGGACAGCTCTCCATATACTTCGTATAGTCGAGCTAAAAATGCGCTAAAATGACACCAATGTAAAGCACGCGACTCATCTGGCACCTCCAAGCCAGATGAAATTTCTTGTATAATTCTTGTTAAACCACCTTTCAATATGCCTCACAAACAAACCATTAATGCACTCAATGAAATATAACAAGAAAAACACACACGATTAGAAAAACTTACATGGATTTGGCTCTAAGATAAGAATCACAGTTGCAGGTATGGTTATTAGGAGAACTAGGTTTATTGTTTGTACACACAAGGCAAACTTCTCTGAAAACATGCTCTGAAACAATCAAACATAAATATGATTCATTACAATAATACAAGCAAAACAAATTGTTTTATCATTTGCTTTGTTATCTTTCTCGTCATTTAAGGAACTCACTTTTTCATCATTACACGAGCTCACTTTCTCAACATTAAAGGAACTCAACTGAGGTACGGTAAAAGAAGCCTAAAAATATAAAATTTAAAAGTTTTTGTATAGATCTAGTGCATCACTTAAAAATGAAAAAAATCTGAAAAGAATAATAAAGAACTATTCTTGGAAACACTTTGCAACACTTTATTTTTAGGTAATTTTGCAAAATGAAAATGAAATTTACTGGAAAAATGGTGTGGGCAAATGATCTGAAAATTTTCACACAAGTTATTGTTTCAGACCTACATCAAATGGTTTACAAACCTGAGAAAAAAATATTTCCAGTTCTGCCATGCAAAAAAAAAAAACCTCAATTGAGTCCCTTTTAAACACCAGGACATGACATTGTGTTCTATAAGAAATTTCATTTTTTCGGAAATAATTCATAGCATTCAAAATTTCTCATGCAGAAAATTTGTTCACAAGACGTAGTACAGCAAAAAAGAAAAAAACACCCTGAATTAATATAATATAATATGTATATTTGTTACATTGTCACAGTTAAGTGCATAAACTTACCTTACACATGGCTTTCTCCATGCAATACATTATCAAGATGAAAACATTGGCACCTGAAACACAATTAACATATTTAAGTTTGTTTTGTTTTTCAGTGCGCACAATTTAGGTCATATGTGGCTCCGTAACAGGAAAGATGATATTTGCTAACCTCGGAAGTTACAAACTTTAAGCAATCCCAGGTGTCAAAACCACCTCACCTGCTGGAGCTATGGGATTCATAGACTCTAGTAATTCAAACCCATTTAGCTGCTTCTCACGACCATGCAGAGAAAGGGCGACTGCAATTTAAGTTTAAAATTTAGTTATACAAAACAATCTCTAAATAGTGATGCCTGCAGATAGGGCTGGTCTTAAATTAAACTAGAACTATCACTAAATGTGATTAATACCCCCACAAGTCTGCTTTGGAAATGAGGATGTTACTAGTAACAGAATACCTTGTAAAAGAATTGAAACATAGAGTTATGGTTGTGGGCAATTAAAGATAATTGTAGTTCATGTATGTTACATTTCCTTTCAATGTGGTTGGCCATTGATGAAGTTTAATTGAATTACTCTGTAATAAGTCCAGAAAGACAAAGAAAAAGAACAAAGGGCAATAACTCTATAAATACTGAAGATAGAGTTATAGTTCTTGTGCATTGCACTTCCTCTTATTGTGCTTGACCATTGTATGAAGTTGTTTTGAATTCCAACCAGTACGTTTTAAGTGATGCTCCGGACAAGGAAAAGTATCAAAGGGCAGTAACTCTGTATTTTGTCAAAATGGAGTTATGGCTCTTGTGCACTGCACTTCCTTTTAATGTCCTTGACAACTGTATGAAGTTGTACTGAATTCCAAACAATAGTTTTCAAATTATGCTCTGGACAAGGAAAAGTAACAAAGGGCAATAACTCTGTAATTAGTAAAGATGGAGTTATGGTTCTTGTGCACTGCACTACCCCTTATTGTGCTTGACCATTGTATGAAGTTGTTTTGAATTCCAACCAGTAGTTTTCAAGTCATGCTCTGGACAAGGAAAAGTAACAAAGGGCAGTAACTCTGTAATTAGTCAAGATGGAGTTATGGTTCTTATGCACTGCACTTCCTCTCAATGTGCTTGACCATTGTATGAAGTTATAATGAATTCCAACAATAAGTCTTCAAGTTATGGTCCGGACAAAAGAAAGCAATGGAAAAGTAACAAAGGGCAATAACTCTGTAATTAGTCAAGATGAAGTTATGGTTCTTGTGCACTGCACTTCCCCTTATTGTGCTTGACCATTGTATGAAGTTGTTTTGAATTCCAACCAGTAGTTTTTAAAGTCATGCTCTGGACAAGGAAAAGACAACACAAAGGGCAGTAACTCTGTAATAAGTCAAGATGGAGTTATGGTTCTTGTGCACTGCACTTCCTTTCAATGTGCTGGACCATTGTATGAATTTATAATGAATTCCAACAATTAGTCTTCAAGTTATGGTCCGGACAAAAGAAAAGCAATGGAAAAGTAATACAGGGCAATAAACTCTGTAATTACTTTAGATAGAGTTATGGTTCTTATGCACTGCACTTCATCTCAATGTGCTTGACCATTGTATGTAGTTATATTGAATTCCAACCATAAGTCTTTAAGTTATGGTCCGGACAAAAAAAAGAAGGCAATGGAAAAGCAACAAAGGGCAATAACTCTGTAATTACTTTAGATAGAGTTATGGTTCTTGTGCACTGCACTTCCCCTTATTGTGTTTGACAATTGTATGAAGTTGTTTTGAATTCCAACCAGTAGTTTTCAAGTTATGCCACGGACAAGGAAAAATAACAAAGGGCAATAACTCTGTAATTAGTCAAGATAGAGTTATGTTTCTTGTGCACTGCACTTCCTCTCAATGTGCTTGACCATTGTATGTAGTTATAATTGAATTCCAACCATTAGTCTTCAAGTTATGCCACGGACAAGGAAAATGCAACGGACAAAAAAAAAAGCAATGGAAAAGCAACAAAGGGCAATAACTCTGTAATTACTTTAGATAGAGTTATGGTTCTTGTGCACTGCACTTCCCCTTATTGTGTTTGACAATTGTATGAAGTTGTTTTGAATTCCAACCAGTAGTTTTCAAGTTATGCCACGGACAAGGAAAAGTAACAAAGGGCAATAACTCTGTAATTAGTCAAGATAGAGTTATGGTTCTTGTGCACTGCACTTCCTCTCAATGTGCTTGACCATTGTATGTAGTTATATTGAATTTCAACCATTAGTCTTCAAGTTATGCTCCGGACAAGGAAAATGCAACGGACAAAAAAAAAAGCAATGGAAAAGCAACAAAGGGCAATAACTCTGTAATTACTTTAGATAGAGTTATGGTTCTTGTGCACTGCACTTCCCCTTATTGTGTTTGACAATTGTATGAAGTTGTTTTGAATTCCAACCAGTAGTTTTCAAGTTATGCCACGGACAAGGAAAAGTAACAAAGGGCAATAACTCTGTAATTAGTCAAGATAAAGTTATGGTTCTTGTGCACTGCACTTCCTCTCAATGTGCTTGACCATTGTATGTAGTTATATTGAATTCCAACCATTAGTCTTCAAGTTATGCCACGGACAAGGAAAATGCAACGGACAAAAAAAAAAGCAATGGAAAAGCAACAAAGGGCAATAACTCTGTAATTACTTTAGATAGAGTTATGGTTCTTGTGCACTGCACTTCCCCTTATTGTGTTTGACAATTGTATGAAGTTGTTTTGAATTCCAACCAGTAGTTTTCAAGTTATGCCACGGACAAGGAAAAATAACAAAGGGCAATAACTCTGTAATTAGTCAAGATAGAGTTATGTTTCTTATGCACTGCACTTCCTCTCAATGTGCTTGACCATTATATGTAGTAATATTGAATTCCAACCATTAGTTTTCAAGTTATGCTCCGGACAAGGAAAATGCAACGGACGTCTGGACCGACCGACCGACCGACCGACCGACCACCGGGTGACTCCTATATACCCCCCCAAACTTCGTTTTTGGGGGTATAAAAAAAAAAAGAATAACTTCAGAATAGCCAAAATCAAGTCAGTGCTTTATAATATTCATGAACAGATATCAACAAAAGTCTAGTTCTATATCAATTTCCTTTTATTATTCAAGTTCATATCTCATTCACAATGTTCAGAAATGTGCTCCATTTAGTAAAAGATTTAGACCTTACATGTCTTTCTATGTCTTGTTTCAATATTAAATTCTGACCTTATAAATGCTAAAAATATAATGAATTGATCCCTCACACAAAAACAATCAATGTCTCGATTATAAACATACTTGAGATAACAAAAATCGATGGCATCAACAACTGTGCCAGTGAGTCCATACTGTGGTTGAATGAAGACTTGAACTTACCTAGCAAGAGAGCAATGTTTGCCACACTGTATGGCTGGTTCATAAACATTTTGACCCATGATACCGGATCTATTAAAATACCATATCTGAAATATAATTAAAAATTAAATTTTCATTCTATATATTAGCTTTCAATACATGTAATATTGTAGACAGTAGTAAGAGTGATGGCTGTGTTCAAACTTTTAAATAATACAGGGAACACAAACTGTCTGGAAGAAAGCGTGATCGTCTATTTTCAGTAATAATTGACAGTAAATAACATGCATAACTCTGCAAAAAGATAACTTAGTAATTGGACCTGTATTTGTAAAGTATAGAGAACACCTTTCAATCCAATTAAAGTATATTGGTCCCTTATTAAGCTTAGAACACACACCATTCCCTACAGTAGTTTATAGATACCAACTTGCAAGCAAAACCTTCACCGAAATGTGACGGCCACACCGACATCGATGTGTACAAGACTTAGTGCAATACATTTGTAACTTCACCTATTCTTTAAATACATGTAGTTGAGTAAAAATGAACTATTTAATTCACTTCTAATTCAATCAAGAGGGCACTGTTGGCTCAAAATCCTTTAACAAAGTCAATGTTATATAAAATTCACTTGATTCAGACGATTTTACTTTAGGAAAAATGTAGCCAGACGGACAGACAAGACATCGAGTGACCCTGAATAAATTACACAAAATTATTATTAGATCTAAAGTAATTGTAAAATTCATTTTTCAAAACTTAATTAAATCAGCACACACTCACTTGATAATATTTTCTAGGAACAATCTTGCATTGGCCAAAGCCTGAAAATATACAAAGAAAATAAACATTAAAACATTGTTTTATATAAGTTGAGAAAAACGGAATCCCTAAAGAATGCATCTATAAGTTAATGCCCTAATAAGTTATGTTTAAAGGGTCACTTACAAACCTTTCTTATGTTTTAAAACTGTTTCTTCATGACCTTGATGAGAAGCTGGAACTTTATTGATGTTTGATGCTTTGAAAATTTATGCCTTAAAAATAGGTTTTCAAATTAATTTTTTTTATACGTTTGTAATACATAAGTGACCTTATGAGATAATATACATGTACATTTATATAAATATTGAAACAATGTTGAACTATGTAACATATATAATGTATTATATGATTATCTTACAGACATGTAATCAATAATACAACACAAGTAGACCAACCCTAGCCTACATTTCATTACAGAAGATAAAAAAAAATGATTAGAAAAGCTCTAAATACACATCAGTGTGCACTACTTTATTTTTAATTTTAAAACAATCAAACATATCTTTAAAGGGAGCATTTGATTAGAAAAACCTTGGAAGACTCTTGGAAATAGACAAATTCTTAGAGACTAAAATACGTTTCACAATAACCTGCCTTAGTAAAGTTTGTTTCTATAATTATCTACACAAACGGTGCCCATATAGTGCTGACCATGAGCTAGTGCACATTATTATAAAAATAGTCTGTCCACAATCTAAGAATTCTTCCGACTGCCCTTGAAATGCTATCATCATTTCATAATATGTCTAGATCCAGTCTAAAGTTTTTCTGTCTGTGTCCTTGAAACAGAAAAGCCATTTTAATAACTTGTCCAGAATCTAGGACATTTATTGAAAACCTTGACAGTATAAGTTCAGTTCTTCATAGGATATCTAAATTTACTTAATGACTGTTAACCTTCAACTTTGTCCTAAGACGGCCTTCCTAAATTCTTTATCATATACAGACCTTGAAAAATATTTCCTTAAGATTGGTTTAAAGTTAAGTTTTTTTATGTAGGGGTTATACGGTCTAAAATTTTATCAAAATGTCAGATAATTTTGAAAAGTGCATTTTGATATAAACAAGATAATGCTATATGACCTTGAATCTGCCAAAATTTTCTTTTTTGTTTACAATGATTATTATCATCAACGATAAAAAGTTGAATAGATCCGGCATTGTTTACCTCAAATATATCATGCAATGTTACATCATTACTTTACACATTCTGGATCAGGATCCGGAAACACCTTGCATTTTTTCAATTCAAACCAGTATTATAATAATTATTTTTATTGCATTTACTGGGTTGAATCAGCTGTATTATTTAATTAAAATGATCAGAGAGTTTAGATCTAGACGTTGTGGCATAAAATAAACCCTACATTACACTAACAACCCCATGCATGCAAACAATTAAATATGAATTAATACAAATCAATTCTTTCACCATATTGCTATCACCAAGGTCAGAAATATTGCTCTTCAGAAATCAAATGGCCTTTAACACTGCTCTGCTTGGCTTTTAAATGAACTTTGGAAATATGCAATTATCAATTTATTATAATGTCCAAAATTTAGTACTTTTCCAAGCTACAAGGACATGTGAGCTGCCCTTATGCAATCATTTATTATTTGTCTAGAATTAAGAACATTTGTGCCTGTGGCCTTGACAATTTCTTTTTGGTCGTGTTTTCCTCTGCACAAACACAATACAGGTCATAATATATGGGGACTTTCCAGCTTTGCTGGTGGAGGAAGACCTCAGATGCCTCTCCATGCAGTATTTAAGACACACAGACTGCAAACCAGCACATTCCGTAAGCTAGTTGGATAGCTTCCTCACATGAAAGAATCCAGAGTCCCTGTGCAGATTTGAATCCAAAGTGTGATGTGGTCAGGGGCAAGTGGTCTGAAAGCTTTTATTCAGGCAACATTCAAAAATTAAGAAACATGACTAACATTAAGTCTCCCATGCAATTAAATTAAATTAAACTATTTAGGGATATCTAATACCATGATACATGTATCACAATTTAAAAATGTTAACTGTTATTAAATCAAAATGTGATTCTTTTAAGACACCAAACATAACTTTTAACCCTTTCACTGCCATAGGGACGGCATATGCCGTCCCTATTATTTTCGGCGTATTTGCCATATGGACGGCTTTAGCCGTTTCTATAATAATAATAATAATAATAATTATATTAATAATAATTATATTAATAATAATAATAAATATATAGATAATTATACCATTGACTATAATTATTATATACTAGCAGATTTGGAAACATATATAATTATTATAATACTAATAACAAATAATAATTATTATATCAATTAATAATACATAATTTCTTAGAAAACCTTCTGGCAAATAGGTGATCAATAAATATATAACCCTCTGTTTTTTTAAGACATAAACATCAAACTTTCATTACTGTAATAGAAAATACACCTATCACATTCAAATTATCTCCCCTGTGTACACTTTTAAATAAAACCCATAAAAAAATCTGCACTGATGTAATCAGTAACCCTTTATCTTATAATTGTATTTACATTATTATACAGTAACATGACTGTGCATTCTATAATATTATATTAAACTAATATTTAGATTATTGTACATGTAACTTAAGTAAACTTTTTCTTTATACAAAAAATGAATACTTGTTTTACAAGATTTAGTTCACTAAACATGGTTTAATTATACAATTTGTATAAACACAAATATACCATATTCTATTCTATTTTCTAACCCATCATGTAATACAAGAACAGATAAAAGTTTTAAAAATATTCCATGAACACAGGAAGGAATTACATTAAGTTTTGCTTAATTTATTATAACAAGATTATGCAATGGGCTTCTTTGAGTTGTTTTCTTTATTTCTAAATTTCGTCCTGGTACCTGATCAATAATATTGTTTGGCAATAGACTCATTAATTTTTGGAAGCTTTTTCATTAGTTTTTGTTAGTAATTTCCTTAGTTTTTTTTTGTTTTTTTTGTTTTTTTTTGTTTTAAATAACACCGTATCCAAATTAAATCTCAAATATACAGTACTGGTCTAAATTTGTGTCAACAGCCCATGCCTGAAACATAATATTACAAAATAATCAACTGACAATTAGAAAATCAATGCAGACCCTATATTATGCTCTACTTTCGGTGAACTTTCTCAAGAGATCAATGTTAAAACTAGGAGTACATTAAATGATAAACATGTCCATAAAGTAAATCTTGACCTTACAGGATATTTATAAAGAACCAATGAACCTTGATATACAGATATTTGCTGATATCAGCGATGCCAACTGGACACATTCATCATGTTAACTGGTTCAAACTGGTCATATAAGGTTAATATATGAAATTATTCATCTAGTGCAAAGAATTTTATTCACAAGTGTTTACAGGGTATTAAAATGGCTTAAAATGAATATTTAACATTTTATTAGTAAATAAATTGCAAATTATTCTCCAAAAATTACAAACATTATCTCATTATCTCATCCTCAAGTACACACATTCAAAGATAAGTATTTATTGTTATATTAAGTCAGGTTAGAAAAACCTGGACTTTTATCATAATTTTTTTTGTTATTTTTGTGTCTTAACCCATTACTTCATATACATGCCTTTTAACGCCTTTTTCACCCCCCCCCCTTTTTGTTGTCTCAAATGATGAAAAAATGCCTTATTTAGGCCCCAAACATTTGTTTTTGTTTGAGAAATGTTGTTAAAAAAAGTGACCTCTTTTTCGGCGCGGCCCCCCAACCAAAAGATACATCAGGGGGTTGCCAGAAGGGGGATATGCCCGCTTCTGTTTGGGGGGTTTGAAGGGGGGCGGAGTCCCCTCATCGCCAAGAAAATTTTGGACTTGTGAGAGGCCGTAAATGACCCCAGATTGATCATAAGGTAACATGTAACCAACGCTGAAAAGCATTTGACTCTATCTCAATCCATTGAGAAGTTGCAGCACTTTGAAATCAATTTTGATGGAAAAAATCAACGCAAAATAGTGATTTTTTGACAATTTTGAGATGTCCCCTCGTTGCCATGGTAAACAGAAAATTTAAGCCTGAGCATGTTGTTGCAAGGGCAATGTCCAGTCAACATTTGTGCCAAGTTTGATTAGTGTTGAAGCAGTTTTTTATAGTATTATAGCAATTTGAACTTGTAACGGGAGACTTTTCAATGAAAACAGCCATTTTTCACAAAAGCTCATGAAGTAATGGGTTAATGAAAAAAATAAGAAAATCTACAAAACAACAATTTTTCTTCAAATTTATTATGGCAGGCCATGTTTAAACATGAAAAACGCGATTTAGGGTAAATTTCAAGTATTTTCATCATTTTCTGTTAACCCATTACTTCATATACACGCCTTTAACGCCTTTTTCACCCCCCCCTTTTTGTTGTCTCAAATGATGAAAAAAAGCCTTATTTAGGCCCCAAACACTTGTTTTTTGTTTGAGAAATGTTGTTAAAAAAAGTGACCTCTTTTCGGCGTGGCCCCCAAACCAAAAAGATACATCAGGGGGTTGCCAGAAGGGGGATATGCCCGCTTCTGTTTGGGGGGTTTGAAGGGGGGCGGAGTCCCCCTCATCGCCAAGAAAATTTTGGACTTGTGAGAGGCCATAAATGACCCCAGATTGATCATAAGGTAACATGTAACCAACGCTGAAAAGCATTTGACTCTATCTCAATCCATTGAGAAGTTGCAGCACTTTGAAATCAATTTTGATGGAAAAAATCAACGCAAAATAGTGATTTTTGGCAATTTTGAGATGTCCCCTCGTTGCCATGGTAACAGAAAATTCAAGTCTGAGCATGCTGTTGCAAGGGCAATGGTCCAGTCAACATTTGTGCCAAGTTTGATTAGTGTTGAAGCAGTTTTTATAGTATTATAGCAATTTGAACTTGTAACGGGAGACTTTTCAATGAAAACAGCCATTTTTCACAAAATGCTCATGAAGTAATGGGTTAATTCTGAGACTGTTCTGTTTTGTACCATGAAGCCAGTGAATTGATAAGCATGTAATAAGGTACTGTAACAGTGCTAGTTGCATACGTCTAGTGACACAATCATAAAACTTACAATACATTAAATCAGTAAATCAGCATAATATTGGGATGCAAAAATTAATTGAATTTCTAATGGTTGTTTTTCAAAACTTACACTTAACTCAGAATTAACTTGTTTTTTTTGTTGTTGTTTTTTTTTTCAGTTGAATAGAATTTGTTATCATTGCAAATTTGCAAATTCAGTTAAAATAAATATGCATGTTATAATAAAAACACTATATCTGAAGTGAAACAGAAGAAAAAAACCAATGTACATTGTATTATATCTTAAGTATTAATAAAAGTACAATTTACATTTGTAACAACATTATTCTTAGAAATGATCTTTAAGCACACGACCTTGAGCAGCACAAAGATAAATTTAATGTTCTATAAATAACCACACAAGTGTTGAAACCATTTCTGTATGTTATCTAAAATTCAGTAGGTCAAGTTCAACAATTTAGATCAAATAAATACACTGTACATGCTAAGGTACATGTAAGCTATTTGATTTACATAAAGACATGTTTGGGTTGTGAACACTAAATAACCCCTGAATCCAGACAAAAGTTTTTCATAAAAACCAGATAAGAAAAGGTTATTTAATTCTTTATTTGACTTTTTCTTATATACTTATTAGGTAACAGTGTTCATAAAATTCTAGCAAGCCGGTGGTTACAGGATCTAACCATGTGACAAGACTTGGTGCAGACCTGAAGATTAGTCATGATCATACCGTCTGATCATGGTCTGCACTGTTCACTACTCTGTTTGCACATATTCTGAAATTTTCCCTAAAAATGATCGATGCATGTAGTTTGGGCCAGATTTAAGGCTGCCAAGTCAAATAAAGATAGAATTGTAAGGACTTTAATAAAACTTTTAGAAAATTTGTTGCATCTTTATTTAAATTGTTAATACTTTTGCACTGATTATATATCTTTCAAAAAAGCACTATCATTCTTATTGTTAAATGTCTTAATCTTGTTTAATGTCAAATTATTTATTTAATCAGCTAAAAATAATAATAACAACTTACTCATGTATATTTAATTGACATGATAATTAAAATCTCGTTGTAATTAGGGTAGATAAATGTAGATAGGGTAGATGGAAACTACATGTACATGTATTACTGAGTGCATTTATACAGGTACCAGTATTCACTTCTTTACAAACCAGCTTTTACTATTTTCTGGGGAAATTCCAAAATAAGCCTGGACTAAAAGCCCAAAAGTACAGACCATGAACTGACAGTCAGGTGGCAAAGATGTGCTGGCTGACCTTGGTCTGCACTGGTTGCATGCCATGGTCTAGGAAACAGTTGCCACCATCAGGGTAAAAGTTAAAATAAATCTATCTTGGTATAACAAACTATGATCAAATTTAAATGATGTAAGTTTTATTTTTTCTTAAATGCTTGGTTTTTAAGCCATCTCATTATATGAAACTATAGAAATGTTTATTAAAAAAAAGTTTATGTAAACACAAACATCCTTGCAAAGTGCAAAAAAACTTTGCAAAGTGCAAAAGATACGAAGACACCAACAAATACCAATTCCACTTTTAAACTGTACTTTTATAATTCACCGGGACCTTGACCGTAAGCTAGCTGCATAGCGTCTTCACAAGTGCACATGCACATGTCATATGACTTTTTGACACCATCATGTTATGGTAATCATCTGTGCTGAATACATTTAGCAATCATGCACAATAGATATAAGCCAGACACAATAACAAACAGAGTCAAAGGTCAAGCTGTGACCTGAATCAAAATAATGCAAAATGATGATGCAACATTTGAAGATTTCTCAAGTTTTGACCTTGACCCTTGTCACAAATGTTAAGCGCGACAAATCATCGTGATATAGCAGTGCTTTTTTTCTCTACTTTGGGAATGGTGCCAGTACCAGACTGATTGGGAAAAAAAGCGTTATTTTGACTTAAATTGGGATTTTTTTTTTTATGCATTTTTTCAGCTACAAATAAGATAGACATCAAAAATAAAGATAGCTAACAGCTTCCACTGTCCAGGTAGAACTATTGAGTGATGATTTATATGAATATGTTGGATTTAAATGATTTCAGAGAAATCTCTTGGCCTTGTGGAAATTTTACAGCCATTTTGGGAATTTAAACATTAGAAATTGGGAATTTTAATGTCTATTTTCTATTGGGAGCAGTACCGTTTTAGGGTAGTAGTTATATAAAGAAAAAAAACACTGTATAGTATTCAAATACTATTTTGGATCCGTCCAGCTTTGAATTCAAATTTCAAGGGATTTCAATATCAAAATACAAAAAAATGCGCTGCCACCATTATAGAGCCTGGTCAGACTGCATGGATGTGATACAACATACTATTTCAACATGTGATATCATACAAGAATTATTAAAAAAGCTTCATAATACATATAAAATATATATATATATTCTAAAAGCTAGCATAATTGAGAAAAGAAAGTTTTTTTACAACAACTAAACTCCTTACAAATTGAAATTGCAATCAGACTCACATACAATGTACATATTTGTTATTATCACAATTCACTCATGATGATGATGATGATGATGATAATAATGTCCAAAATTCTACCTACAAACAGAATGATCCTTGCAAGTTGTTTCAAAATTAACATGCCACACTTCTGTTGAACAACAGCTTTATGGCTGTTAGAAGCAATGTGATGACAACATTTTTTATAAGATGTTTATGATGGGTTTCTTTCATTTTTGAGGCCAATGCTACTTTACAATATGACAGAGTTGAATGGTAGATAAATTAAACTGTACTGTTACTTACCAACAGTATGATGCAAAGGTTAAGTAGTCCTCTGTAATTGTTGAAACCACTTGATGTACTGAGCAATGAATCTGCATGTCTGTGAATTCTAAAAGCAAATAATAACACAATTTAAACAATAATTTCCTTTTGAAACAGTAGCATAGCATTAGGTTATATCAAAATGTCACATTGTTTGCAAAAAAAATATCTAATAGCAGTAAAAGTTGTGTTTTTCTGATATGCATGTATCATTTAATATTGTATATCCTTAACATGTACTCGCGTAATACTGATTATTTGACACTCAGAATCAATAAATAAATTTATAAAAAATTCATTGAAACATTTCCTTTCCCAATGCAAACATTTTATCATAATCCTACAAAACAATAATATGCTTTATCAGATTTAAATGCAGTATCAAATTTGTTACGCTAAATTCAAATAAATTTCAATGTAATCAATTGTTTGAACCATCTTTAAAGACAATTTATACTTACTCAGAAGAGTATTTTGTTTTGATACCAGACATACGATATTCTGGATCTTTAAGAAAAGACTTAAACCACAGTGGAAAACATTCATACAGCACTGATCTAATGCTTGAATTTTTTACAATTGAATCTTCTTTCTTTTTGTAATACACTGTCATATTTGCCAGCTTATCCTGGTTTAATTTCTGGCATTTGACACATGACCTCTCATCAGTGTTTGCACTCGGGGAATATTTACAGTCTGTCTCAGAACATTTTATATGGTCAGTATTATCATCAACACATCGATCATCTTCTCCAATAGAACTACCATCAATTTCACTACTTTTAATTTCATCGCATGCACGCCTCCTGCATGCACTTTCATTAACAATTGAGTTTTTCAAGTCCAAGTCATTATGCATACTGCTAACTGTTAACTTCTCATCCAGTTCAATATTGTCATCCATTCTCTCGGTTGGTGAGGGCGACATGTTAACTATATGATGTCCTCGCAGTTAGGAAATTAAAGACTTGTTGTGGAACAAAAAATGAACCCGACTATTAGTCTATTACCAGTGATATTAATCACAAGTGACACTCTATAAAGTAATGCTCTTGTCAAGGAACATACATTTCAAATAACTTATAAAAAATATATCATTGATATACAATAACAATTGCTATTCCATAAGTCACAATATTTCACAAGGTATTTTCTTCTGCAACCTTCTCAGCTCTGATATTATTATTGTCAATCTTGGTATATACCATCAACACTGCCGGGAGCTCAACACCTTATATCATGTTTTCAACAGCATGTTTGCACAACACATGACATGTAGCAGTGATTGCAAAAACCACAATACATGTTTCACGCATGGATTAACCGTGAACTTGACATACTCTAGTTCCATTCTAAATATAGAAACGTGCCCCCAATGACCGGTGTTTAACTTAAAGGGAGGTTAAAATTGGAACATTAAAATGTCATGGAAGAGAAACAAACTTACGTCTTTCCACATGGCTTGGAAATTTCCTTTTTACTTTCGGTGTTGATATCCTGTACTTTATTAAAACTTTGTGCCCGTCTTAAGTAAGGTTTTGTAGACATCTTAACACCCGGAAGTAACAAAACGTAAACTTTAGGGCCGCTTAAATCATCAAAATAATAGGGATTTCTGTTGTTTTTTTGGTGTTTTTTTAAAACAATTTATGAATACACATATTTAATGGAAATAAGTTCACTTTATAGGCCCTATGGTTAATACTAAGAGTAAGAAATCGGTTAAATATTGATCGAAAACTGAAATTATTTTGTAAAGGCTTATCTCTTTTTCACGAAAGGGTATCAAATCACGAACTGGTAATCATCACTATTATGATGAGCAATTTTTGTTGCTTAACGTACTGAAATTGTACATGTTTTTTTTAGTGATGAGCAATTTTTGTTGCTTAACTGAAATTGTACATGTTTTTTTTTTTTTTTTTTGCAGTTGTGTTCAGGCAAAGAATTTATTTATATTACCAGATAAACAATAAATCCATTATATTGGACAGGCTTTATCTAGAGTGAGTTCATTTTCTAGGGAAAATGACGTAATGTACGTAGTGTACGGTACCATTAAATTATGATATGTGCATATTAAATGAGATTGCATGCCCCCAGATGAGCCAAAACAAAATAGAAAGTTCAGAAAAATGTACTCAGATATTAAGAAAAGTAAAAAGATTTTTAAAAAAATCATGAAAATAGGCATGCTGTTAGATTTCAGTGACGGGCCCTGAAAGAAAATTTTAGCTAGGGGCTTATCGTTGCAACAACTAAAGTCTGCCTTCTCGAGCCCTTCCTTAAGGGATGTCAAGCAGTTCTCCTTCGGGAAAAATTCATATGAAATGGTGGCTGCTTGTACATTTTAGGTGCACATTAAAAAACAAGTCTCTACATATTTTTTTCACAAAATTTCAGACTAAAGAAGCTAGAAGCTACATATTCTTTCTGAAAAAAAAATCTACAAATAAAATGAAGGTTTCTGGTGCATTTTCTCGTACACAATTTAAACTTGTTTCTACAATTCGTTATTCTCAAAATGTATCTACACACGGTAGATTTAACGACAGCTTTTTTTCAACCCACTGGAACGGCCTTTAATTAAAGAACGTTTCTATTGGAAACTCTGAGGCGAAAACAAATTTAACCATCAAACATAAAGTCCAACTTTATAATAATTATTATATTTGTTCTCGACGTGTTAGAATGGAAATAGATATTAATTCTTCGTGCATTATTGTATAATTATAAATAATGCACGTTTTTCGTTCAAATGCTTCGTAATTAATCACTCAGGCCTATATATATAGGCCTTCGTGATTATATTACAACGCATTTGAACTCAATCCGTGCATTATTCTACAACAATGCACTCAGAATTGATATATATTTCCTAAGTTATACGTTTCTATATTTCCCTGAAAATTCCAGACACGCAACGATGTTAAATACTTACCTCTTTACGAAACTTTCACTTTGTACGTATGCGAATGATGTTGCATGTTATATGAACTTTTTCAAGTCAGAAGAAGTTGCAATTCCCTTAAATAGTGGAAAATAAAATGTTATATTTGCAAAAGTGGAAGAAGTTAACTTTATGTTAACTGAATACTAGAGAAACACTGAATGATTATGAAATAATTTTACAGAATGAAGAGATCTGTAAATGGTCCCTGCTATAAAACGGGAAACGCCCTGTATATATTCTATCAGTTAGACGAACCGGTAGTTAGACGAAACCACTCCCACCCTATTCTATCACATTATGCCGGCCAATTGCCTCAAGGCATGATTTTATGACAAAATCTAAAAGGCCATGGCATTTTGGGGAACATTCAGTCCCTTACCCCAACCGACCCCCATGATACGTGCTTGCAGATTATTTATCTATCGTCCAAAATATCAAATTGTTGTCCCTAAAGTACCAAAAAGTGAAAATTGAAATTATAAAAAAAAATGAGCGAGAAATAGAAAGAGGAAATGACCAATTTATGGGATAATCTTTGGTATATACAGACAAGGCAATAAAATTACCGACAATACGTACATGTACTGGCTTCTTCCATCACACATTGCACGGAAAATGCGCGCACACCATGTTAATTATGAACAAAAAAGGGCGTGGCAAAAATGACAGAAGAAATAAATGTATTGCATACAAATATACTATGTTTTGAGGCGAATCTATATAGGACGTTTAGGCTCCTAACCAAATAGGCAAAGTAGTATTCAACATCATTTACGATTACGGTTCAAAGTGTTGTTAAATGGGTACAGGATTCTAGCAATTTGCTATCGTTAAAATGTTATATATTTGTAGGTCACTAAAATTAATTATATAATTCTTAAAGGCGTACTATAGGTATTAAAAGTAAGATTATTTGTGGTATTTGATTTGCTTTCCGCGAAAAAGATAAGTTCGCGAAATAACTTGACGGTGTTGACGTAGAATATTCTTTCAAAATGTCAAAATATTAAAAAAAGATGAAACTCGAAAATGGTTCAACTACAGAATTGATATTGAATTCGAATGAGCTCCAAAATGAAGTTACTGATTTGGATGAAGGTTACTTTTATTTAAAATTATTCATATTCTTTGAATTTCGTATTTACGTTCTGAAGACTGTCGTCTCTTCATATTTTTTACAATTTCGTCATCATCAGATCAATCATGCCTTTCATAAACATGATCATTGATGGTCATGACTGATTATTCATATGCCAAGATATTGAACTGTTCACTAATAAGGAAAGGATGTAAAAGCGCCAGAAAGTACAATTTGCAAAGCCGTCCCGTTGAATGCCTGCCCCCCACCCCCCTCACCCCAATTCAGGCCACATTTATTATAGATGATTTACGGGCATAGATCTGTGTAAGATTGTCGACCCTGTCCGAATCTATGGTCCGCCATGTCGAAATATATGGTCCGCCTTGTCAAAATATATGGTCCGCCTTGTCTGACAGAATGCCCTGTCCATAATTCATGTAAGGGGCAAGGCACTTTGATGATTTTCAGTAAAATATATCTGGCCATAGTCACTGATTGGCTTTATAACTGGACCCTTATGCAATGTAAGGTGATATACATACATGACACTAAACAAATAGACACTTTTAATTGATCAGATACATGTAGAGGTACAATTGAGTCAAGTGTAAAGTTTTCTTAATTAGCATTTATTGACATAGTTGGCGTGTTAAAGATATTGTTAGTGATGCTGGCCACTAACACCTTCAGTGAAAGGCCATTCTAGGTGCTCAGAAGAATACAGACCTACCTTCAATCGGCAGTGTCTCAAGTACACTTGAACAATGTAATCATTGAATAGTGTTACACAGAATAAGGCAGTTTAACTCAACTTGCGTGTTGCAGTTATGGCCGATAGGGAGTTCATTACTTCCAGAAAACAACAGCAATGTGTTTTTAAACATTAACCTAAAACGAGACTCTATGCTGTTTAAGATAAATTATTGTGAACAAAATACAAGTACATTGTAATTGCTAAACAAAAGTGGCTATCATTGTGAATGTCTGGTAATGTACTATTTGATATCATGTGAACGACCATTGATTTCCTTTAACCATTGCATGTGTGAATACAGTCTACATACTACTGTTTATTTTTCATTTGTCAAATATTTATCATTCATATTTTATGTACATCAGTTACTGTCTCTCCGTTATGCGATCTGTAATCAAACTTCCACCCTTTAGCTTATTAACATATGCCATAATAACATTGCAGACTCTAAACTGTGCCAATAACACCGGAAAACACTTTCTTGGAGCATCATAGAAAAAAATTGGGGGGGGGGGGGGGGGCAGGATTCTGGAACAAAAATTAATTGGCTACACAAATAAAAAAATTGTGACAACAACCTTGAATGTGATGAAATTTAGTTTAAATCGCATATATTTTAGAGACATAAATTGTCAACAAAAAGCATATAATTAAGTTGAAATTCAATGTTGTTGTTTTTTTTTCTTAAATTCATAATATACTCATGTCCCTTAGTACCATTAATGCCATTATTTGTGAATAAAGTCCTTTTAGTGAATATATATATATATATCCTTGACTCATAATAAACATCATTTAATTAATGTCTAATATTGAAATGCCTGTGTTTCTTGTGTTTTTTTTTAAGTCATTCTCATTTTGTCAATAACTGCAATTTGACAGTTGTGAATTTTAATGCAACAATTGGGGGGAAAAAACAACCAAAACTTTATGACTCTTTGAATAGGTCCTTTTTTCTGCCCAAAAACAGTATGAAAAAAGAAAACACTGGATTTGTTATATATATTTATGTACGTTTACCTGTTTACAGAAGAAAAGTATGGAGAGAAGATACACCAGATAAAGGAACTTCTTGCCGGGGATAATGTTGATATAAAAAAGTTACAAGAGTTTGCTATCAGTCCTGGAGGATTTGTCACCAATGAAATTCGGCAAGAGGCGTGGCCAAAACTTGTGGGTATTGATGTGGACAACATTCCGCCTAAACCAGGTAATTGTTATTTTGAATGAGATGAATGTGTTTTTTTCACATGACAGCAGAGGCCTTATAATATAATATTTATCTAAGTGATGGTATGCTAACTGGTTGGTTCCAGGGACAGATTTGAAAGTGTATAAGCTTAAAGCTTCCTACACAATCAAACTAAAATAAATTCTATATAAATTCAAAAAAAATGAATTAAAAAAATTAAAAATGAATAATGGTTCTATATGACCTTGTATATATATTTTAGATGAGGAAACCCTGCATGGTCACAGGGACTATAACCAAGTTGTGTTGGATGTTAACAGGTCCTTGAAGAGATTTCCCCCAGGTAAACGCAATAAAATGTATTACCTTGAATGTCTTTACTTCTTCTCTTCTATTGTTTTGACCATAGTTGAACATGTAGTTGTGTAAATGATTTGTTTACTTACATTAATGAAAATTTAGTGAAGGTGAAAAAGCTGCTCAAAACTTTATTTTTCATTTTCCTGAAATGGTTTTTGCTTGATACAAGACAGTCATTATTTTAATTTGGTTAACATGATGCATGCATTGTACAGTGTATATGAATTATGTTTTTAGCTCACCTGAGCTTGCTCAGGGTGAGCTTTTAGGATCGGTGAATGTCCGTCGTACGTCCACAATTGCTTGTGAACACTCTAGCGGTCGCATTTTTGCCTCAATCATCATCAAACTTGGTCAGGATGCTTATCTAGTTGCAAGCTCGGATGAGTTCGAGCATGGCTCATCTCGGATGAAAAACTAGGTCACAAGAGCTAAAAATAGAAAAACCTTGTTAACACTCTAGAGGTCACATTTTTGACCCAATCATCATCAAACTTGGTCAGGATGTTTGTCTAGGTGATAGCTCGGATGAGTTCGAACATGGGTCATCTCGGATGAAAAAGTAGGTCACAGGAGCTATAAAAGAAAAACCTTGTGAACACTCTAGTGGTCACATTTTTGAACCAATCATCATCAAACTTGTTCAGAATGCTTGTCTAGTTGATAGCTAGGATGAGTTCGAACATGGGTCATCTCTGATGGAAAACTAGGTCACAGGAGCTAAAAATAGAAAAACCTTGTGAACACTCTAGTGGTCACATTTTTGACCCAATCATCATCAAACTTTGTCAGGATGCTTGTTTAGATAATAGCTCGAATGAGTTCGAATATGATTCGAATATGGGTCATCTCGGATGAAAAACTAGGTCACCAGAGCTATAAATAGAAAAACATTGTTAACACTCTAGCGGTCACATTTTTGCATCAATCATCATCAAACTTGGTCAGGATGCTTATCTAGTTGATAGCTTGAATGAGTTCGAACATGGGTCATCTCGGATGAAAAAGTAGGTCACCGGAGCTAAAAATAGAAAAACCTTGTTAACACTCTAGCGGTCACATTTTTGCATCAATCATCATCAAACTTGGTCAAGATGCTTGTCTAGGTGGTAGCTCGGATGAGTTCCAACATGGGTCATCTCGGATGAAAAAGTAGGTCACCGGAGCTAAAAATAGAAAAACCTTGTTAACACTCTAGCGGTCACGTTTTTGCATCAGTCATCATCAAACTTGGCCAAGATGTTTGTCTAGGTGATAGCTCGGATGAGTTTGAACATTGGTCATCTCGGATGAAAAAGTAGGTCATTGGAGCTAAAAATAGAAAAACCTTGTTAACACTCTAGCGGTCACATTTTTGCATCAATCATCATCAAACTTGATCAAGATGCTTGTCTAGGTGATAGCTCTGATGAGTTTGAACATGGGTCATCTCGGATGAAAAACTAGGTCACAGGAGCTAAAAATAGAAAAACCTTTTTAACACTCTAGTGGTCACAATTTTGACTCAATTGTCATCAAACTTGGTCAGGAAACTTGTCTAGGTCATTGCTGGGAAAAAATTGAACATGGAACATCTCGGATGAAAAACTAGGTCACAGGAGCTAAAAATAGAAAAATCTTGTTAACACTCTAGTGGCTACTGTTGTGATCCAATTATTCTGTTAATTGGTCTGAAAGTTTGTTTTGATGATTTCAAAGTCAAGATCGAACATGGGTCATCTTGGATGAAAAACTAGGTCAAACCGCCCAAATATGGAAAAACCTTGTCAACATTCTAGTGGTCACATTTTCGACTCAATTATCATCAAACTTGGTCAGGATGCTTGTCTAGGTAATTGCTTCAATGAGTTCGAAATCGCATGTGAAACTAGGTCACCGGAGCTAAAAAATAGAAAAATCTTGTTAACACTCTAGGTGCTACTGTTTTAATCCAAGTATCCTGGAAATTGGTCTGAAAGTTTGTTTTGATGATTTCTAGGTCAAGTTTGAATATGTGTCACCTGGGTAAAAAACTAGGTCGCACTGCTCAAATATGGATAATCCTTGTTAACACTGTAGTTGTCACATTTTTGACTCACCTGTCATGAGACTTGGTCAGAATGCTTGTCCAGGTAATTGTTTGGATGAGTTAGATAAGTCAGGTGAGCGATCTAGGGCCATCATGGCCCTCTTGTGTAAAGTTTAATGCTGAAATGTTTTATGTTTTAGATATGGATGACAATATACGACTTGGGTTACAGGATCAACTGGTGGATCTTATCATGCGGGTCTTAGTTCGACATGATGAGCTCCACTATTACCAGGTATGTACATTGTACTGTTTTATAATTCCTTAACTTGCTGTAACAAAAAATGATTAGCCTTTGCCACAAGTATAGAGCCTGGTCAACCTACACATCCGTGAAATCTGACCTGACTCACACTGTTGGCCGACTTGCTTTAAATTTTATCTTGATTTCCCCAAAGTTCTTAAAGTTCATTAAAGAAATTCAGCAGGGTGTGCTTAACTTTCAGTGATAATGTCAGACTTATGGCATATAGCCAGGTCAGTAAATACATACATTTGTCTGCTGATGAATTTAAGAAGATTGTTTGAAAAAAAAAATCATCTGTGTTAGTTAAAGGGAATAACAAATCACCACCTATTGTTTATCATGTATAGAACATATTATAGAAGTAACTAAGCACATTGGTGGTTTTTGCCAGGTGCCTGTTCATGCCTGAAATATGCCATGGAGGGTCACCTGAGGTTTTCCTCCACCAGTATAGCTGGGAAGTTGCCATATAACCTGTTTTGGTGTTATTTAAAACCAACAAAAAGAAAAACAGCTAAAAAATAAAAATAAACCATATAAACAATGATTCTTACCAGATCTAGTCAGTTGACTTAGCAGGTAAAGTGCACCACATGTTGGTCAGAAGTGTCATAGAAAGGAATGAAGTAATCAACAGCTCAAAATCAAATCAGACTATTTTTTGTAGTGCCTTGATTTATGTGTACAATTTTTCTCATCAAACCCTTAAACAATTGAATATTTATGCCAGTGTTTGATTAAATGTTTGTTATTTTCCAGGGTTACCATGATATTTGCGTTACATTCCTGCTTGTGGGTGGGGAGGATGTTGCATTTGCTCTTGTAGACAAACTTTCACTAAATCATCTCAGGTAAGTATGTTTAATGTTTTGTGTCATTTATTGTGTCGCCTTGAAAAGGTGACATATAGGGGTTACTTTTGTCGGCGGTGTCGGCGGCGGCGTCTGTGTCGTTGTCGGCGTCGTTGTCGGCGTCGTCGTCGGCGTCCCCTAAAGCTTGTCCGGAGCATAACTCAGTCACTATAAGTCTGATTGACTTCAGACTTGGTATGCATGCTTCTTTCAATAACCCGAAGTGCAGTGCACAAGGACCGGTACTCTGCAGTTCTTATTTTTTGAGTTATTGCCCTTTGTTAATTTTCATACTTTAATTTTGTCCGGGCCATTTCTCTTCAACTAAAAAAGCTATGGACTTGAAACTTCATAGGATGATAGATCTCATTATTAAGAAGTGCAGTGCACAAGAACCAGTACTCTGCACTTCCTAATTTTTGAGTTATTGCCCTTTGTAAATTTTTATACTTTATTTTTGTCCGGGCCATTTCTCCTAATGTATAAAAGCCATGGACTTGAAACTTCATAGGATGATAGGTCTCATTAAGAAGAAGTGCAGTGCACAAGAACTGGTACTCTGCATTTTTTATTTTTTGAGTTATGGCCCTTTGTTAATTTTCATACTTGATTTTTGTCCAGGCCATTTCTCTGAAAGTATAAAAGTTATGGACTTGAAACTTCATAGGATGATAGATCTCATTAAAAAGAAGTGCAGTGCATAAGAACTGATACCCTGCATTTCTTATTTTTGAGTTAATGCCCTTTGTTGATTTTCTTACTTTATTTTTGTCCTGGTCATTTCTCCTCAAGTATGAAAGCTATGGACTTGAAACATCATAGAATGATAGATCTTATTGATAATAAGTGCAGTGTACAGAAACTGCTGCTCTGCACTTATTATTTTTTTAGTTATTGCCCTTTGTTATTTTTCATATTTCATTTTTGTCCTGGCCATTTCCCCAAAACTACATTGTTCACAAGGCGACACATCCGACTCGCGGAGTTCTAGTTTGTATATAGTTTGATGAACTATTTTCATAAATCAATTGTCAATGACAAAATTTTAATTAAGATCAACCACCTATCATTTTTGTGTCGCCTCTACGGAGTAGTGGCGACATATAAAGAACACTTCTCCATCGTCTGTATGTCCGTCTGTTCGTCCATCTGTCCGTCTGTCACAAAACTTGTCCGGGCTACTCCTCATAAACTACTGGCGCAATTTCATCCAAACTTTACAGGAATGATCAGTACCAAGTCTAGTTGTGCGTATTGTCAGCATTTTCCGGTTCAATGATTTTTGTAAGAGTTATGGCCCTTTAATAATTTTTATTTTTAAAGTTTGTCCGGACTACTTCTCTTATACCACTAATGCAATTTCAATGAAACTTTACAGGATTGATCTGTAGCTCAAGTCCCTGCGCATATTGCACGAGTTTCTCGGTTGAATGATTTTTGGCCGAGTAATGGCCCTTTGATAAAAAGGTGTTTTTTTTCTGTGTGTTGCCAGATACACAAAAGCTTGTCCGGACTACTCCTCATAAACTACTGGTGCAATTTTATCCAAACTTTACAGGAATGATCAGTACCAAGTCTAGTTGTGCACTGTTTGTCTGTCTGTCTGTCCGTCTGTCACAAAACTTGTCCCCACTACTCCTCATAAACTACTGAGGCAATTTCATTTTTCAACTTTACAGGAATTTATGTCGCCACTACTCCGATCACTTCTCCGTCTGTCACAAAACTTGTCCCAACCTGAAATTGGCCATCATGAGGCGACACTTGTGATCACTGATCGCTCTTGTCATAATTAAGTATTTATTCTGTCTTATAAAAGAGTTATATATACTATATTAACTAATATAAGAGGAACTGTCAACATGTTCGTCACCTTAGTGCAGTAACAAGTTACGTCCTTTTAAATTTAATAGGAGTTAACAAGTTACTGCACTATGGTGACTAGTTATGACAAATATACAGCATTAACAAATTATAAAAATAGTTGTAAATATGTTGGATGTTTTTTTTTTACTGTATACAGAGACTTTATGGATGCCAATATGGACAGGACCAAACATATACTCAACTATATGTATCCTTTAATTGGTAGAGTAAACCCAAAACTTAGAGACTTCTTAGAGAGGTAAATCTCAGTTATTCTACAGTTTGATTTTGATTACATTGCCAGCTATTTTTGTGTAGAAATAAATAGAAAATATTGTTGTTCTGAACATTTTGAAACTTAGTATTAATTTTATAACTTACAGCGTTATTTGTCATTGCTTTTTAGCTCACCTGAGCATAGGCTCAGGGTGAGCTATTAGGATCACTCTTCGTCCGTCGTCTGTCGTACGTCGTCCGTTGTCCGTTCACACTTTTAAAACGACATCTCCTCTGAAACCATATAGCAGATCATATTAATGAAACTTCACAGGGATGTTCCTTGTGTGAAGCCTTAACAAAGTTGTTCAAAGAATTCCATTCCATGCAGAACTCTGGTTGCCATGGCAACAAAAAGAAAAAACTTTAAATATCTTCTTCTAAAAAACCCAAAGAGCTAGAGCTTAGATATTTGGCATGAAACATCTTCTAGTGAGTTTCTACCAAGATTGTTCAAATAAAAGCCCTGGGGTCAAAATTGGCCACGCTCCAGGGGGGTCATTGATTTTCCCTATATGCATAAAGTAAAAACTTAAAAAATCTTCTTTTAAAGAACCCAAAGAGCTAGAGCTAAGATATTTAGCATGAAACATCTTCTAGTGAGTGTCTACCAAGATTGTTCAAATAAAAGCCCTGGGGTCAAAATTGGCCCCGCCCCAGGGGGTCATTGATTTTCCATATATGCATATAGTAAAAACTTGAAAAATCTTCTTTTAAAGAGCCGAAACATTTTCTAGTAAGTGTCTACAAAGATTGTTCAAATAAAAGTCCTTGGGTCAAAATTGGCCCTGCCCCAGGTGTGTCATTGTTTTTAACTATATGTGTAAAGAAAAAACTTGACCAGCTAGACCTTAGATGTTTAGCATGAAACATCTTCTAATGGGTGTCTACCAAGTTTGTTCAAATAAAAGCCCTTGGGTTTAAACTGGCCCCGCTCCGGGGGCCTATATACAGGTGAGCGACTTCAGGGCCATCATGACCCTCTTGTTTTCACAAATTTTGAAGAAACTAGAAATATGCCCTCACATTCCACTGTTCATGGACAGACATCAGAACTATGGGATGGATGGGATCATTCTATATGCTGCCCACCATTCCATGTAGTGGGGGCATAAAGTTGATTTGAATTTAATTCTGTTTTATTGTATACATGTTAACCTGCATTAAATGTACATATATGTATACATTTCTTTTCAATATTCAAAAAGACTTGCGCCAAAAGTTATTTTAACATCATCGTGGGTCAATATTCTTTATACTCTGAAAAGATAAACCTTATTATGTAATGGCAAAAAACTTAGATTTAGTTTTACTCTCATCACATTAAGGCAAACTGAAGTAGATCTTATAGAATATTTTGTTTGTACATTTTCAGGTCAGAAGTAGGTACTATATTTAGTCTAAGTTGGCTAATAACATGGTACGGACATGTTCTACCACATTTACGAGATATTGTACGGTGTTACGATTTCTTCATAGCTTGTCATCCTCTAATGCCTATATATTTAGCAGCTGCGGTATGTGTTACATTTATTTAATAATGTTTGAACTGCATAAATGATAAATCATAGAAAATATAATGTTACGGAAATATATAAATTCACCGATTAGACAATGAATTATCTTATGATAGTATAGAAGATTTGATTGATTTAAACCAAATTGTAAAATCAATTATTTCCAATCAATTTTGACGGGGTGATTTTAATTAAAAATAGATTTAATTAGTGTAATTTTGTGTTTCAAATTTGATAAGAATATGTGTAACATGCAGCAACATTTTATCTGTATTTGAAAGTAAAGGTCTTACTGAGTTCTTAGATAAAAATGGTTATTTGATGTTTTACTTGGCATCAGCAGCCAACTTGTAAAGGTTGTTGACTTACAACCACTTGTTCCTTTGAATCCCACAACAGACTTTGAATTCTTTTAAGTGAAGAGTCTACCCAGCTAGCTTACAGAGCATCAGTGGTTATTCTCAAGTGCATAGTCTTGTCTGAATTATTGCACAGAGGGGTACCTTAGGTCTTCATTCACTATTAAAACTGGAAAGTCACCATATGAACAGTACAGTGGTGGTTTGACCATTCACAAAAAAATCTGAGGTCTTTCCGTCAATAATTTCCGTAATTCTTGAAAGTCACGTACAACCCTCCCAATGTTGGTTTTACGTAATATTATTGATATAAGTTAAAATATATTTCTGTATATTGATGGTGTATAGATTGTACTGTACAGAGAGAAGGAGATATTGGAAGCAGAGTGTGATATGTGTGTATTACATGGACTATTATCTAAGATACCTGATGATATACCATATGAACAGTTGATAGTTCGTGCTGTCCAACTGTATGAGAAATATTCACCAGATGATCTAGCCCACGAAGCTATACTTAACTTTAAAAGATCACAAGAGTATGTATTTCAATATATGAGCCGCGTCACGACAAAACCAACATAGTGCATTTGCGACCAGCATGGTTCCAGACCAGTCTGCGCATCCGCGCAGTCTGATCAGGATCCATGCTGTTCGCTATCAGTTTCTCTACTTGTAATAGGGTTGGTAAACGAACAGCATGGATCCTGATCAGACTGCGCGGAGGCTGAGGCTGGTCTGGATCCATGCTGGTTGCAAACGCACTATGTTGGTTTTGTCGTGACACGGCTCATATTTATAATGAATTAAAGGTCTTTTGCGGTTGTCATTGGGAGACAGCCTTAGGCCAAAATGCATTTTTTGCCGCCTCAAAAATACATAAAAAAATAGCAAGCTCAAGTTCAAAATGGACAGTCTCAGAAAATTTTAATGAGAACTCTGTCCTTTTAGAGCATGTGTTTTGAATTACGAAGATATTGTAGGTATACTCATTCTAGGCATACTTGCTGAAAAGAACAATTGTCATAACTCTAAATAATGCCCCTTTATCAAATGGAGAAAAAATGAACTACTACATAGATAACAATATTTATCTTGAACATTTTTATACATGTAGTTATTCTTGAACTTTCATAAAGTAGGGGAGATTCATGATCATCTGTTTTGAGCAATTGTGATCATTGGATCGTCTACTTTGTTTGTAAAATGTAGCATTTTAAAGCATTTCAAGATGTAAGAAGACTAGTACAAAAGATTCATTACTAATGACTTCTTTGGAGTTATTCCCCTTCGAGTCACAAACTATCTTAATGTGACTGATTCCTGAACAGTTCATAGGAGAAGTGCATAGCTAGAGAACCATTCTACAATAGATCGCAATATATGGCTCCTATGGTTGTTTGTAAAACAGACATATGGCACTGTCATTCTTCAGATCTCTAGTTGTTTTTTTTATGCAATTTACTCATTAGAACCAAAAGTTGAAACCACTCAATAAACTACATGTCAGTATGTGATAGAAATATTGTTTTAGAACAGAACAGATTTTATTATACAGTATGACCTAAACATGACAGTCCCTCGTCATTACACATATTGACGTATATGTCAATATATACATATATACAAAGCATACATAAAATAATTTAGAGAAGCAGCCAGTTTAAAGAAAAAATCAAGAAGTATTCATAAAGTGAAATTGTATAAATTAAAGTACATAATTATGTTAACTGCATTCATTGTTAATGACACATACATCCAATTTTAAGTCATCATAAATTGAATGTAATTTATTTCAGATTGGCCAAAGCTAGAATACAGAATCGACAGAGACCGCCACCTAGACCAGCGGTGAAACGTAAACGTTGGTTGTCGTTATTTTATCAAGATGGTTCCAGTATTTATTTTAAGTTAACTTTCTGGACATTGACAGCAGTGTTTAGTGCAGCTTTGATAGCTTATTTTAAATCTTCAGAATGGGATAAAGGATGGTGGTCTTAGTAATATTGTGGGGTTAGGATACAGGGTTTTGGGGTAAAACTATTTGCCATATACTGCCAGTATATATCTGGAACATTATACAAAATTTACTCTGATTTTAGTGATTTTTATCTGGTCAAATCTGGAATAAGTTTGAGAGAGTTGGTTGGTAATTTAAATACGTGATAAAATGTTGGTGAAGGAAAGTTGTATAGTTTATTTTAAGACTGGTAAATGTTTGTTTAGTGCCGTGGCATTATTAAAATAGAGACTGAACTTTGATAATGCATAATTATAGTCATGTTCGAAGGGTATGTACCAAAATTGTTGAATTTGATATTATTTGAAACAGATATCTTTGCATACAAGTACATGTATGTAATTTGTTGTTGGTTTTTTGTTATATTATTAATATTTACATGAAATATCATTTGAAGCTCTTAATCCTGTGTTCTGTCTGGACTTTCGGTGTGCAGATTTTAAAGAAACATGAGGCTTGCGGATAATTGTTAAGGCAGTTACAAGGCTCTGCATAGTCACTTTATAATACTGTATGTTTGTAATGTCGCTTTTTTATTGGATAATCATAATGTTTATATAGTTTAATATACACAGCTGCTGTCAATTTTTGAAGAAATCTTACTTTTTTGTGTCGCCTTGAAAAGGTGACATATAGGGGTTACTTTCGTCGGCGGCGTCTGTGTCGGCGTCGTCGTCGGCGTCCCTTAAAGCTTGTCCGGAGCATAACTCAGTCACTATAAGTCTGATTGACTTCAAACTTGGTATGCATGCTTCTTTCAATAACTCGAAGTGCAGTGCACAAGGACAGGTACTCTGCAGTTCTTATTTTTTGAGTTATTGCCCTTTGTTAATTTTCATACTTTAATTTTGTCCGGGCCATATCTCTTCAACTATAAAAGCTATTGACATGAAACTTCATAGGATGATAGATCTCATTAAGAAGAAGTGCAGTGCATAATAACCGGTACTCTGCACTTCCTAATTTTTGAGTTATTGCCCTTTGTTAATTTTCATATTTTATTTTTGTCCGGGCCATTTCTCCTAATGTATAAAAGCCATGGACTTGAAACTTCATAGGATGATAGGTCTCATTAAGAAGAAGTGCAGTGCACAAGAACAGGTACTCTGCATTTCTTGTTTTTTTGAGTTATTGCCCTTTGTTTATTTTCATACTTTAATTTTGTCCGGGCCATTTCTCCTTAAGTATAAAAGCTATGGACTTGAAACTTCATAGGATGATAGATCTCATTAAGAAGAAGTGCAGTGCACAAGAATCGGTACTCTGCATTTCTTAATTTTTGAGTTATGGCATTTTGTTGATTTTCATACTTAATTTTTGTCCAGGCCATTTCTCCTAAAGTATAAAAGTTATGGACTTGAAACTTCATAGGATGATAGATCTCATTAAGAAGAAGTGCAGTGCACAAGAATCGGTACTCTGCATTTCTTAATTTTTGAGTTATTGCCCTTTGTTGATTTTCTTACTTTATTTTTGTCCTGGTCATTTCTCCTCAAGTATGAAAGCTATGGACTTGAAACATCATAGAATGATAGATCTTATTGATAAGAAATTCAGTGCTCAGATATGCTGTTCTGCACTTATTATTTTTTTAGTTATTGCCCTTTGTTGTTTTTCATATTTCATTTTTGTACTGGCCATTTCTCCTAAACTACATTGTTCACAAGGCGACACATCCGACTCGCGGAGTTCTAGTTCTCTCAAAAAGGAGTTATTATCATTTTTTTATAAAAATTTTTGACAAGTTATATGGCCATATATAAACAGTTGTTTGCAATATTAACAACCGTTTATACAGGGCCATATAACAGGTCAAAAACCTTTATAACTAATACTATAACAGTAACCTGGGGGGGGGGGGCGGCTTTATATTTTCTGTACAGGCAGTCAGTGTTTTATTCTTTACCTTTGCATATTACATGTTAGATCTACATTGTTTTTGTATGTCTAGATTTTTCATACTTGAATAACTCAAAACATCTTGCAGATAACTTATGTTGACATATTTAAATATGACTTTGATATGATCAAGGTCAGAATTAAAAAAAAAACAGGAAAAATTTACCATTGTTATTACAGTAATTATAAGATCAGGAGGCAGGGGTGTTTGAGGTTTACCATCACATCTTGTTTCTATCTATATATTTGAGAAATGTACCATCCATTTTATATAGTAACAGAGGCCATTCTACTATTTGAGACATTTGCAGCAATGTCTGGAAGTTTTACAGCTTTCAATGGCTCCTGAACCTTAATTGCATGGCAATTTTTTATGTTCAAAATTTTGCTTATCTAGATATTGCGCTTAAGTTGCTCAGGTAATTTTTCGACCCAAATAGTTTTTCGATTTAGTGTGACCCCTTTATGTTACTATTATAAAATCCAAACTAGTTATACTTGCAATAGTAACTTTTTATCCACTTCTGTTAAAATCAGAAGGGGATAATGAAATGAGCCGTGTCACGACAAAACCAACATAATGGGTTTGCGACCAGCATGGATCCAGACCAGCCTGCGCATCCGCACAGTCTGATCAGGATCCATGCTGTTCGCTTACAGATCCTATTACAAGTAAAGAAACTGATAGCGAACAGCATGGATCCTGATCAGACTGCGCGGATGCGCAGGCTGGTCTGGATCCATGCTGGTCGCAAACACACTATGTTGGTTTTGTCGTGACACGGCTCAAATGGTGTTGTTAGTCTGTTTGTTCAGATCCATATCTTAGATTTGGTTCAACAATTTTTTTTCAATATTGGCAAGAATGTTTGTATGAATAGGGTGACGAAGATTACCAAGTATATTTCATTCAATTGTGGATATGTATAATTTCAACAAATTTGCTTGTTGTTTTTGTAGTATGTATATAGAATTTAACCCATTACTTCACGAGCAATTTGTGAAAAATGGCTGTTTTCATTATAAAGTCTCCCGTTACAAGTTCAAATTGCTATAAAACTATAAAAACTGCTTCAAAACTAATCAAACTTGGCACAAATGTTGACTGGAGCATTGCCTTTGTAACAACATGCCCAGGCTTAAATTTCCTCTAACCATGGCAACGAGGGGAGATCTCAAAAATCACTATTTTGCGTTGATTTTTTTCCATCAAAATTGATTTCAAAGTGCTTCAACTTCTCAATGGATTGAGATAGAGTCAAATGCTTTTCAGTGTTGGTTACTTGTTACCTTATGATTGATCTGGGTTCATTTTTAGCCTCTAACACGTCCAAAATTTTCTTGGTGATGAGGGGGACTGCTGCCCCCTTCAAACCCCCCAAACAGAAGGGAGCACATCCCCCTTCTGGCAACCCCCTGATGTATCTTTCGGTTGGGGGGCTGTGCCGAAAAAGTGGTCACTTTTTTAAACAACATTTCTCAAACAAATGTGTTGGGGGCATAAATAAGGGGGGGGGGGGTGAAAAGGGCCTTAAAAGATGTGTATATAAGGTAATGGGTTAATAGGAAAGGTTCTTTATTAGAATATCATGTAAGAATTGATAGACAAAATAATGTGAATAAGATATTTATACATCAACATTTCAGTTATTGTGGGAACTGTGCAATTCTGTTTATTTTCTCATTTGATTTTATGGAATAACGTTTAACTATGTAATACTTTAATGGATTTTTTTCCATTTTTGGAATTGTCCATTCTCAGTTTAGAAAATAAATTAAAGTAAATCAGACAACAGTATAGAGCCTTGTCAGTCTGCATGGATTTATAAGTTAGTTTGGATTTATACTGGAGGAAATGGCAAATCACTTTTAATGCCAGCACCATAAAGTGAGTACGGCAATAAAATCGCGACAATATTATACAAGGCAGTTGTAAGCAAGTGTGAGATACATGATGGGATATTTCATATATTTATGTAGTAGATAATAAAATGTACTAGAATGAAATATTATTTATCATATAAATGTTCATTCTAAATCAGAACTTTATTAACATTTTTCTTTCACGCATATTTCATAAGAGTATTCAAATGATACATTTCTATTGTTTTTTATTAATATTTGACATGATTATAGAAAATGTGCCCATTGTAGACCTATCTACTTATTATAGGTTAATGATTTGATCATATTCTAGTCTGTGTGTGTTTGTTGTTACATAGGTGTTGCTCCAAGTCTTTGACTTTGGTAAATCATCCATATATTCATTATCTTATAAATTACAAAACTGAAAAACTTTATTATTTGAAAATTTATTATTCATTTTCAAATGTAGCAGTGATTTATTGCTTATAGGTATATTGTGTACAAGATATTACCAGTAAACTTAAATGAAAAGTTACATAAAGCAATGTCTGTGTAATGTTAAAAGAAGCCGACCAAATTATCGTAGCCTAACTGATGTAATGATATTTGATTGACAACTTTTGATGTATAATTACATGAACTTATTTGTTGTTAAGTTTGAGACAATTGTAAAAAAAAAAAAAAAATATTGATGTATTTCTTAAGCGCTATTAGAAGTGAAAGCACATCAGGGTTTTTTATATTCAGAAATTAAAGTGTATAAGCACCAATGGACCAAAGGCATCCTGGTAAATTTAGATTAGAGTATACCAATGCTGGCAACTTTTAATATATTTGATTTTTGTGAATCATATAAGAAAGAAATTCTAAAATCTGTTTAACTTTATGAATGCAAGCAGCAGTATTTGAAGGCCTATGTTACCAGTAAAGCCCTTGGCATTCTAAATTCCCATGCAGTCGAAAAAGATTATTTTATGTTGCTTTCTTTGGCCGTACTGAAAATATTTAAATTTGCTTTTCAATGGGATTTAGACACTCAAAATAAACAAATATCCTCTATATACACTATATGCATGCACCTTAAGTTCCACAATGACTGTACGTTGAGTATTATAATTTATATACATTGTACTTGAAATCATAGATGGACAATTCCAAATTCTTAGCCGTACATGTCCACTTGACTAATTCATTCTAGTTAGTTGTTATACTATGATAATGATATAGAAATAATTATTTATATTTCATGTCATCATGATTCAATTGAACATGCATAATATTTATGTTATCTCCCATCAATCATAGTTATGTTAAAATACAAGATAATATCTGTTGTAATATGTTACACAACAAAAATTGTTATGTGTTATATTAATGAATAAAGAGGAATAGAAAAGGAGAAATAAAGATTTATTATGTTTTTTTGTCAAGGTCTGTGTTCAAGTTGATTTTTTTTTTTTGCTTGATTATTGAAGAATAGGGAGAGTTATTGTACTTCCCCAGGCATTCACGTTAAAATTCTTTCATGACGTTCAGTATATACTCCAATAAATGCACTATTTTTTAGCTCCAATATTCGAAAAATAGGAATAGCTATAGTACTCTCCCAGACATCGCTCGGCATCCCACTTTGGTTAAGTTTTTGCATGCAAGTTGGTATCTACATAACAACTGAAGAGAAGGGCTTGAAACTTTAAAATTAATACTTATTTGAGAGAATAATAGGAGTTCACTTTCCAAGGCCCATAACTCTACCATGGATTTTGTTAGAATAATTGGCCTTTTTGAACTTAAAATTTTTTACATAATCCAGGTTTTTGTTTTACTATAAAATACATGTACTGAGAATAGTCGAGCTTGCTGTCCTACTGATTGCCCTTGTTTCATTATGGGGTTTTCAATTTCTGAAAGACTCTATTGACTTCAATGTAATAGTGTAATAAGAATTCAAAATGTTCATCAGTAAAATCCAGGCCACCAGGTCGTCCTGTGTTTACAAAGGATTAAGAAACCTGATCATGATCCAAATTAATATTTCAAAATTACTCCTCAAGAGAAAGGTAAAACATCAAATGATAACTTTAACAAACTTTAGGTAATATAAGATGATAATGTTTTAGAAAAAGTTTTGTAATTACTTTGCAACATATGAACTTTGAAAAGTTGTTCCAAATATAGATCCTGATGTTAGAATTGATTATTGATCATGTTTAAATGTTTTTTTTATATTGTTATTCTTAAACTTGACGAAAAAGTGTCATTGTAAACCAGCAGATAATAACATTTTAACATGTTCCAAAATGTATTTAATGAGTCTAATATTGTCAATTTAAGTTTCATACACAGCAATGAAATCAAAATCATGATACATGTTATTTGATCCCAATCTTTTCTTTGTGAACGTAGGGCCAGGGTCTTTCCTTTATTATGAAATACCCATTAAACTTAATTCTTTATTGCAACTTTTATGTATATTATCTTGATCTAAGGCCCTCATTTAAAACTTTATTTTTTATTGATCTATGATAAAGTAAAAATGTTACTTTGTAAAGTGCTCATAAGATAATATGACTGTGCTCTCTTGGTGACATTTGTTGACAGGGTTACAAAGGCTATTTTTAAGGAAGTTATTATGAAGATTATGACTTTTAAAAAAAAAGTTCTCTGTTTTCTCCCTGTCATTTTTATCTGTGCTTAGTAATTCTCACTTACCAAGAATGACCTGTTAACCTACATTACCAAGTTGTTTTATTATGACTTGTGTTTATCTTCATTACCTGACTCTGGGATAAACGTATTTGAGATATTTGTGATTTATAAAATTCATAATTAAAATGAATGCATTTAAATTTCGCTTGTTTAGTGTCCCCTCACCACATGAATTAGAATCCTGTCCGAGACTTAGGATTCTTTCATGTGAGGAAGCTATCCAGCTAGCTTAAAATTTTTTCGATGGTTCTACTCAGGTGCCCACTTGTGCTTGAAATAATGCAGAGGGGCACCTGAGGTCTAACTCCACCAGTAAAGCTGGAAAGTCGCCATATGTCCTCTAATGTGTTGGTGTCGTGTAAAACCCACACAAAAATATTCAAGAAAAAAGTCATCACTGTCATTTGTAGTTTTTGGGACATTGTTGTTGCTGTTACTGAAAAATAGGTGTCAAAACCAGCTGACCACTACATGTTACCTATCTGTAGAATACTATTGATAAATGGTGGCTAATTCATGCTTCGCTGTATATGACTGATCGAGACAAAAATGTGAAAAGTCAAAAACAGAAAGGTTATCAAAATTATCAATGTAAATTATTGCAAAATTATGTTTAAATTGATTATTAAATTATTGAACACCTAACAGTCTTCTAAAATTTGGTCAAATTTATTCCTGTGTTATTCACATCATCTGTAGACTGTCTTCAGTGTTGTAAAAGTGTTACAAACACTGGCCTGTAGGAGTCGATGATAAATATAAATGAAGGGATGAACACTTAAATTGTGATGAATGTTTATAACATGTTTACTGTGAATGGTAATATTGATAACACCTAGATTTATGATGGTGTATATTAAAGGTGCGCCTACTTCTACCATTATCTCTGTCACTTAAAAATGCAAAGGTTTTGTACCCTGATATTTTTGTCTGCTTAAGTGCCATATACTCTTTTTAGCTCACCTGAGCTAGCTCAGGGTGACTTTTTAGGATCGTTGAATGTCCATCGTCCGTCAACACTTGTTCATTAACACTCTAGCGGTCAAATATTTGCCTCAATCATCATCAAACTTTGTCAGGATGCTTATCTAGGTAATAGCTTGGATGAGTTTGAACATGGGTCATCTCAGATGAAAAACTAGGTCACAGGAGCTAAAAATATAAAAACTTTGTTTACACTCTAGCAGTCACATTTTTGCCTCGATCATCATCAAACTTTGACAGGATGCTTGTCTAGGTAATTGCTCTGATGAGTTCCAACATGGGTCATCTCGGATGGAAAACTAGGTCACAGGAGCTAAAAATGAAAATATTGTAATTGTTCGGACAAGTTTGATGGGTCAGGTGAGCGATCTAGGGCCATCTTGGCCCTCTTGTTTTGTTTTTTTTCAAGACAGCATTGTGTTTAGACCTTTATAAGAAATGAAGATGACAAATTAAAGATCCTAGTCATCACCAAAGGATTTTAGAGGGTCTTGCAGGAAAGTTGCCATGTATGTCCTGTATATTTGATACCGTATAACCAAATAAAGACATCTGTATTTATGCCATGTTATATTTGATACCATAATCATAACCAAATGAAAAAATTTATAATTATGCCTTGGTGTATTTAATGCCATAAAACCAAATGTCAATACACTTGAAATTATGCCTGGGTATATTTGATACCAGATATCAAATTCAGTACCTTTGTATAATTATTTAGTTTAAATATATTTATTTTCTGAATAACGTGTATAATTATTATACATATCAACAAAAGTGTGGGAAGGGCTATTAATTCTCTAACGTTGTTAAAACTTGTGGCCCGACCCTTTTGCTTTTTATGGATAACTATAACATCCGTGTAATAACTGTAAATTTATTTGTTACTGTTTGTCGTTTATTTGTATGTGACACTGTATCTGTTTTTGCATAAAATAAAAAAGCAATAAAATATGATTAAACCTAATTTAAATGAATAAATGATAAAGTAAAAATGAAATGAAATAAAAAAAACTAAATTAAAATAAAATCAACTAAGTTAGAAAGACAAAACTAATCTTAACTAATGTAAGGAAGTTAAAGTAGAAGGCAAGTAAGTAAACACTGTGTGTGAATATTTAATGTAGTAATAATGTCTGTGTAAAGTACTAATTTAATGATTATAAGTAAATTTTGATCCTAACATAACTTTAAATAATTAATTTATGCATTTTCTTTACAAAAGATAAATTTTGATCCTAACATAACTTAAAATAATTAATTTTAAGCATTTTCTTTACAAAAGATAAAACGGTACAACTGCACCATTTTGGCACAGAGATCTATAATGATTCATAAATGGTAAGCTACCTTTAAAAAGACATTCTGAAATTATTTTGAAAAGATATTCTTTCAAAGGACGCCTTCTGTCAATATTCCGATGACCTTCTGAGTGATAATTATCTTAACCAATACACTATCTGAACAATAGAATAAAAACTGTTTTAACTTCTTATGGGGGTAAAACTGTAAAAAGTTCTCAAATATTTGTTTACAGTGACTATTGAAGATTATGGTATTTATTACTTGTATATGAATATTTGTAAGTTAAAATAATCATAAATAGAGTTGTAATTAGAGACAAAGTGGACTTTTTAGGTAATGTTTGAAAAAGACAAGGAGAAATTTAAGTTTTGCGTAATCTGGTGAATTAAAAAAAAAATAAGAAGGGAAAGGAGAATTACAAAACACACAAGAAATTAAGGAATTTATTGCACAAACCAGAGTGGAATTTGAGTAGCTTTACAATAACAATGGTTGTTGAAAGCATTGAAAGGTAAGAATATTATTTATATTGTAATAATGTTGAAATGGTCTTTTTTTACATATTTATTGTAATAATATTGAAATGTGTTTTTTTTTATTTTTTTAATTTGGCAGGAAAAATTGCATTGTGGACCTCTGCAAAAGTTACAAAATAAATTAAATGTTCCATGTGTCAAAAATAGCCCAATTAACCCTCATAGTTTATATTATTTAAAACTTGCATAGAAAACTAGAAAACTTGTGCTTGTATACTTATATTCTCATTGTCTTAAAAATCTCCAAAACTATAATGTCCAGAGTGTAAATATTTGGCAAACCAATGTAGTCCATGTAAAAAATAAAGTTCTGTGTGTCATAACTGGCTTGGAGCTTATAAATATGTCTTAGAATTAGTTTGTACAGAATTTATTTTACTTTGATTATTTAGGAAGTTATAAGCTTATACATACACATGCTATCAAAACCATTCTTGGAACCAATCAGCATTAAGCAATTAGTGTAAAATTTCTTGCTAGCTTGTCCCTAAGAGTGTTGAACCCATATGGCAAGCAATTCTTACCGGTAGTTGAAATGGCAGACACATAAACTCATCGCACCTGGGGTCAAAAATGGCTCTGCCATGGGGTTTCACTTAGTTTACTGCACTTATCTAGTTAATATGTCTTAACACAGATCTATATAGAAGTACTTTATGGATTGTTCTCTCCCTTTGTAGTTACCATATCCCATGATGTATCAATCGTAACAACTCGGCAATCTCCGTCAAGTTCGGAGATCGCGAATTCTTGAAGTCGCCCGAGGTTTTCCGATTGATGATGTATGTGATTATTGAACATGTTCTGTTCTGTCCTCTGTTATGTATTAGGTTACATATGCTCCCTCTTTCATTGCTGTTCCTTTGTGCATTTTTTTTTATTAAGTGTGTTATGTCTGGACAGAAGATATCTTCTCTCCTAGGTTTTGCTTTGGTTTGTTTTAGACTTAGCTCCCTTTACCTTTTTCTCTATGAGATTACTCCCCTTTTCATCAATGTCAATATCGATGCATGTTTTTCTGTATCCTTTGCCGCTTAAAGTGTTGAAAAGAGGATTAAACAAAGTTTGTTCGTTTCATAACAATTATAGCCCTGAACAACCCCATATCAATATGGTAGTTCAAACTGTAATAAATGAATAAAATTAATGTTCATCGGATATGCAACATCAAAAGGTCATATTTCCCAGGTTTACCCATAGATACTTGGTTTCAGGATGAAACGCTTTTGAGAGTTTTGTTAAACTCAAATTTGATTGAATGTTACGATTTATTTAACATAGATGTCTCTATTCTAAAACCGTCATTTTTCCGAAGTTACTAAAAAAATACAAAAAAAACCCCACTGATTTGACATCGGAAAAACGACGGTTTTAGAATCGAGACAGATCTACGTTAAAAATCGTTACATTCAATTCAATTCGAGTTCTTCAAACTTCTCAAAAGGGTTTTCATGCAATGGGTTTACCAAGTACAGAAAAAAAATATTCTAGCATAAATATCTATATAATATCTATAAGTACTCTGACATGCAAATACCGCGTATTGTTTTATATGACACGCATTTTAGATACTTCTCTTGTAGACAATACTTAATAAATTAGAACGTTACGTTAAAATAGTATACTATATTTGAGAAATAGAGAATAACATCGATCACTTTCGTTTTAAGTATGCTGCATCACCCTCGTTCATGTTTTCTGTACGAGTTTTCTCCCTTACACTAAAGTTGTCAATAACAAAAGATACAATGGGTCTGTAATATAGTAATCACTAAATTTACAAAGGTAATACCCAGGCTGGAAAAATAAAAGTCCCAAATTTAAAAAATCGAAAATAATTTTCCCAATTTTTAAATGTTTTATTGTTGGAAAGGGGCCCCAAAAGTTTTTAATTTTTTTTTTTAAGTATAAATTTCTTAATTCTAGTTATATTGATATATATCTGAACATATTTGAATGTATTTTCAGTCTTAAATAAAAACATTTCCTGTCTGTCCTTTCTAGTGAATTGTGAAATTTAATCGAAGATTGACCTCGAATATTATGTGAAATTCCATGACGAAAATCAAACAATTTACATTTTCACGTCGTCGAATTTTCAAAATTCGTTAGTTCAGTTCCTATGCAAGTCCTATACATACATGTATATTGAAATAAGATCATAATATATGTAATTTGGACCCATACTGTTCAAGCAATTCATTAGTCTAAAATGTTTTTTTTTCTCTCATAAATTTGTACCAATCGATCATATTTGAATTATCCTTTTCTTTTGTAAAAAAAGTTAGTGTCTTAATGAATTTTAATGTTTTAAAATCTTATTTCACTGTATCATTTAAGTAGCTAACAGGGAAAAGAAAACGATCAGATTTTACATTTCCGACTTTTTAGTACATTTTACATCCACAGACTATCAAATAATTTGATCAAAATAAAGAATGTACGTGTATATAGAATATGAATAATTTGAGGTAGATTTTTTTTTTAAATTTTGATTTGAGCTTTTGTATTATTCTTAACTAAAGTTCCCTGTACCATTAATATTACTATTAATACTATTAATACTATTAATAATGTTTTTTATTATCTCACAATAGTTTCTACAAACATACTATTTTCGATTAAAAGAATGCATTAATTCATATTAACACATGTATACAGAATTACCACTGCATATTATTATTCTAAACTAAAATATTAAATGCAAACATTTTAACAATATCATATATGCCCGTAGCCCTCTGCTTGATTACAAAATACAATGCTACAATCCATTATAAATATAGATCAATAGATATTGAATAAAAGATCGAAAAATAACCGATATTAAAATTTCATCATCACTTTTCCTTTCGTGTCACGCAATACCATATTATATCAATGAAAAAACGCAGCGAACCGCATCCGTTTTAGGTTGCCATTCGGTCATTGTTTTTGTTTACAATGGTAACGATTGAAACTATAGTCTGTATCAGGAATAAACACCTGTACCGTGGAATAATTATTAACGTAAATACACTGTGTGGTATATAGAACGCGCAATGCTATTTGAACGTGGAATGTAGGGTTTATTTCAATGATTTATCATAACCTAAGTCCACGTGCCCGTCTTTGCAATTGCACTCTATTTGAATTTTTAATTTTCCTAAAACGCACGTCTGGCACGGCCTATTCGGCGGGATAAACTTGTACTCGAACAACATACCATACTGTACACCACTTTTAAATTATACTTTTTATAGACCTTTTTACGACGCGGTCCGTTGCTAGTGTCCGTTGCTATGGAAAAAATGACCGGAAGTAGTATTTTCTCGCGCATGCGCAACCAGCGTAGGACAAAAAGTGCATAAAAGTGAATAGAAGTTCATAGTCAATTCCGACTTAGTTTAAGGTAAAGATTAAAAAAAAATCATACAACATAGCTTTTTACAGAAACACCAAAGATACTTTTATAGTTTTGTGGCTAAGATTGCCAGAAAAAGACATGGAAAGACGATTGTTGTTGAAATCTTCCATATAAAAACTAAATAAATTAATAACATATAAAATCGAGGTTAATTATCATTCTGAAAATAAGTCGGAGCACGTGATAATGCATTTTTAGTATTCAGTTTACCTAATTTTATCCTTTATCCAACTTGACTGTGATGCCAAAAATAAATTTCTAATTCATATAAATATATAAGAATAATTTTTCAAACTCTTGAGAAGTTAAGATGGGTGGTGAAATAACACACATTTTATCCGGTTCATCTAACACGTGAAAATGCACGTCACGTAGACTATAGTGTTACTTCACAAAATTAATAAACATTGATAAGATTTGTATAAATAAAAGTAACTTAAGTTACAATTTTCATAATTTTTAAGCGATTAACTATGCCATTGTACTAAAACGCACCGGTGGTGGCAAATAACAACCGGTCACTTGTCGATCCTTTTGACACTTACCGCCTTGCCAATCCACTTTCAAAGGAATACCAATTGTGTAATATTATTAAATACATGGGTAATAACATTTTATCTTTAACACCCTGCTGTTTTAATTTAAATTACCGATGAAAAAGTCATTTTATGATACCGTGAACAGAGAACTTTTGGTCATTGAATTATTATAGTCCCCTAATTTTGTATATCTGTTATAAATATCAATTCACGTTTTAATGACTAACCGCTTAAATTCATCACAAAATTTCTGTTTTCTGTGTAACATTACTTATAATCATGTCCTTTAAAGGCTTCAAGTACGCTAAAATGCTGTCTGTTGTTATTGCGCTTTTGCCCTACGCTGAATACGCATGCGCAAAATGCACCATCGGTTGCTATGGAAAACTCGTACTGTAAAAAGGGCTTCACTTCCTCACTATTTCTTTTCTGGAATAATGCATGTTTTTATTCTTCTCTATATTGTATGATTGTAAATATATAAGTACATACAACTCATTTCAAAGTATATACAAGTATATTGTTGGTGCCTGTTCCTTACTATCATCACGGTTTCAAATGATAAATTTTCTCCACCTCAAATTTCTCAGCAGGGACTTCAATATTTAGGTAGCTTAAATTAGCTCCGATTAGTTTTTGATGTTTTGTAGAAGTTATGTATCCGTGGATAAACACTTTCAGAAATGAAATATTTACGGTTTTAAAGACAAGTTCTTATGATTGTTACACTTTCGATTCATGCCCAAACTTAAAACAATACTTACCTCTACTAGATTTATAAAATGCTCAGCTTTTAATCAGAATCAGAGTAAGTCGTTTGTTAAAGAGGTACACCTTACATAGCAGCAGCTATAGTGCTCAAACGAAACAAATGAGCCGCGTCACGACAAAACCAACATAATGGGTTTGCGACCAGCATGGATCCAGACCAGCCTGCGCATCCGCGCAGTCTGATCAGGATCCATGTTGTTCGAAAAGATAATCGAAGTGGTTTATTTTAAAGACTGTCATGTACCATTACGTGTAAGTATGGGCTATGAGCATGAAAGTAAGAACTACGGAAAACAATAAGGGACATGGACAACAAAAAACATAACTCGAACACCAGAATAACGAAACGTACTGCACTAGTCTTGGCAAATAACGGGCCCTGTGACATCATATATATCCAGTCCCCCCCCCCCCCCCCCTGATAACATTATATTACAATAAATTTTCCAGGAAAATTCAAAAACCTTACAGCAGACAAAAGTACTTTTGGATTTAGAATCAATTTCTTTACACGTAGCGCCTTCAATACAGTGCACGGATAACAATACATGGAAATAAACTATAGCTACCAATATGCATTGATGCGTGACAGTTCGCGCAAACCTGTCAATAGATGTTTGACAGCGCTGGTCGCTGTGTATTGATTGTCATTCATGTGGGATTATATAATTATTTGGAATAGTTAATGTTTATGTAAAGGGTTATCAAAATAAAAGTGACAATGTCGGGAGAATCGTGAGTTTGTTTGAATAATTTTAAAGATATCTGTGAAATGACACATTTAAATGCACGTGCAAGAAGCTGAAAATATTCATTAAAATTTACACAATATGCCCATGTGATTTGCCAAATTTAAATAAAGACTTACTTGATGAAGTTTAACGGTTTAATAGTATTGTATTTTTGTAGATTAAATACTCAAACAAAGTATTGATGTATATACTATACTGTTTTATCATGATTTTAAATTAACATATTAAAGCTGCAAAAGTCTAAGATAACATGCTGTTTAAAGTGCTCAGACACATTGATTGTATACTTCAGTATAGATTTTAAGTGTGCCATTTTATTTTGTTAAGTATGCCCAATTAATCTAACATTGCATATATATTATGTAGCTCAATCCATCAGATATAGTGGTTTTAATGTCCTTGCCATTTAAAAAAAGATACAGTAGATTAATTTCTGTGTGTCCATGCGTTTATGAAAGCATGTACATATTAAACCTATTTTAATTTTGAAAAATAATTCAATGAAGTTAATAAATTAATTTAATTAAAAGATTTATAGGGTACAATAAGATTTGATGAATGGTCATTGGTGTCAAGGTTTAATTTCCCAAATTATAGTTTTACATGTTTGTTTTGTTATAAATACAGTTTATAAGGAGCTCAACTGAGGTCCTAAAGCTGAAAAACAAATTATTAAAAATTCATACAATGAAAGATCCACTTGCTTGGGCATTTAAAATGAAAAAAAATATTCAAAAGATAAAAAGTAAATACACTCTGGCTTAAATTGAAAATTTACATTTAGTTGGATTCTTAACCCAATTTCAATCTGTTAACATGCTTTATTTTCATTTTTGGGTCATTTTGCACAATAAAGGTTAAAGATATGAAGATAAGCACACAAGTTATTGGTCCAGACCCAAGTTCTTAAAAAAAAACCTCAGTGGACTCACTAGTCCTTTGAACTTCCTAGTCCTTTGAACTCCCTTCCCTTAAATTCTGCTTCTTGATCAGTGTCCGTGACTATATATAAATTGACTAATGGAGCAAAGTCGCTCAGAAATCAAATAGATTTGATATAATCATTGTAGATGAAACATCTGTCGAAAATAAAATAAATATATTTGAATATTTTTGTTTTTGTTTGGTGCTCAAGACTTACTTAAGATATTATTTTCCATGTTTTCTTGACAATTTTTGTAAAATGATATTTTATAACCATGATGAAGTGTACTCTTATGTGAAAGTCGAATGTTGGTTATCATTACTTAAAACTCATATAATTCTATGTTGATTGTTTGTTCCACTTGAATTTTGCTTAAAGGAAAAGAAAATTGAATTTAAGGCAAACAATTATAACAAATGCAATATAATAGTACCATTCCAAAAACACATGACATTTTGATAAGCATATTTGCAATTTGAACAACTGGAAAATGTCAATAGTAATCAAGTTTCAAATGGTTGTATACATTAATATGTGAAGTATTAATTAAAATCTGAATTCATTGATAATACAATTTTGTCATACATATCGAAAAGCGCTATATCCCGGCTCCAGTGTACTTATGATCTCTCTGGGGTGCAATAAAATATTTTATTTTTGTTTACTTAAGTTGAAAATAGAAAGAAAATAAAATGTTGACATAATTATTATTAAGGGCTATTATAATTTAAGTGACAAGTTTTTACATTGAATGTATGAGTTGGTCTTATACATGGGTGGTCTTAATTCAAGGGTTGTGTTTTAAGTGCAAATTCGACTGAATTAATAATAATACAATAATTACAATAACTTATATTTTAAAGATAAGTATAACTTTTCCCTTTATATTTCAGTGTTAAAGTGGCGGTCAGGGTGCGTCCCTTCAATCAGAGGTGAGTTGTAACTAACATATGTAATAATTATACATTTGTATTCTTTATTATAACTACCATACTATCATCATCCTGCTTTTTATGCCCCACTTGTCCGCTCGTAATTACGAAAATGTTGCCTGCACATTGAATTTAGAAGCTCTTGCAGGACGAGTGACTCTGAAAATATTTTTCAATGCTGACCCCCCTCCTTCCCCTAATTAAAGGGCTTGGGGTTTTTAGTTTTACCCTTCATTCATCAATTCTGCTTCGCTGTTGTCATGCTCTCTGTCAAAACAGTAGAATGTGGGGGCATCTGTGTCTATGAACACATTTCTAGTTTACTTTTATACATGTAGTAATTGTTAAACTTTGCTTAACATAAGAGAGAAAGAAATTTTTTTAAGACATTAAATAGTAAGGGACCTTTTTAAGTATTTAAAGTAGAGATGAAAATGAACTATATTTTTCATTTGCATTCATGTGATGAAATTTTTAGCATTTTGTTTTCAAGAACATACTTTCAGTTTACTTAGTAACAGCCTATGAATTTCATTACAGAGAGATTGATCGCCAAGCAAAACTTGTTGTGAAAATGGATGGAAAGATGACCATGATTTATAATCCAGAAGCTCCCAGTAAGTTTATATGATATCATTGAAATGTAACTATGGTATATATTTATATATATATGATATAATTATTGATAATAATCAAATATAGGGTAATATATCATAGTGATTTTCCTACTATAGTACATCACAAAAATATCTTTAGTCAAGAGTAATCAGGAGGACCCATTCCAATGTTATAAAATAGTTTATGCATGTATATTTGAAATAGACTGCACCATATTTAGCTGCTCTAAATTTCAAAGAAAACTGGCCATTAAATCAAAGTGTTTTGGCTTGTGGAACTTCGAACCTTGTATGCAGATGCACCTCAGAAATTTTAGGGTAAAGGTCAAGATCAAAATGACATTTAATTCATATTTTCTCTTTATTTAGAATTTAATTCATATTATCTCTTTATTTAGAAAATTTGTAGTTTACGTGACTATCCAGCACTGATAAAAGTTGAGCAAGCTGTTCCTCGGACAGCTTTTGTATTACGATGGGAATAAGATTATCATGATAGAAACTTTAATTTTAATACTAAAGGACTGTTAATTTCTTATGGCAGTTGGCTTATTATATTTCCCTTATTTACACTGTTTACTCTGGATAAAAGATACCCTTTCACATGCATCAACAAGATAAAATGGCATCATAGCCCAGACTAATCTTCAGTGACTGCCTGTCCAATTTTATTGTATCCCAGATCAAGACCCATTGTGCTACTTCAAAAAAAAAAAAAAAATACTCATGGCAATCAGTTTTCGCTCACTGTGCTGGGCCTGACGAATATAATTTTGTTAATACATACTAATAAACACTAACCTATACATAAAAGATAAACTCTCTAATACATGACTGTATGACTGTAATAGTCATAAAAATTAATGTCCAATATCTTTAATCACTTAAAGTACATTAGCTTCATTAAAAAGCAATTAAATTTTATTCATAACTTGATTTAATGACTTGCATATAAAATTCATAGTGCTGTGAAGAACCCTTGATCATTTTTGATTGCATTGTTATTAGATCACAAAATATTTAAAGTGCAAATGTATTAAAGTTTTTTTAAATCTGCACGCCTCTAGATGAACCAAAATATTTCGAGAAAGTAAATGTTTTAAGATTTTAAGAAAAGTAAAACGATTAAAGATTCAAGAAATAATTTACGTTTTGTGTGATTAGTTACTTATTTTGCAGTAATTATCGCCATAATTATAATGTGTAAGTTAAAACATTTAGGGCTATAATTGCATATTTTGACCTCTTTTTGTAATTTACATGGTTTGTAAGTGCTGTATGCCCTGTGTTAATTACTGTATAAGTGGATGATTGTTTGTGTCGAAAAGTAAGCGAATTAAAAATTCCAAACATTTTGCGAGACTAAATATTAACGAATCTTGCAAAGGCAGAATTTTGTGCTAGGTTGATTGATATTTACGCTAGAGGAAATTTAAGCAATTTTCGTCAGTTTTCGAAATTTGCCAATAATTTCGTGTTAATTGCTAATTTAACCATGTATACAGTAATATTTTTGTTCACTTCAAAATATTTTACTTTTAAATACATTTTCCAAATTTTTATAAACGATAGCATGAATCTGTAGGCATGCTGCTTTAAATGTGAACAATTAGAAAGTTGCTTTTCAATGGCGTTTTGATTTTCTTTTTATATAATGTGAACATTTAAGTAGGTGTTCTGTACATACATGTTAAAGTCAATTCAGTTTTAAGATTAATTTAAATTGTGTCTAGAGTCTGAACTATTGTATTTGATAAATATTGTAATTTGAGACCATTTTCTATTTCTTTTCAATGATTAAAAATTTTCTCTTTAAGTTTGAAATCCATTAAGCTCTTAAAAATGTATTGTTAATGTAGGGTTTTGAACATGGCATTTTGTTCTTTCAGGATTGTACAATCATTAAGGATAAGTTTATATAATTATATTGTACTCTTGTTTTAGTCGATGTTATTTAGTCACATAGTATGTTATGATAATAAGCAGATGTAAATCTGACCCTTTTATAATATTTATATAAGAGAACTTATGTTTTATTTTAGTGTAAAAGTCAAGTAGAATTAAAGTGACATTATTCCTATCCAGTATGTATAGGTTAAAATTTATAAGTATGTATTTACGAAATTAAATTTGTTTTATTAGATTGAAAAGAATGACAATACGGGGACATGAAAACATATTTGACTCTCACCTGTTCACTCACTATATATATACCCATAGTGAGTGAACAGGTGAAAGTCAAAATAAGTTTTCATTTCCCATAATTTTTTTTCAATCTACTAGTAATAATTTACTTGGCATAAATGATAAATAACTCACATTGCCCAAGGAAATTTCTGTAAATATCTACCAGTATTTAACTGTAACGTTAAATTTATTAAAAAGCGTGAGGCAATCTTTTTATATTTTAAGCAAATTTCTATTTTATCATAAACATTTTTCAATATCAACTGTAATGGTCAATCACCATTTTAACAGTCAATCTTTTAAAATATAAAGTCAATTCAGCACAATTTGACAATGAAAAAAATGAGCATAAATAACGGTTAATAACCCTATAATGTCAATTTAATACTTTAATTAAAATTGTGAATACTGCAGTTATGAATTTGCCCAACAGGGAAACCTTATTATACCCCCAAAAACGAAGTTTGGGGGGTATATAGGAGTCACCCGGTGGTCGGTTGGTCGGTCGGGCGGTCGGTCAGTCGGTCGGTCGGTCCAGACGTCCGTTGCATTTTCCTTGTCCGGAGCATAACTTGAAGACTAATGATTGGAATTCAATATAACTACACACAATGATCAAGCACATTGAGAGGAAGTGCAGTGCACAAGAACCATAACTCTATCTTGACTAATTACAGAGTTATTGCCCTTTGTTACTTTTCCTTGTCTGGGGCATAACTTGAAAACTACTGGTTGGAATTCAAAACAACTTCATACAATTGTCAAACACATTAAGGGGAAGTGCAGTGCACAAGAACCATAACTCTATCTGAAGTAATTACAGAGTTATTGCCCTTTGTTACTTTTCCATTCCTTTCTTTTGTCCGGACCAAAACTTGAAGACTAATTGTTGGAATTCAATATAACTACATACAATGGTCAAGCACAATGAGAGGAAGTGCAGTGCACAAGAACCATAACTCTATCTTGACTAATTACAGAGTTATTGCCCTTGGTTTCTTTTCCTTGTCTGGGGCATAACTTGAAAACTACTAGATGGAATTCAAAAGAACTTCATACAATTGTCAAACACAATAAGGGGAAGTGCAGTGCACAAGAACCATAACTCTATCTAAAGTAATTACAGATTTATTGCCCTTTGTTTCTTTTCCATTGCTTTCTTTTGTCCGGACCATGACATGAAGACTAATTGTTGGAATTCATTATAACTTAATACAATGGTCAAGCACATTGAGAGGAAGTGCGTGCACAAAAACCATAACTCCATCTTGACTTATTACAGAGTTACTGCCCTTTGTTACTTTTCCTTTTTCAGAGTATGACTTGAAAACTACTGGTTGGAATTCAAAACAACTTCATACAATGGTCAAACACAATAAGGGGAAGTGCAGTGCATAAGAACTATAACTCCATCTTGACTTATTACAGAGTTATTGCCCTTTGTTACTTTTCCATTGCCTTTTTTGTCCGGAGCATAACTTGAAGATTAATAGTTGGAATTCAATATAACTTCATACAATGGTCAAGCACATTGAGAGGAAGTGCAGTGCACAAGAACCATAACTCCATCTTGACTAATCACAGAGTTATTGCCCTTTGTTACTTTTCCTTGTCCAGAGCATAATTTGAAAACTACTGTTTGAAATTTAATACAACTTCATACAGTTGTCAAGGACATTAAAAGGAAGTGCAGTGCACAAGAGCCATAACTCCATTTTGACAAAATACAGAGTTACTGCCCTTTGATACTTTTCCTTGTCCGGAGCATAACTTAAAACGTACTGGTTGGAATTCAAAACAACTTCATACAATGGTCAAGCACAATAAGAGGAAGTGCAGTGCACAAGCACTATAACTCCATCTTCAGTATTTATAGAGTTATTGCCCTTTGTTTCTTTTCCTTGTCTTTCTGGACTTATTACAGAGTAATTCAATAAAACTTCATCAATGGCCAACCACATTGAAAGGAAATGCAACATACAAGAACCACAACTATCTTTAATTGCCCACAACCATAACTCTAAATTTCAATTCTTTTACAAGGTATTCTGTTACTAGTAACATCCTCATTTCTGAAGCAGTCTTTTGGGGGTATTAATCACATTTAGTGATAGTTCTAGTTTTTTTTCTTTTTCATTTCATGTTTGGGAATATCACATATTGCACTTTTAATATTTAATTAATTACTTTTGCAGAAATTTCAACACTGAGTAACTTTTAATTATCATTATTAATAATAAAAAAAGAGATTAGTAAGTTTTAGCAGGCAAATCAATTTATTAATTTATTATATTATTGTAACAGTTAATTGTTACATGCATTTGAATTTTTTTTTTCTTACTGTCTGTTGATAAATGGTTTTAATCAGCTTTCACAATGCATTATCAGAAGAAAAAAATTGTACAAATAATTCAATCAGTAGGCAATGCAAATACAATATATTTTATTTGCACTGTCCATGTCATAATGTTTGATGAAAAAGAAAATCTTCTAAATTTAGATGTTTTGAAATTTCTTTTGTAATACAAGAAGATTGATTAATTGTCGCATTTCACTTTCACATTTGTGCATGTTTGTTTCTTTGTTATTTTAATTTAATATAGATTACTTTGATAAAAGTGTAAATCTCTGATTTATTTATTCATTTTTTTCAGATGATGAACCAAAAAAGTTTTCATTTGATTATTCATATTGGTAAGTAAATTAGTGAGAAATAAAAAAACAATTTTTCATCCATAAGAATATTTGTTGACCAATGCTTCACAATATAATAGTCATGCAGCCAAAGCCCTCACTACTTGGGGATTGGAGGGGAGGGGTAAATAGAATTGCCCTTGTCAATTTGTCCCTGACTACAGTACTCAGCTGTCCATGTCCTACGGAAATTTTTCTTAAGTTTCCATACAGTTTGTCAATAGATGTAATAACTACTGTTTGTAGGGTTCTAAGCATCAGTGTAACTATTTACATACCATACCATGCAATAATAGACTAAAAATTCTCCGGATTCAAGTATATTTGGGTTTTTCCACCTTACCCCAAGTTACATACAAACATTTACAGTTTTAGCTTCGAAAATAAGTGCAACAGGTTGACTAATCTATTGTGACCAGTAGTGCACCATGAAGCTTGCGCTCCCTTCGCAGCTCACTCTGAATACACTTACATTACTTCAGAAAGTGAGCGGGAGAGTATGTGAAGCTATAACGGTAAAACTTTGTTAGTACAGGGGGGGGGGGGGATTAGCTTGGAAAAACCAAACACATTTGCCGAGTTTAGGATAACATCTATTGTATTTTAGTCAGCCAGTGTCACACCACTACATACATTATTGATAACTATGTATTAAACTCATACATCTGTGTGTTCACTGGCATATCATTCTTTGATTGTGTACATTAGCTATGTCACTTTTCCATTGATCTTTCTATACCTTTTGTTTACTGATGTTCAATAGTCTATAAAAACACTATAAATTAAGCAGAATTGAAAGTAAAAGAGGTATTTTATTAATGCTATAAAGAGTATTATAGGACTTTTGTTGCACATGTAAGCCATTGTATTAATGGACAAAAGCAGTCATTAAATAAATTCCCTTGAATAGCAAGACATATTTTTCCCAGTGATTTACTACACCCAAAGGGTTCAGATTTATTTTTTTCCCATTGTTTAATGACATTATTTACTTGTCATCATGTTTTGTATTATGGGAATGTATGAATTAACAACTGACTGGCAAATTATTTGTGTAGTTTGAATTTATAGCTGTGTAACATTTATTTAAGAGGATTTAAAAATGGTCAATTTAATGCACCATTCAATTTTAAACACCCACTCTCAGACTTATAATCCTCATTAAATATTCTTGCACTGTTTGACATACATTTGTAATTATCCCTGGTCAATTTGGCTCCAAAGCATAACCAACATCAAGCAGTGGGGAGGGGACATATAAATGTTAAAATCTTGGCTTATTTTCCCCACTTTTCCCAAATCTTTCTCTTGGGTATGGGGGCTGTTGACTTTATACAGAAGCCAAAGAACACATCTCTCCCTGTCCCCCATCCACTCCCCACCCCCCCAAAGAACAAACCAAAAAAAAACACCAACAAAAACCCCCCCCCCCAAAAAAAAAACAAACAAAAAACAATGGAATATGAGCACTAGTAGTAATTTAACATAAGCAGAAGTAGCCAAACATTAAAGGCAACCGCTCATCAGTAAATGTATATGGGTAAAATAATGTAAAAGTTTAAGTTTGCACTAACAGACTGAAGTGTGACTATAAAATTTGTATGAAGATGTCAATATTTGCTTTAAATATTGGGAAAATGTTTCCTAAAGCGTGCCATTGCCATATAGTAAAAAGGATAATAGTTCCTTGATACCAATTTAATATAACTGATACGAGATTGATTTGTAAATCATAGTATACAGTGATTATAGGTACTTGACTTGCAAGATATAATTTTATTGATGAATACATTCTGAAGACGTTCCTATTATTTGCCGTCTTATGTACACAATTTTGTCCGAGACATTGCTGTCGAAAGAGATACATTCTTATTTGCCAGTCTTATGTACACAGTTTTTTTGGAGACTTTGCTGTTGGAAGAGATTGATATTGAAGCTTGTAAATAATACAGTTATTGGTTGATGGGGTATATTGATTTACACTTGCTCGGGTGCTTAGAGTCCTCTTTAAAAGTTGAGATATTTATGTAGATATAGTGATGGTGATGAGTACGTATATGGTAAGTTATCACCCATCTTAACTTGATTATATGGTATGTCTAAGTGACCTTTTGTTGTAATTGGTTATTTTCCCCTGGCTGTTTTGATGGAAATAAAGCTATTAAAGTAATATAGAACTGTAACCCATAACCTTGGTGTACTGAGCATCCTGGCTGATATTGAGATACCCTAAACACAGTCATGTAAATTTGCATACATAAAAGTGCCAACTATATATAAACATGGCACATTGACCATAATGTTGTCTTTGATCATTTTCTTAAACTTTGATTGTTACCAGTAGTTTTAAGTTTAGATGAACGAGTTTTATACTAATAAAATAACTTTAATAATAAAAAAGTCATTTAAAGTCAGCTAGGCCTTTTCACTCTTAATTGATATTAAGTACTGCATGTGCCCACTTACTGAGGTCATAGTATTCTGGTAAATAACGATATTGCTTATAACAAACATAATGATATGTATTGAACCATTCAGCTTTATTTAGTCTCCATGGCAAAATGCTTATAAGGTTGCTGAATACAATGAATTGTTTGAGCCCTTACTTAATTGTTGCTCTGGGATTTTAGATACCCAGCATTTAGGGACGTTTTTAAGTCTTTCATTTGAAATATCGGTAGCAGTTCCTTCTTTGTTGTACAACATCAGATGTTACATTCAGCTAATGTCGTCTTGGGTTTGTGACAGAAATGAGTCACATTATGTACATGTACATCTGAGTTCTTCCTCAGTGCCACCAGCTTACTTAAAAAAGTTGCAATATTACAAATACAAGTTGATTGGGCTCAAACCATTGAACCAAACTCCCCCTTCCCCCCCCCCCCCCCCCCCCCCCCATCCCCCCCCAACATCCCTCACAGACATTTTATGGACTTTATATTAATATATTGGTAAAACATCTCTCTAGCTCTTTAAGTTATGTAAGATTAAATAAATAATAGAAAATGATAATATACATGTAAATTGTTCACTTTAAAAGAGTGTAAGATTTGATTAAAGAAGGTAAATACCATGATGTCAGTTGTATTCTTATGTTAAATATTATCAGTATATCACTGCATTTTTTTAATGTAATATATGAATATATATTTTTTTCTTTCTTCTATTTTTAGGTCACATGATGGATTCAACACATTACCTGATGGCACGGCAGAACCTCAATCAGGAAGTACCTACGCTAGTCAGAGAGTTGTGTTTGAAAATTTGGGTCAAGGTGTCTTAAACAATGCGTTTGAAGGTAATTTAAACACACCATGCCTTCTCACAACCCATATAAACTTCACGGCAAATATGTGTTCGATTTGTCACTTCTCGTAAAAAATATTTCTAGATTGAAGTCGGTTGAACGTTATCAAATAATTAATCATTTTTTCTTTTTCAAGATCTTCGCATGTGAAGCATTTTATTATTCTTTTCCAGCATGTCTCCCCATAAGATAACAGAAAATCTACTTTTATACTTGAATATTTTAAATTTCTCTTCAAATACGTAATTTAGGTTGAAAGAAATTGAAATGCCACTTTAAAAAGTACAGGTGACATTTTTTGAGTTGATAGATAACAACAGTAAGCTTTCGGCCATTAGGATATCCTTTCTTTAAACATATTTTGCAGAATTCTTTCATCCAGGTTATTTCTTAGTGCCACAGGATGGTTGAGGAAAATATTGGGATCTGTGTTTAGAGGCTAAGGGATCTGGAACAATATTTAACATGTAGCAAAACAACTAAACTGATAACAGTCGTCATAATATGTGGCAATAAAAAGTTAAAAACATTTTTAACATCATATTATAAAATGACCAGTATATGTATATCAATTTTGAATTAAGCTTGAAATTTGATTTAACCTACACCTGGTCTTACACATAAACTAACTTGAATACGATCCTGTATACCGGGCGTACCAGGAACCAGCAGACTGTTGTCACACCGACAAAATTGAATAAACAATTTTATCACACACCCGTGCCGATTTTGTGACTCCGTACAGATGGTAATGCACAGCCGTGCATATATCTTGACGTGACGTCATTAGCGTTATACAAACATAGTGTAAAGGCGCGCTAAATGTAAGCGTTATACTATAGACGCATCAATGAAAAATGACTCTTATTTCACTTTAAACGGTCTTTATTTTGGGTATGTGATAAATAGAATATTAAATTCGTGTAAGTTCAATACTAAATTTATTGTACTCGTTGAATAAAATAATATTATGCTCGCCAGAGGCTCGCATAATATAATTTTATTCAACTCGTGCAATAAATTTAGTATTGAACTTACACTCATTCAATATCCTCTATGTATATTTTCTATAATATATCAGTTTCTGTATCAGAAATGCAGTAGATTATGCAAAGGAAAAACATGTTTTACAGACATTTTTTTCAACTTTCTAAAAAAAAAAAATTCTTGAGATGATAGTTCAGTATTATGAATTTTCACTTTAAACCTAACTTATGACATATATTTACTTTTTTACGGAAATTTTGTTACATATTTATCATTTAAAAATCAATTCATAATTTCTTAAAATCTAGAACAACTGAGAACCATTTCTAGCTGTAACTTTCTCGAGCATTTCTTGAAAACTTTATCGAAGAACATTGTATGATATAAAGAAACATATCTGCAATAATTCTACCATAAATAACACAGTTTCTATGTAGCATTACTATTCTTGTAAAAAATTGATTGATTATAGCTATGAAAAAAAAATCAGGACTGGTTCCGAGTTTGTCATTTAAATGAAGCATTATTCTAATACAGATTTCATACCAGTCTATATAAACACTTGAATCTGAATACTGCCTTTTCAAAAAAGGAGAATTTCCTGGTTTAGGTATTGATCAAATCCTGTTTGATTGTCAAGGTAGTGGTTCATAAAATAAAAATTATTGAATGGAAGGTAAACAAGATTTTCAGCGAGAACAAGTGTCAATAAGGAGGCGTTTATCAATAATTCAATACTTCAAATTTTGTTTAATTACTCTTGTTCATTTATCCTTTTTAAGGCCATTTCTTTTATTTCAAAGGTAGTCATATGTCAGAATTGATATTTAATAAGTATCAATATTATATTAAATTGGTTTTTATGATATATGTAGAAATTTATTGTTTACAATTTCGTTAATAATTTAATAATAAGCAAAAGAGGTTAAACGGGGTGCAGAAGTTCACAGTTTATAATAGATTGGTTGTTACTATAATGATACTATTAAAGGGACTCCCCTGAGCTTTTTTATTTGACAGGACTGGAAATATTTTTTTTCGAGAATTTTATACCATTTGATGTATAGGTCTATACCAATAACTTCTGAGCAGTATTTCAAAATCATTCGCTGACGTCATTTTTCCAGAAAATAATTTTGTTGCCTAAAATAAAAAAAAACATTGAAATGCTTTAAACTCTAAACGGGGATTTAGAATTCCACTAAATATTGATTTTCAACTTAATTCCAAGTATATTGCTTTGTTATCTTTTTCATATTTTCCCATTTTAAAATGCCCAAGTTTGGGGTGGTGATAGCCCCCTTGTGCAAATCAGATAGCCTTGTTTTTCTATGCTCTTTCAACTACAGATATAATGTTTATTTATGCATTAATTATTTTTCAGTGTTTTAGCTTAATCTTGATTTTATGCTTATTTAAGTGAGATATGGTTTATATTTGATCACTATTACATCTAAAATAACATATTGTTCTCATCTTACACCAAGTTAAAAGCATATTTCTCATTGATACTACATTATTACGTTATAAATAAGCAGAATAATTGCCAGTCTGATGGAATATCTATTGATTTTGTCGGGTTATTTTGTTTAAGTTTGTTAACAACTCAGAAAGTTTGAATCATTAAGTAGCAAAAGTACTTAAAAAGGAACTTTAGCACTTTAATCTGATTAAATTATACAGTGATATACTCATAGTGGATAAAACATAATCACAGTGCCATGTCTTACAAGCTTCAATAATTAAATTGTGATCATATCAAGACCAATACCAAGTCTTAAAGTGGTGGCATGGCTGAGTGGTAATCTAAGGATCACTTATCTGTGTGGGTTCAAACCTTGTCACACTAGTAATTTAAGGATTGCTCTTATCGGGCATTGGTTCAAACCCTGTCAGGGGAGAACCTTTGTTTCCTTGAGCAAGAAACTTTACAGTTGTTTTTGAGAGTGTATCTATAAGCTTTAAGTTTCCTGCACAATCAAACTGAAATAAATTCTGTATAAACCATACCAAGTGTTGAAATTACAAGCACCTTCTACTTCCAATCCCTTTTTATTTCTTAAATGATACAGAATAATTAATATGAGCCGCGCCATGACAAAACCAACATAGTGCGTTTGCTACCAGCATGGATCCAGACCAGCCTGCGCATCCGCGCAGTCTGATCAGGATCCATGCTGTTCGCTTACAAACCCTATAACAAGTAGAGAAAGTGATAGCGAACAGCATGGATCCTGATCAGACTGCGCGGATGCGCAGGCTGGTCTGGATCCTTGCTGGTTGCAAACCCATTATGTTGGTTTTGTCATGACGCGGCTCATTTCTGGAACCAACCAGAGTTTAGCAATGAGTGTTATTGTTTCTTTCTTAAAGAAACAACAGCTTGCCCCTGACAGGGTTTGAACTCAGACATGCAGCCAGCAACGGAGCACTTTGCTCCAACTGGCATATCAAATGCATCAATGGACCCTTTATTGTATTCACTTGAGGTTATGATTGCATGTTGTATGATTCTAAGTCTCTCTGGTATGAGGAGGGCTTCTGATTTAAGTTCCACAAGAATATGACCTGTCAGTCTGCAGAGATATTGGCTGCCACTACAGTGACTTTAGAATTTTAATCTTGATATCCCCAAAACTTACAATGGACAGTACCAAAAATGAAACTGAAATTATTCCATTTTAAAAATTCACCAGGTAAAAGGTCAAGCAATACTTCAGATACATAATTTATCATTATAGCTTCATATTTCAAGGCAGATTAAATCAAGCAATTAGGTCAAAAGGTCTAAAAATATCCCAAGCATGCCATTTAATGTATTAGGAAGATTGATTTATTGATGTTAGATATTGAGAGTGAATGGAACTTTGTTTTTATTTTACAGATTTAAAAGATAATATAGTATTTATTGGAGAAACACAACTGAAAATATTGATTGTTGTAATTATATATTTGTATTATAAAGTCAGAAGGAAGATTTATTTAGAAATGAAAATCCTTTAAGATAAATTGAGATTAAAAATATAAACCCAATACAATATGGTAATCAATGTTATAGACAAAAAAGAATAGCTCATGACAAAGTACTTAAAGTATATATATATATTTTACATGTTATCAGCTTATATGTTTAATATTAATCCTAATACAGTAACACTTTCGACGTATTAAAAAAATACCAAACATTTTAATTCCTGGTTCATGGCCTACATGTATGCATCTCTATAGTGTTTGAGCATTCAAAAATATGCCTACATTTGTGCAATGGAATCACCCTATTTTGAATTTGGAACAATTCATTCAATGTAGTCAATGTAGAAAAGCGTTACCAACAGTAAATTAAAAGCCAGTGGTGGCAGACTGCAGAGATGTGCAGGCTTACATGCTAATAATGCACCTAAGTGTATAAAGCTATATACAATACTGTAATGTATTTGCTGCAAAAAAATTAGAGTTTGAATTTTAATAAAGAATACTTCCAAAATGCCTGTATGAAAGACATATGGTGACAGTACCATACTTTCATTACCCGCTTATAAGATGCAGCCCACAACTTCAATTATCTCAAAATTTTGCCGAAAGGTCGAAACTCAGCATTAATTCTGCAGTACAAAATCAGCCGAAATTAAAATTCATTAATTTTTTGTCAAATTGTTCTCAGAAATATAACAGAATTCGTAATAAAATTACTAAATACATGTATAGAACATGACCGTACATATTTTAGCCTCGTATTGAGATGAAAGCAAAAGTGATGGTTACTAGATAACATGAAAATATTGCAAGATTATAAGAAGAAATTTGTAAATTTTTCAATCAGATTTTCTATAGTATTTGATTATAACCTTATTTTTAGGTAAATCATTTCATACAATTGTCAAATCAAAGGAATAAAGGTCTAAAACAAAATTTTTTGTCGTTTAAATACATAAACAATAAGGAAACCCCTTGATACCTCTAATCAACAGCGCTTCTCTGTATATATAAATTAGTAAAACGGACGATTCTTCGTTTCCCAATCTACTATTTTAAGAAACCAACGTCTCTTCACGCTATAAATAGCTCTCGGGGGCCCTGTTTTCAAAAAGGCTTGATAGTGATATGATACACTTTTCCTTGGTTAATATTACTAAAATACTGAGTTTGAAACAGCACAGATATGTTTTCCGGACACAAAATAATAGCTGAAGGCAACGCTTTAACAGTAAGAATAACTCCAATGGGAAATTAACATAACAAAAATAGTGGGGGGTAAAAAAGCCTTAATATATTACCTGTTTACTCAGGGCTTTATTTACACTAACAGTCCCAGCAGAGAAGATTTAAGACAAAAAAAACAATTAAAAAATTTCTATATTGTTTTAGTTAATAAATAATTCATAAGGGCATTATTGTAGCACAAGACTTCCTGGCTGCTTTTAAGCTTTAATAAATATACATAAACTTAAGTCATACAAAAGTCTGTGAATATTTAATTATTTATGAATGACAAATAATGCCTTTTTTTATGACACTGTGGCCATATAAAACTTTGTATCTATTTATATAACTTGCCATTATTCACATGTTTCTATTTCAGGTTACAATTGTTCATTGTTTGCATACGGACAGACGGGATCCGGCAAATCATACTCCATGGTGGGATATGGAAAAAATAGGTAAGTTTCTCTAATTCGGTCATTTAATTTGGTCGTTTAAATAGTTTTGCACCTTTGAAGAAATGGTGTGGAACTGTGACATCTTACCACCACACCCGACTCAGCTACATGTTCTTCTACCTAACCCAAATACTCACCAAACAAACCATTGCTGAAAAATATATATTTCAAGCTCTAAGTGCCTGCACGTAATTACACTAGGGTCTCACACTGTTGTCTCCCCGGGATTATTATTGTATAAGAAGGTTTGTGGTGTTGCAGCTTGATAACCAGTAACTGTAAATACCCTTTCAATCTATCTTTTATTTTGGGACCCTGTTTTGCTTTTCATGGAATGACACAAAATGTGTATTATTGAAGTTATAAATATCATGAAAATTAACGTAAACATTCGGTAAATTAAATTGTTGAAATTACATAATTTTGTGACATAAGTCTATTGCTATTTTGGCCTTTATGGAAACACGACCATCAGGTGACCTGTCTAATAAGATGAACCTTTATATGAGCCGCGTCATGACAAAACCAACATAATGGGTTTGCGACCAGCATGGATCCAGACCAGCCTGCGCGTCCGCGCAGTCTGATCAGGATCCATGCTGTTCGCTATCAGTTTCTCTACTTGTAATAGGGTTTGTAAGCGAACAGCATGGATCCTGATCAGACTGCGCGGATGCGCAGGCTGGTCTGGATCCATGCTAATCTCAAACGCTTTGGTTTTGTCATGACACGGCTCAATTATATGTACATGTATTATATCGTTGTGCCTACACAATGGTGCCACAATGCTTTGAAGCTGTATAGACCATTTTAACATTCATTTATGATCAATAGATATACTTAGTATGAATGGATAGTCATTTATTATTTATGGTACACTTAAAATGGTTTAAAATTCTGTTTATATTGCCTTTCTTTTAAGACTTCAAACAAGAAAGTAATGTGAATTAAAGGGCTTAAGTAACCTTTGATGGTTGACTTGTATACATTGTATATTGAATAAGTTCTATACATTTTATGTTTCAAATCATACATGTTTCATTCTATTAACAAAGGGAAGCTTTCTTCATTCAGTTATACCCCAATGTCGTTGTGCAAGTCCATACATTGATATAAGCTTCATAATATTGCAAAATTAATGTATTTTTGTTAATCTGTTCAAATTTTACCATTTACATTAAATTGGCCTTATACTCTTTTGCAAATTCATTATATGTGCCACATGCTTGAGATGAGATGAAATGCATGTTCAAATGATAAGGTGAATAACAAAAGCTATACATGTATTTGAATTATAGTCTTTTTATAACTTTTAGTTTAAATTTCATTCCTTTGGTTACAATTCAGTTCCATAATATCACAGATTAAAACAGTATCAAAGTAAGCGAAAGGTACAGAAATCTATGATCTTCTTGAAGATTGGGCAAGCTTCTATTCCTTGCTTCTTAAATCCTTACTGATTAATTCTTTGCTACTTAATTCCTTGCTACTTAATTCCTTGCTACTTAATTCTGTGCTGCTTAATTCTTTGCTTCTTAATTCCTTGCTGCTAATATTTCTTTGTTCCTGAATTCCTTGCTAATTATTTCTTGCAACTTCTTTCTTTGTGACTGAATTCTTTGCTACTTTATTCCTTGCTAGTTAATAGTTTTTCTGCTGAATCATTGCTGTTTAATTCTTAGCTGCCTTATTCCTTGTTGCTTAATTCCTTTTTTTGTTTCTGAAAAAGTGGTCAATTTCATTAATTATCTTTCTGATTTTGTAGGGGTATTGTACCAATCACATGTGATGAACTGTTTAAAACAATGGAGATGAACAACGACCCTAACAAGAGGTACGAGGTTATGTTCTCTATGCTGGAAATCTACAACGAACAAGTGCGAGATCTTCTATCCAAAGATAATCCTAAAGGTGGCCTTAACGTGAGACAAAATCCAAAACTGGGCATGTTCTATGTAGAAGGACTGAAGAAAGTTCCAGTAGGAAGTTATGCTGAAATAGAGAAAAGAATGGAACAAGGTACAAACTTTTTGTGGATATTTTAGGATCATGTTCAGTTTTATTACTGATTTGCCTTCTTAGCTATTAATTCCAGTAATTGAGGCACAAGAAATAAATGTACATGTAGATGGTGAACTACACAATCTGAGAGGTGGCCTAGTTGTTAATATTTCTGCCTGTCCATCCAAGGAACTGTAAGTTTAAGCACTGAAGTGATCATGCCCATATTTTCCCTCTTTTGGCATCAACACAATATATATATTATAAGTTATAAAGATTTTTGACAGGTTATATGGCCCTGTATAAACGATTGTTATAACCATTTTATATACAGTCATATAACCTGTCAAGAATATTTATAATGAATTTATAATACAGCAAACTTACTTTTTGGAGAAAAAAGTGAGATTTCTTTATAAATTGACAGCAGCCATACATATAAAACTATATAAAGGTACCAAGTACAAATGAAAAGCAACGTTACAAACATGATCCAATTGTCCTTTATAAATTCCCGGAAGCAGAGGTAAGGAATGGTTCAAATCCACTCAAAAGGTTTCATCGTGGTCTAGCATAGAAATTTAAATGTTTTAAGAAAATCTAATGATAAAAACATAGATATGATGTAACATCGTCATTGTAGTGCAATAATGGGTGAACTCCAATTAAATTTCATAGGAGTTAGCTTAATATTTCACCGAGGTGACAAGATAGAATATATTTACTTGTATTTGATAATTCAGTCAATAATTGTTTAATTTTTACAATCTTCATGTATAAATAATTTAATATTTAATTGCTACACATATAACATTGAAATGTAATATGAAATATGTGATTATTATGCTTATAGGTACACAATCTAGAACTGTAGCATCAACAAACATGAACGCGACCAGCAGTAGGGCTCACACTGTTGTCACTATAATATTTGATCAGATCATTAAATCAGACAGTGGTGAAACGAAGAAAAGCTCAACAATGAATCTCGTAGATTTGGCAGGTAAGCTGTTATAGCAGTGTAAATCTCCTACTTTTAGCTCAATTAAGAATAGGGAGATCTAATGTACTCACCAAGGTATGGGCTTCTGAGTGACACTTAGGTTATGTTTTTTACAGGCAAGTTGGTTCCTCCAAAAATCCTGTAAAGAATGCATCGAAATATAATTACATATTTATTTAAATTATATAATTAAGATGATTTAAGTCAACCAATACATTGAAATAAAGTTATTGAAAATGTATCATATATTTGTTTTTTGCTGCAAATAGAACTTTTTCTGAAAAGGGAACTAACTGGTAAAAACTTTATGTATGGACTCTTAGAGTTGTGTACCTTTGTCTGAGTAACCACCTAATTCTAAAATATTATCAATGATGATAGTTTTATCACTATATTACAATGATTATTTTATTTTATAGGTTCTGAGAGAGCTGACAGCACAGGTGCTACAGGTGACAGGTTGAAGGAAGGTGCTAATATCAACAAGTCTCTATCAGCCCTGGGAAATGTCATATCAGTAAGTTGTCTCTGTCCTTAAGTTGGCTAGAAACATGACAATTAAGATAATAACATTCATGTGGTATTGAATCATTTCCTGGTGTGAATTTTTTTCCATTTTGTTTTGTTAGGAAATACCTAGATGTTGAGATTATCTGAGACTATGGAAGTCATTCCATATAGCGGTTGTTGATATTTACTTTATATTGTAAATAATTCTTTATTTTATTATTCATATAAAGTAAACCCTTTATTGACTTTGTCTGATGGCTTTGTTCTGCTTTTAAATTTGAAAATGTTCATTGCTTCAGCGATTTCCTATACCACTTGCCCTTCACCACTGTGGTTTTAAATCCAGCGGGGGACTTTGGATTCTTTCATGTGAGGAAGCTATCCAGCTTGCTTATGGAACATTGGTGGTTCTACTCATTAGCCCTTTCTTGTCCTATACTGTGCTCCTCTTAGTTCACGGTACTTAACCCTTTGAAACCAGAAAGAAAACCACAAATGAAACTTATGGAATAAAAATTGTCATAAGCTATAACAAATAGGTATTTTCTGCTGTATTGCACAAGGAAACCACAATATATTCAGTCAAAGTCAATTTTAATGGACCAAACGTAGACCATATGTCAGCCATTTTGAAAACAGTATGTCATCATTTAAATTGCGGTAATTGTGTTACATTTTAGTTTTTTCATGTTCGGTTAAAATTTCTACATGTTATTTTGCTTGATTTTAATTAATAATATTATCCTTACTTTGTAACTCAAAATTTATTTTTTCAACAAACAAGAACATTCAGAAAATAATGATTGCATCAGACATACGCACAAATTGAATGGATTATTTTATATTTTTGCAGAAATTTGTAAAATGTTGTTCTGTTTTACGTAAAAATCTAGAGATTTAAAATATTTTGCACAAAAACTTTGTTGTGTAGGTGTATGAATAAAATATGTCAATTCTGACCAATTTTAACACCGGTCACATGAAAATATGCCACTACTGTGAAATAAGTGATGACGCGGAATTAGTGATGTTGAGTATATATATTGTTAGAAGGGGCATCTGAGGTCTTCCTCCAACCTTTAAGATAGAATGCCGCCATGTGACCTTTACAGTGTTGATGACATTTAAAACCCAACTATAAAATATTGAAACATATTTGAGCAGCTCAATGTTAACTTAGTGTCAAGGTCATCCTAGCTCTAGTCTTGTGGCATAGACTAATTTATGCTGCTGAAAGATTTAACTGCCCTTTGTTGATATCACTTTGTAAGACATTACCTCCCTTACATTTTTATTTTTTAGATATGTACAAAGCAGTTTTGATAACTTGATTTAGATTTTTTCTTATCATTTTATTGTTATAAGTACATTTGTAATTAGATATAGTATATTTTGATATTAGAAAAGAAAAGAAGTTTAAATGCTTTAATTTGATAATAACTAGATTTCTATTATAAAATTTTAGGCATTAGCAGATTTATCAATGGGTAAAAAGAAAGTAATGGTGCCTTACAGAGACTCTGTCCTTACTAAACTTCTACAGAATGCTCTTGGTGGAAACAGGTAATATTCGTTATATTGCAAAAGAAAGTATAAAACGACCGTATAATTACGTTTATAATTACGGCCATATAACCTAATATTTATTTCAGCTTGATTGTGATGTAAACATTGAACAGCTTGTTGTGAACCTCTCTTGAGTCTGCTTCCTGGAACAAACCAGTACTGGCCTCATGGTTAAATTTTTTTTCTGAGTTCTGTCTCAAACCTCATGATTTTCATTGGTCAGTGAACATTCTGTGACAGTTTTTGACCAATCAAATGCCTGAGATCTGAGTTTGAGCTATGAGAATTTCTTTATAACCTCCGACACAGCTGGAGTTATAGTTGTGGAAATTGTGACCCTAGTCTGGCTTGAAACCACAGTTCCAGTGCTGAGAGGCAGATTTCATTACCACAAAGCCACCTTTGAAAGTTTCATATTTCTATATGAAATACCTGGTAATTTAGAGACTGACACTTAAACCACAAAGCCATCTTTACACTTAAATGATTGAAATTGCTTATATTTCTGTTTTAAATAGTGCATATTAAGTTTTGATAATGATTAAAATTGTACATGTTTATTTGATATTTTCAGTAAAACTATAATGATAGCTGCACTGTCACCAGCAGATATAAACTATGATGAAACATTGGGTACGTTAAGATATGCTGACAGAGCAAAGAAGATCCAGAATAAAGCCGTCATCAACGAGAATCCCATGGACAAACTTATTAGACAACTTAAAGTAAATACTGGGCTTGTTTGAATAATTATCAACTGTTATTTTACTATCAAGCAGTGAGAATAGTCAAGCACATTATTCCACTGACAGCTCTTGATATATTTTACCTAATTTGAAAAATTTAGATATGTGAATATCTGTTTTCTTTGTACAATTGTTTGTTTAAATCTATCTTTTATATAATTATAGCCTCTGAACCATTGATTGAAAAGCTTCATAGATATAAGTTTATAAGTAAGCAGATATATGGGCAAAATTTGGTAATTTTGATGCAAGGGAAGATATGTGATTTACTGTAAGGTAACTGAAATTACCTGTTATATTAGCATGCAAATTAGCTGTATAATTATAACATATAGGAAGAGAATGAAAGGTTGAAGAAAGCAATGGAGAGTGGAGGTGTTGTCGTACAGAATGCAGCTGGCATGTCACCTGAAGGTCAGTATAATATATAACAAACCTTTCATGAACCAGGCCCAGAGCTCAATCAGTTAGAGTGTGAGATTTTATTCTTAACATTGTGGGTTCGATTCCCGGACTGGCCAACTAAACTTACTAATCAGTTTTTCGGTTGTGACTATAAATCGAAGTCCTATGTATGAGTGCTTAAACACTTGGCACGATAAAGAACCAGGAGAAGCTTCTAGAATTGGGGCATTCATTTGTATCTTGCACTATCTTCCAAAATATAAAATGACTTATACTTTTCTGGAGGACTTGCCCGTATGAGCAACCGGTGGAGAGCATAATATAAACTCAAATACAAACAGACGCTAGGCGATTCGCCTCTTTATCAGAGACATAAATTTATTACATGTTGATCAAAAGTCATGATTTGTCTTTAATTTAATTATAAATTTTATTTATACAATTTGTGAAGTTCTTAAAGTCCGGGTTTTTTTGCCTAGTAAAATTAAATATTTAATTTGATTAACAAAAATGGAATATTAAAAGAAGAGCATGATTGTTTGCTGCATCGCTTGAAAATAATAAAACAAAATCCGACTAGGGTTTGAGATATTTCACATACAGAACAATTGAAAGCAAATAATAGTAAAAAAGACAGCAAAAACAAGAGAATGAAAGGATTTAGATTCGGTATAATATAACAAATAAAACATGGCCTTTCGGGCAAAATGCAAGTTTACGGACTGGTTGGTCAAATATTGTTAAATATACATACACTTTATCTTGTTAAAACTGCTTAGCTAAATAGGAAGAGCATTAGATTTAGTAATCCAGTTGTCTTAAGTTTGATTCTTGGGCCCAGCAAAAATTTCTTATGGCAATTGATCTCAGACATTGCTTCTTGTCAAAATGTCATTTGTCTCTCACTGCTTATTCAGATATCATTTGCAATAAGTGGTCAGTCACTTACTGAGAAATTAGTAATTTCTGGTAAGTTATCCAGAGACGTGGTTAAGGTAGGATAAACAGTTAAGAAATGACCAAAAAGCATTGTGTGTTAAAACTGGCCGAAAAAAATAGAAAAACAAACAACCAATTATGTTGTTAAAATATTGTTCAGGATAGTTGGTAAGCAATATATTTTTGAAATTTTTAGAAAATTAAGTATATACCTTTAAGTATAGAATAAAGCCAATATCTAGGTATTATTGTTTGTTACAGAGATAGACAAGATGCGGAAGCAGATGGAGGATGAGATTAGAGCACAGTTAATGGCCAATCAACAGATGATTGCTGATGAAGAAACTGCTGGTGATTGGGATAACAAGGTCTGTATTGATCCCTCGATACTTCCCAGTAATACATTTTCATTAAAGTGGCCTTCAGCTTTTATTTTCTTTTTGGAAAAAAACAATTCTGTGTTGTTTTTAACTAAATATTTCAGTAATTTTATCTTGGAAAAGTGCATCATAATACTGTTAAGCCTTCCTAAAAACACCATTCTGAGAGCTATTAAGAACGTTGGTAATGTTCATTTCTAAAAATAGAAGACTGTTAGTTTAGCTTGTATAAATTGAAAAATTTATGTTTAAAACATTTCATATATAAAAAAAATTATTATTTTTACTTAAGACTGTTTATTCAGCTAATATAAATTGTAAAATTTATTTATGTTCAAAACTTTTTATGTATGAACTATACATTATTTTTGCTTTAAACTGTTTACTCAGCTTGTATAAATTGTAAAATTTATTTATGTTTAAAAATTTTCATTTATGAACTTCAGCTTGTATAAATTGTATAAATTTACGTTTTAAGTTAGCAGAGGCTAGGAGAGAGACTCAAGAGTTAGATTCGGAGGGGCGTGGCGACGTCTCACGTAGACAGAGGGAGGTACATCTTGTCAACTTGAACGAGGATCCCATGTTGTCAGGGGTAATAGTTCACTTCTTGAAACCTGGAAAAACAACGATAGGCAGAAAAGATGCCCAAGAATTACCTGATATTTGTCTCAGTGGATTAAGGTAATATTGACTTGTAAATTATTTGATATTATTTAGGTTGAGTGCTGTAATTGAAAAAAACGAAACCATCAGTGACTGGATGTTAGAATAATTGCATAAAGATAATGTTTGGTGATTGAATAAATGTAGAAATTATGTTTTTTTCTGATCAACATGAAACTTAAATAATGTAATAAAAATCTTTTAGTTCAGAAAGAGATGAAAGAATTTTTTTAAGATATTATTATATGAAATAAGACATTTAGATGCATGATTCTTCTGAAAATTATTATATTTATGCTTGTATTATCTGACGTTTTGTAGCATAGTATTCTTAGATAAGATGCAAATGTTGGAAGTTGTACTGTTAAGAATGAGTGAGGATATATTACAGAGATTTCTATGTTTTACTATTACCTCAGAATGTGCTCCTTCTTGTTTATTTGTGTCATAAAAAATCTAAAGTTTTAGAAACACATAGTATTACATAAAATTTGATTGTAACCAAAAGTGTTTATATTTTCTAAAAATAATTCATGTTCAAATAAAAACAATAAATTTCAAATAAGCTTTCCTTGTATAGGAAACTATTGTAGCAAATATAATAAAAGATAACACAATAACATTTTTTGTATAAAACAGTATACTAAAGCAGCACGCTGTCCTCACATCTAATAAAGGAAAAGTGGAGCTTGAACCTGTAGCTGGGTCCGGATCTAAAACTAAAGTTAATGGTGTTGTGGTGACAGGCAAGACAAAACTTACACACAAAGACAGACTTCTCTTTGGTATGTATGATAAAGATCCATTCTTATTGTAGATAATTTACTGTTGCGATGCAGGTATCTGCTGTTCTGTAGTAATCAGTATTATAATTATCGGCATATTTATGTGATCATAGACTGCAAATATGAATGAAGATTTCTGTAATATATTCAAATGTTTTATCTAAAAAACATGACATTGTCCACTGTTAATAAAGTACTTGGTGGGAGACAGCAATGGAATTTTTCATATTTCATTTTACATTATAAACCAACCTGATTCAAAGAAAGTCCACAAAAAATATATTGGCATACTATTTCAGGATCTAATCATAGGTGTTGTCATGAACCACAAAGTAATATATTTGCTAAAATGGCTTACTATTTCACATTCTAACTATCTGTATGTGTTCATGAACACAAAGAAATATATTTGTTTACTACATTGTATTTCAGGATCTAACCATTTTGTATGTGTTCATGAACCCAAAGAAATATATTTGTTTACTATTTCAGGATCTAACCATTTGTATGTGTTCATAAACCCAAAGAAATATATTTGTTTAATATTTCAGGATCTAACCATTTGTATGTGTTCATGAACCCAAAGAAATATAATTGCATACTAATTCAAGATCTAATCTTTTGTATGTGTTCATGAACCCAAAGAAATATAATTGCATACTATTCCAGAATCTAATCATTTGTATGTGTTCACGAACCCAAAGAAATATAATTGTTAACTATTTCAGGATCTTAACATTTGTATGTGTTAATGAGCCCAAATAAATGTAATTGTTAACTATTTTAGAATCTAATCATTTGTATGTGTTCACAAACCCAAAGAAATATAATTGTTAACTATTTCAGGATCTTAACATTTGTATGTGTTAATGAGCCCAAATAAATGTAATTGTTAACTATTTCAGGATCTAATCATTTGTATGTGTTCATGAACCCATTGAACACGGAGACAACTGAAGATTTGCCTGCAGAAATCAGCTGGGAGTTTGCCCAGAAAGAGATTGCACAAGTAAAGGGATTTGCCACAGCTACTGGGGCTGGTCTGTCTAAAGGTATCTTACATTATTAGTTATATATATTTTGACATGTTATATGGCCAAAGTTGTATGATTATTTAATCCAAATGACTAGGCAATGGTTATAAAGCAAATAATGGTTTCTATTATGGTCATATAACATGTCAAAAGTATTTTTATCATATTTATTGTGCTATACAATAATGATTCCTCTGATTGAAATAAACTTAACATATTTGTTAAAAGCTTCATGACTTGTATCATATCTATAAAGTAAATAATAGTAGCAATCATGATTTAAAAAAAAAATGACACTACCAACTGAAATACATTTTTAAGATTTCTTTAAACATTTTTTTTATATAGAATGTACATTTGAATATAGAAATCTGAACTCCAGTTTAAAAATGTATTATTTTATTAAAAACACAATGTTTCAACCAGGTATCATTATAATACAAAGCATACTCGTCTAAGTAAACACAGAAAATACAATGCAAACAAATCTTTAACTAGATTTTACTTACTTAATTCACAAATATGAAGAAATTTTAGATAATTTAAAACCACAAAACATGTATCAACAAAAAATCAAACTCTTGAAAATTTTAATTGCATGTACATAATTGTAGTCTCTGTTATGTTTTTTTATGAACATATTAAGTTAGAAATTCAATATTCTGTTTATTCGAAACTATAACATTTTTAAAATTATAAATTAGATATTTGATTAATCTTGATAATTTGCATTTTTGGTTAGAATTAACAAAAGGTTTGTATACAATGTTGATGTGATGTTATATTATATGATTGTGTGTATAACTTCATGTATAAAATATGCTTACATAACAAGATTGCTTCACAAAACACATATGCCAGTCACTGTGTGTATGAAATACTGCATTGTGCTAAAGAAATCAGTCCCAGGCAGCTCTTAAATTTGATGAAAACCTAGCTTTTAATAAGGGCCAAGTGAAATAAAAAAAGATGCTTTAATGGGCCAAGTGAAATAAAGGTATATAATGAGGGCTCATTAGAGAAATAAAATAGATACTGAGGGCCAAGTGAAGCAAAATAGATACCGAGGGCAAAATGAAAAATAAAATAGATACTGAAGACCAAGTTAAATAAAACAGACACTGAATGCTTAGCATGGTAAGAAAGATAATTAGGACTGAGTGATTTTTGTTTGCCTCTGTCTAATGTGAGGATAATCTGAGTTTAATATTTAATATGTGACACTGCCATCTAGCATCATGCAGCTTTAAGATTGTTGTAATTATATAATAATTCAAGATAAAACATTCTGATAAGTTAAATTGATCCTCCATAAATTGTTGGCTTTAATTTAATAGATTAAAGCAATGTTAGGAGTACTGATTATGTAAGACAATCTGAACAGTGTCAATTATACTATTGATAAGTTAGACAGTCTGAACAGCATAAATATAGTTGAAAAGTAAGGTAACCTGACCAGTGTCAATTAAGTATTGATAAGTAAGACAATCTGAACAGCCTCAATACTGTTGATAATTAAGACAGCCCCAAAAGGAAAGAAGAATTTGTTTTTACTTAACTCAGAATCACATGTATTATGATTTGAATATAATGGTGACAGTGCATGATGTGTATAATGTTGGAAATGATTTTGATAGATATAATTTAGATTTTGATAGTTATTGTTTTAACTAAAAGTGATTGAATTGAAAGCAAAAACCAAAGTATACATGTATTTTCATTACTTAATTTACTAATATGTTGTAAACGCTTCATTGATACATAATGATCATTTTTTGGGCTATTTCCTGTTATATATCCTAATGCCTATTCTACAAGCAGTAGCCTGTCTTTATGTATGGTCAGGCCTGTGAGGCCTAGTGTTGTTTTCTGACATAATTAAATTTTCTTTATGACATCCTTACAGTTGAAAAGTGAATTAAAATGATACAGTTACTGAAATGTTCATTTTTGGTTTCAAAGAATTACATCAGTGTACCGTAAAGTTATACTATACTGTTTTAGATCGGACAAGGCAAAAGATAATCGGTGATCTTATTTTAAGTATAATTTAGTGTTTTACACTGGACACAATAAATTTTCATGTGCATGGAGTATAATGAACTGTTTGCCATCATGGCTTGCAGCCAGTTTTGTACAAACAGTAAATAAATATGAAAAGACTGTATTTCCCCACCCACCTAACCCTTTGACTCCACCCACTATTTTATCTGCTACACCCACACTGAATATACAAGCATCCTTATAAAATATATGTGCAAACTCATGTATGGCATGAAGCAAAATACAAGCATATTTTAATGCCTGTTTGCAGAAACTAACCCAAGTAAGGATTGTATTTAAAAGGATGTACAATGTATGACACTGTTTATCCTCAAGAATTATCTGTCAGATTATTTTAAAAGCAATTTATAATATATTTGCTGAGTGGAATTGTTAAAATAACTCTATTTTCATACACTTATAGCATTAACTAAGTTATATCAAATTCAGATTTTTTTTATAAGTATTTAGAAATGAAAAATAAAATGGATCGTTATGGTCATTTTTTGAAAAATTCAAAGATTTGTTAATACGAGATGACATACATTTGTAATTGAAAATTTGATGTATTTGATTAGATCAACAGATTGCTCAAGAACAAGTTCTGGAAATTTTACCAATGGTATCAGAAGTAAATGCAGTGTCAGAAGAATTGAATAAACAGAAGTCATTTGAGGTTGTCCTAATCTCTGCAGCAGCTCAGGAAAGTACATATGGTACACAAAACAGTACATCGTAAGTTTCAGTATATATTTTTAACAATATTTTTTATGTTTTTCTCTACTTCAAGTACACCATTTATGTATATATCTGAAAATAGTTATTATTTGAAACCTTTGGTGAATTTTAAGTTTATTATCCGAATGTAAAGATGAAAGGGAACAACAAAAATACATCTTTATAAGCTGGGGTACATGTAAGTGTGCAAAGCATAGACCTTTGGATCAGCCAGCATAAGCCTAATCAGTTAGAGCGCAAGACTTGTAATCTTGACATTGTGGGTTTGTTTCCCGGGCTGGCAAACTAAAGTTATTGATCAGTATTTCGGATGATACTTTAAATCGGCATTCTGTGTATGAGTGCTCAAAACTTGGCATGCTAAAGAACTAGGAGAAGCTTCTGGAATTGAGGCATGTATCTGTATCTTGCACTATTCTCCAAAATGTAAAATGACTAATACTCTTTTGGAGGAATCCTCCATATGGGCAATCGGTGGTGAGTATAGATAAACTAAAACACACACACACAGTTATATTTACAGATGTTTATTTCAGACAAGGCTATGATCTGTGTTTCTTTCATAATAATCTAAGAATTAGATTTCTCATATTTAAACGATATGAGCCGCGTCACGACAAAACCAACATAATGGGTTTGCGACCAGCATGGATCCAGACCAGCCTGCGCATCCGCGCAGTCTGATCAGGATCCATGCTGTTCGCTTACCAACTCTATTACAAGTGGAGAAACTGATAGCGAACAGCATGGATCCTGATCAGACTGCGCAGATGCGCAGGCTGGTCTGGATCCGTGCTGGTCGCAAACGCACTATGTTGCTTTTGTCGTGACGCGGCTCATATTACTTGTATAGGTTTTTTCTCAAATTTAGATGCTTTTATCGCCATCTTAATACTTAACTGTTACAATATGATCCTCAAAAATGGCAAGTCTTTTAGATATTGTATTGCATTACTTTAATTATACATAACCTATGCATGTTTTATATTCTATACACTGACTGATTAAAATTGAGGTTTTACACTTATAATGATTTAAGTTCTTGCACTGAATTACATTTTAAGTTACTTAAATTTGCAGATTAGTTTTAGTTTACCAGTCAATGATATATAATAGTTTCTCTTTTATAATCACTTTGCTTTGCATTAAAGGAGGTATACATTTTACTTACATGTAATTTGCTTTAAAACTGACTAAGTTTACTGTTACATAAGATGTTGTTAATGTTCTGTAATATCTTTTATCGTAAGACTGACATCACAATCTTACCATAAGTCTGGTAGCTCAGGTTTGAGTCTGCTGTATGTGTACTTTAAGTCTTGGGCAAGAAATTGAAAGGTTTGCTCTGTCTGCTTAGTAATGGATAAGAATAAAAGCATATTTAAATATGATAACTCATGTGAAGGGAATATTTCTAAATATTTTCTTACCATTCCCTTTGAAGTGCTAATGCTGTGGAGTTTGCACTTTGACATGAGTAGCCGCTTGATTGACTTAGATGAAAATTAAATGCTGGCACATATTCGTAGATTTCTTTTATGAATCCCCAAAAGCACAAGACACTTTTACCTTCTCCTGTTATGTTTTCCACACTGTATTACCAGCGCCAGTGATGACAGATTGCTGCGTCAAAGCATAGAGAGTCTACAGCAAATGAAATTGTCCTTGTTGCGTAATATATAGATGTACCAGCCAAATTTTTAGTAGTATAAATCGGTAGATTTTAGATTTCTGTTATCACTGCAGCAATCTGTCATTACTGGCGCCGGTAATACGGTGTGTTCTTTGTTCAAACCAAATCATTTAATTTGTTTTTGTTTAATTTCTATAGACATATTTTTCTTACTTATTTAACAATGATTAATTTTAGGATTTAAAGTTAACTTGCCTTAAAAATGTTGCATTTTACAAAGGGCAATCAATCTGTATCTCAGAAGTTGAGAACTAATTCTTTCAATAAATTAATAATTGTTGCTTTTTTCCTTCAATTTCATTGGATACACATGTCTATATAAGTGTAATTTAAAGTTTTTTACTTAAATGATGATATAATTTATACAAGGTACATTCATATCAAAATTGTCATAATGAGAACCTTTATGATAATATATGTGGAAACTTGTGCACTCTTTGTGGCATTCAGATGGTAAATTTATAACACATTTAATGATAAAAAGAATGTTATATCTTATATTTAAAGGAGCTCCACTGAGGTAAAAAAAGCCTAAAAAATTTTTTGAATTTTTTACATAAATCAAGTGAATTACTTAAAAATTATACTATATAGAAATATACTCAGAACTAAATGGTATATTGATTTTTGTGCGATTCATACACCGATTTGAGTAAAAAGCATTGTAATGCTTTTCAGTTTTGGGTCATTTTAAACAATAAAATTTTTATCTGGACAATAAAAGGTTGGGGTGAAATGATCTGAAAATTTCAATGCACATAAGTTATTGATCCAGATGTTTATCAGAAAATATTTTCAGTCCTGCCATGTCAAAAAACCACAGTTGAGTTCCTTTAAACTATAATACCGTAGAAACATTCATTGATACTGATGTAATCATGGGTTATAGTTTATCTGTTACAATCACTATCTTGATTCTATACATCTTGAAATGCAGCGTGAATAATGTGCTCACGGCCAGGTTAGTCAGTTATTATATGTATATACTCTGAAAGCATGGTAGATACATTTTAATCTTAGAATATTCAGGATTGAAGGTCTTTTTCTAAATACTAGGATAGCATGTTTAGTTATTAAGAAACATTGCATGGGTAAACTTGATTTTTAATATATTTTTTAACAGCAAATTGTTTTAAATAACAGGAAACTACTAGAAAATTCTTCATAAATATTATAATTTTGAGGTTTGTATAACATATTAACTGCTTTTCTAGAAAAAGATGATATTATATTATGTCATAATTGTGTCATAGAAATGTTAGAATGTCAAAAAATGTTAGTACATTGTATGTCAGGAAAGTAAGTACATTGTATGTCAGGAAAGTAAGTACATTGTATGTCAGGAAAGTAAGTACATTGTATGTCAGGAAAGTAAGTACATTGTATGTCAGGAAAGTAAGTACATTGTATGTCAGGAAAGTAAGTACATTGTATGTCAGGAAAGTAAGTACATTGTATGTCAGGAAAGTAAGTACCTTGTATGTCAGGAAAGTAAGTAATAATAGCTTTAGAAAAAGGAAACTAAGTGTTTGAATGTCAGAAATTTCTTGAATGTCAGAAAAGAAAGTTCTTGGATGTTAAAAATTTCATTAAATGTAAGAAAAATAAGTTTTTAAATGTCAGAAAAGTTATTGAAGGATGGAAAAAATGAAGTTCTTAAATGTCATAAAGTTTATTGCTTGTAGTTATAATGCAAGTAAGTTCTTGAATGTCGGGAATTTTAGTTCTTGAATCTCAGAAAAGATAGTGTATGTCTGAAAATTTAATGACTGTCGAAGAAGTAAAGTTCTTAAATGTCATAAAAGTTATTGACTGCCAGTATAGCAAATTTATGAAGGTCAGAGAAGAAAGTATTTGCATGTCAGAAAAGTCTGATTTTTGAATGTCGGAAAAGTAAGTTATTGAATGTCAGAAAAGTTAAAGTTCTTGGATGTTAGAGAGATTTGCTTTTGTGTAAAATGTGCTTTAACGTTACAGCAGTGGTTAGATGACTATGACATTAATAAGAATAGATTAGAATAAGTACTAAAATATTAGAAAAATAACATCTTTCACGTTTGGAACACAGTTTTCATTGGCTGACTGGAAAATGAATGAATAGTTTATAACAATATTTTATGCTTTTAAATTGTACTCAGTAATGTTGTAAAAATGCACATTGTAACGGTTGTCATTAATATTTAACAATATAAAAATTATAAAACTGAAGTTTGAGAGTCTATAAAATTTGATACTTAAAGAAGAGAGAAAGTAAATGATTGAATGTGTTTAATTTACTATGAGGACGGAAATATAATTGCTTATCATTTGTTATGTGCCATAGAAGTAAGCTTATGCTACAGAATTAAATAAATCAAATCTTGACCTGCAAGAACCATAAGTGATTAGACTTTGCCACCAGTATAGAGCCAGCGGCCAGCCTGATGATATCAATTCTAATATAAGTCTATACATCAGGGAAAGGGTTAAATAATTTAATTTGGAAAAGAGAAAGGACTTTTATTTTGGTAGTGCAAATGTTTTGCTTTGTTAGTTCTAGTGAAGATTATGATACCAGTGTGACAAAGAATAGATGTAGGATATGTAATATAAGGGCTTCATTGTATGCATGTTTCTCTCTATAGAAAGATAAAACATAAATGCATTTGGTGTATAATTTCAAAGATCAATAATTGTTCTATTTATAGTGTTGTAACTTATCATATGCTATATAAGGAAAGAATTATGACCAAGTACAATTCAAATGTACATATATATTGTCATTCTTATCAAGTTTTGTTCATTTTCTGTTTCTATTGTTGTACATGTTGATGTTATAATAATTCTTAATTTATATTACAAGCTACTCAATATAATATTTGATACAAAATAATTCTAATTGTTGCATATGTCATAAAAAACCTTACTTTTTTTAAATGCAAATATTCAATATACTTTATTAACTTTTTTTCTTCATTGAGATAAAAGATATAAATAATTATATATTTTAGCTAAATTATTTGATCAGAAGTAAATTTAGATATATCATACTAACAATGTGCCAGCTTCAGCATCTTTTTTTCCAACATAAATTATATACATGCATACAGGTATATTATAATCCTTGTTTAAAATGTTTTTCTTTTCACAGTAAAACATTTTAATTCTGTCTTTAAATTACACGAAAAGGCTAACAATTAATGGTCAAAAGATATCTGTTATGTTATTTATTATCAGCCACATTACATGTAATGTACCACATATAATTCTTTTAGTATATATTTGAAAACAGTAAAATATATGTTTGAAATTATATTTTGACCAATAGGATTGCAGTATTTCAAATGAATCATAACACATTTACCTTGGCTTGTAAATCGTTCATAAAAATAATTTTAGGTAAGAAACACATTTTAAAGTGTTCATTATTAATAATTTACCAAATTGAATTTTCAGAAGGTCTTACAAAATTTAATTTTTGTAAATACTTTCTTAAATGAACACTGACTTTTACAAATTACAACTACATGTATCATATTGTCAAGTTAGTAATGATGATGTAATTGTAATTACAGAGTAATGGTGAAGATGAAGAATCTACTCAATGGTAACACATGGTTATGGGAACGTGGTAAATTCATGAACAGAAGATATCTTATACAGGTTACAATACAGTCTTTATAGTTTTTATTTTGAAGTCTTTAACATAGAGGATAAAGAATGAGTAAGTGGTGGCATGGCCGAGTGGTTAAGGCGTCAGACTAGTAATCTAATGATCGCTAGCCTTATGGGTTCAAACCCCGCAAGTCGTTGTTTCCTTGAGCAAGAAACTTTACACTCATTGCTCAGTACTGGTTGGTTCCAGGAACGGATTCAAAAGTGTGTCTATAAGCTTATAGCTTCCTACACAATCGAACTAAAATAAATTCTGTATAAACCAAAGAATGAGTATAGGTTTAATTATACTGAATTTATTGAATGAGGTGAATAAACTCATATAATGCCAGCCTCTGGCGAGCATTATATTGTTTTATTCAACGAGTTCAATAAATTTAGTATCGAATCTACACGAATATCATTTTCTCTTTATCACATATTCAAAAAGAGAAAGGTTTACAGTTAAAATGAATCATTTTTCATTGACATGCCTATAGTGTAATCATAACATTTGCACGCTTTAACGCTATGTTTATATATAGCGCTAATGATGTCAAAGTCTTATTTCACTAGTGAAATATTGTTTCTAATAAATGGCTTTACTAGACTCCTGTGCTGTGGTTTATGTGATAAATATATATTTGCTTTTAATTATTCTAAGCCTGTGGAAGAGATTTTACCAATGTAACCAGTGCCGATTAAATTCAGCCAGCACGTTCATGCCATCTGCTCATGGTCTGTTCTGTTTACCATTGAGTCAGTACATGTTTTGCATTATTTTGTAAAAATGATGAATGGTTTTGTCCAGATTGAAAAGTGAACAAGTTCATTTAAGTTATTTAGTAATGTCAGGGTTAATAAACCTCAAGATAATCATGGGAGAGGTCACATTCATAAGCTTTATAGCTTTCTGCCCAATCCCAAAATGTACTTTGTAAATTATTGTTCACTTGTTAATTGTTTTGTTGAACAAATATGTTTAAACCAAGATAATCATGATTTGTGAGAATTATAGAATTTCAAATCACTTTTTTTTCTACAAATTGCAATTGCTTATTTCTTTTCTTATGAATATTTTAAATTTGTTAACTGAGAGATGCTTGTGCATCTGTAAAGGTATCATGCGACATGGGAATCAAACTTGCTATCTGTAAAGTGCTCTCAACCAGTGAGCCAAGATCTGAGGTTGTATTTATAGTAATCCATGTGATCCATTAACTTTTGTTCATTTTTTATCATCTCTTTCCATTGTAAATTTAAAGCTCATTTAATTGAGTGCAAAAACTGTTATTTCCCCATGATTCTTTTGATTTTTTATGAGATAATTTTCTTTAAATTCATCATCATATATATAGACATTTTTTAATAGAATTTTCCATAAATGTCAATTTTACCATGATTTGCTTGTTATAAAGTTTAAATTTTGTTCATTTTTGTTATTTCAGGACCTTTACCAGAAATTTTTAGATGGTGAAGACATCTCAAAAATACCAAAAGAACAAGATCCATTCTGGGAACCAACCGAAGATGTTTTGATCGGCTCAGCCAATGTTTTCTTGCAATCACTTTCATACGCACTCGACTTTGATGACAAAATAACAATCACAGACTATAAGGGCCAGGAGGAAGGATTTATTAAGGTGCACGTGACCCCGTGTCAGAAAGACGGCAAACAGTTGGAGGAGGATGCATTTGTGGACGACCCACATGAACTGCTGGAAAAACCTTATCACTTTAAGGTCAGTTTTGTCCAAAATGATAAATAATTTTCCAGAAATTGGAAACTTGACCTGATCAAATGGGAATTATTTTCCGATTTGTTTTTAGTGTAACTGTAATTGATCTTGGACATCGAGTCGTATGTTCATTTTGTTTCTCTCCCCCCTGACTCAGAAATCATATGGGATTCAGTAGTTGGTCACTTGTGGAAAAATTGGTAATTACTGGTATCCAAGTAAGCCCATTAAATAGACAGACCACCAAGATAGGACCAAAAATATGTTAATGTCATCGAGCGAATCAAACTAAAAAGTGATAGAAGTGTTCTTCTGTTAGATCAGACTATGTTTTGCTAAAAATTTAAAAAAAGATGAATGATGATACGTTTCTTTGATCATTTTAGGTAACAGTGGGAAGTGCGGAAGTTTACAAGACACGTTTTTCTAAAGGAATTCAAGTGAAATATCGTGTATATAAAGACGAGAAATTAACAGAGACTCCATTAATGAAAAATACTCTCAAACCCAATATCAAACATTCTAAAGTGTTTACCTTTGGTAAAGTAACAAAAGAGCATTTAGAGTTTTTCGAATCTGGATGTATTACGTTCCTGGTGTATGGTACCCAGGAGGATGCTACGCCGGATCCTAAACTCCTAAAATATTCAACAAAAGTAAGTATTTAAGTATGGTAAAATATCTGTAGAGCATGAGCATTACATGAAATGTATTAAAAGTCTCCTTGCACTTGTTTTTATAATAAAGAATTCAACTAGAGCTTAACTTATCTTTAGGCTTACATGAAATGTATCCAAAGTCCACTGAAACCTGTTTTTATAATAAGGAATTTTACAGGAGCTTAACTAAATATTATTAGGCTAACAATAAATGTATCAAAAATCCACTTGCACTTGATATTATAATAAGGAATTCAAAAGGAGCTTAACTTTATCTTTAGGAATTGAGACAAATGGACCAGGGTGAAGCGCCATCTAGTGTTAATATGGCAAGACGGAACACACATTTTGCCCTAGAAACAGCATCTGATCAGTCCCACTTGAAAACTGAGGTTTTATTATTACAAAGAAAATATGAAAGACTGGCTTCAAAGGAAAAAAGGATGCAGGTAAAATTTTACATATAAAATGGATTTTATATACTAGTAACAAACATTAAATCTAACATATGATGCACAAAGATAACCATGACTTAATAATGAAAACAGTTTGATTTTGATTGTCTCCCTTGCATTACAAAAAAAAGAATGATCCTATGACACATGCAATATGAAGTTATCTCCCTTTTGTTACTTTTCTATTTTTGTCACATGGAACATTCTCACTTACATTACATATGGATAACTTTTTACAAGGATTTTTTTTCTGAATATGAAAACAGGTTAAATCAACAACTTAGATACATGCACAGTTACCTTGATGAAAGATAGTAATTTGTGTTTTTGTGTTGCGTTTTCTTTTTGTTAATTAGAGAAACAAGATTTTGATACATTTTTAGCTTGATTATTTGAAGAATAGGGAGAGCTACTGTATTCACCCTAGTACTGTTGTCAGTGTTGGCGTCACACTTTGGTTAAGTTTTTGTGTGCAAGTTGGTATTTCTGAAACTTGTACCTAAAAGGAATGGCTTGAAACTTAACACACTTTTTTAAGTGCATAATAGGAGGTCACTATCCAAGGCCTGTAACCCTAACTTGGATTTTGACATAATTATGATCCTTTTGGAACATATAAAATTCTACTTTATGCATGCTCTCCAGGCCTCGACACTAACTTTTTTATCAGGTGGTAAGCCGGACCACTAGATTTGAAATTAAGGTGGTCCTTCCAGAAGTCAAGTGGTCATGCAATTATTATTATTATATCAGTTTACTGTAAGTTTAGAAAAAAGTATGCTTAAAATTGATGACAAAGATGTATTATTAAGCTTTAAAGAAAACAGACATTTTAGATATATATTTTTATCTGAGAGCAAGTTAGTAGGTATTCTGTCGTGAAGTTATTTGTTGTTGTTTTTTTCATAGCTCATTCAAAAATACACAACAGGGCTCTCATTTGTGTTAACTTATATATTGAAGTGATTTCTGTCTCAACTCAAGTTAGGGAATAGTGAAACCATTTGTGTCTGGGTTTTTTTCTTAATGTTATTCCAATATACATTGCTGATACGTGGTACGTCTTATAATCATGATAATTACATGTATCTTTTATAGATTAACAATTTAATAAAAACTAATAAATTATCTTAAAACAAGGAAATATCTAAAGGATAAAAAATAAAAACAACTTTATATATAACTATAGTTTAGCTTATTTTTCTCACAGATTTATTATGAATACAGAATTTTTACCGCCCCTTGCTTGTTTGTTGATATTTATTTTTTACATTGAGTATTTTTAACCTTTTATCAAAAATTTAAAAAAAAAGTAATTTTAACTCTGGAAGAAATGGATCTCTTAGCGTTAAAAAGTTAAAATAAAGCAAATAACTTGATGTATTTCTCAAGTTCCTTTAGTTTGCTGCTATTATTCATGTATATGAAATTGAAAGTTCATACGGTATCCCATACAATATCATAATTACCATCGTCGGATACCCACGTGTGATTAACATGTAACATAACATAAATGTTAAAGGTTCCACCGTGGTAATCCGACGATGCATCATTACAAGCATCATTTGAATGCAATTTGTACCTAGCTTAATATCACAAATTCTTAACTCTTTTAACTTGCATAGACAAAATTTTAGCGACTTAAAATGAAAGTTATTGATGATTTAAGACCTTCTTTAACTTATCAGATTAATCTATTAATGAACCATATACATGTTCATAGGACAAATGGTTTTAAACAAAATATATATAACATGTTTTTGACCAAATCGCCATTCTCCCAAATGAGCCTTGCACAAACCAGAAAATTCAAGTGGTCCGACGGACCAGTGCATTTTAAGATTAGGTGGTCCTTGCCAAAATCAGGTGGTCTCGGACCAACGGTCGAGGCCTGCTCTCATTTTACTATCAGGCAAATTTTCCATTGTCTAGGGTCTAGTTTTACTATCAAGTACTGAAAAATAGTCAAGCACTTGCAGTCCTACCGACAGCTCTTGTTTGATTGGCTATTAATTTGAGCAACAACTAATTTAATTTACAATTTTCAGGACATCTGTAAAGAATGGGACAAGAAGCCCGAGTCAGAGAAACAGTTTGAACCATTTTACCGTGCCGTATCTGCTGTGGCAAATAGCACTGGCACACGTCTTAAAACACGTGTACATCTCTTAAACCAGGTAAATCATTGTGTTAACTTTAACTCTGCACTTGCATTTAAAATTATTTACTGTAAATTATGCATTAGATTTTTTTCTAAAAAGAAAGCAAACTTTGATAAAGAAAATGCTAAAATAATCATGATGTTTATGAGAACTGATTGTGATTATCATATTGATGCTATATTTAGCTGTGAAGATTGCGTTTATTTATAATTATGTTAATGATATAATTATAATACTGATATATTGTTTTGGTTTCCTTTAACAGGGACAATAGCAGTTTATGTTTTGAGGAAAAGATTATGAAGATTTTTTCTACATGTACAGTCATAGTATTTCAGATCCTTTTTTTAGAAAGCATTCCAGAAATAAGGAGAGAATACTCTGACAGATGTTTGATGCAGAAAAAACAGATTTTTATTAGTTAATTTTTGTCATCTTTTTATCTCTATCCATGTTTATTTCAGTTTTTCAGCTATGTGTTAAGTTACGAGTTATTTTACACAAAACGTAAAACAATTAACTTGATATGTTAATTTTATGATATTATTTGCAGGTTTTATATTCTATCTGTAATTTTCAGTTTGTGTCTTGTTTCAAAGCTCTGAAAGCCTGACTTTGTTTGAAGTTTTATCTGTTATGATTTTAGATGCTGAGACATTTGTTTAACGTTCCATCTGTTATGTTTTTAGATGCTGCGACTGTCGCGTAAAACTTCACAGCAGTCTTTAAATAAACCTTTAATACCACCCATAGAAAGTTCTCAGTCCATATCAGAACAAACAAATGTAAGACACATGTGCAAAGATTTGTGGCGTTAACACTATGCTTTGTTATTAACAAACTCACAGATAACCGAGGGGCGAGAATATTGTCATAACTATGTGATGTGTTCTTTTTGAAGTATTTTACGATGGAATTGTAGATGCATATCTTAATGGTCACAAAATAATAATGGTGTTCAGTGTATATGTGTGTGTGTGACGTGAAAGCTTCAGCTGTTTTCTTAATGCTTTAATTTCTGCACTCATTGTGTCAATGATATAAACTCACACACGCATATTTTGTCATTCTGTGTTATAATTTGATCTCTTCTGTGTAATTGTTAATTTCCAAAATTTCTTCTAGTCTTCACTTAAGTTATCAAAAATGAATAATCAATATAATACTTAAAACTTGGCATTTGAAATCATAATTTTGAGGTTTTTGACTGACATTTACGCCACACTTATGTATCAATTTAAGTTAGCCATTTCTATAATTGATAATTGCCTAGCTGTAGACCAATATCTAGTATATTCTTCATAAATCTGTAAAAAATGTCCATTTTGGCCACCCTACTGACTCTCTGATGACATAAATTGAAGGGTCATGGTTGACAGAGTAGATGCAAGCATAGCATTTACACATGGTAATGTTGTAAAATAATGGAAAGATTAAACGAGACTTACCTTAGGAAGTTGAAGTTTGATCGATATTTTATCAACCGCAATCACTTTTGGGATCACACAGAGAGAGGAAGCTGGCTTATCAGCAACACTGGTCAGTCTTTAGAGCCATCATCAGATCATGTCAAGTTTTTAAACATGATCTAGTGATGATAATGCATAAAGAATCAAACATATTTAACAGGGTGGGCAATTGGGTGGGTGTGTGATCCCAAAAGTGATTGCGGTTGATAAAATATCGATCAAACTTCAACTTCCTAAGGTAAGTCTCGTTTAATCTTTCCATTTTATCAACCGCATATCCCTTTTGGGGCCTCACACAGAGATTTTAGAGTTGATTCTTTAGTGCATTTAAAATTATTCAATTTTTCCTATCAATGAAAGGTAAAATTAAAAGAACTATATATGTTGTTGTTATTGTTTTTAATCTAACATCTAAGTAAGTTCTAACAATTCATATTTTCTAATCTAACTAAACATTTAATTATTACTGTTCTATGTAAAGCAAAGAAAATTGTGTTGTTATAAACATATTAGAATAACTAAGTCTTGATTCAGATTGTCAAAGTTCTTTGCTCAGTAAGATATATTTTAACACAATCATTTTTTTACTTGTTTGTATTGCCTCTTGTACTGTTTTTTCCTGAATGGTTTTATTGTAAAACTTGGCAAATGTTTCTGCCCCCTTCCATCCAGCTGTTTTTAGCGATTGTTGTTAGAGGCACCCCACGTAGTCTAGCCGCTGATGTTGAAGCCGCTCTGGTACTATGTGGCCCATATTTATTATTAATTCCTGCCTTTATTAAAATGTGTTTTACCCAACGTGAAATTGTTTGATGTGATACTGCTTTGTGTGGTTTTTGAGTGCTGATCAATAATTTTGTTTCATTTTGTCTTAAAGGTTTTGTCCTGCGGATGTATTCTTCTAAAGTGTTTACAATGCAAATTGAAGGAATGGCTTCATATTTTTGAAGCACAATATTCTGAAGGTGATTGCCAGGTTTTGTTTGTTTCAATATATGGTTTGACGGAATAATGACACTGTCACCTTGAAATTCAATGTCATTTAGCTCTAACAGGTGTAACGTTTGACATCTTTGTGCTGTTAAAAGTAAATAAATGACCGATAGTTTACATGATAATTGGAGAAGAGTTGTGTTCTGTAAACTTTCAATGTATTTGAAGACAATGTCTACATCCCATATTGTGGTGTATTTTGGCAGACTAGGTCGTTCTGCAAAAATGCCGGTCATGAATCGTTTTATTAAGTTGTTATCGCTGAAATCTAAATTGCTGCATATTTTTGTCAAATTATTAATAGCAGCTCTTGCAGTTTGAAATGCAGAGTATTTTAAACCTTGTTTATGTAATGTCAAAAAGAATTCTAGAACGGAATTACAGAGGGCCGAACGGGATTGATACGTCCCCACAAAAAGCAAACCATTTTTTAATATATGTGTTGTATTGTTTCTTGGTTGAATCTCGCCATGAGTGTAAAATGATATTGATTGCATCTGTAGGTACTCCCTGTTTTTTGAGGGATTGCCTGATAACCTGAAAAGAACCTAGTCTCATCTTTTTGAGCGGATGAAGCTTGTTTGGTTTGTGTGGTGTAGGTGAAGAATGTTTTGAGGTTGTGGCAGAAGGTAACAATTTCCGCTGATCAGTCTTGTCAGGGATGGCCACCAAACTTGTGTTGGCCAAATGGGGCATATCATAATTGCCTCGGTTTCGTCTTCTGCTATTTTCTTTAGTATTTTTGGTATTAGACTGAAAGGAGAGAATATGTAATAAAGATCATCAATCCAATTTAATGTAAATGCATCTGTTGCAATACTGTTTGTTTCAGGTAAATAAGAAACATATTTTTCTAACTTATGATTAAGTCTAGAAGCAAACAGATCTACTGACATATTTGGATACTGTTCTTTAACTTTGTCAAAAATGTGTGTTTTCAGTGTCCATTCCAAGTCATCATTGAACTTCCTTGACAGCTTATCTGCTTCATTGTTTTCAGTTCCTGCTACATGTGCTGCACTTAAAAATATATTTTTATCTATGCACCACATCCAAATTTCTCGGGCCAGATTATTTAATTCATCAGTTTTACCGCCAAATTTATTAACATAAGCACAGCTTGTGCTATTGTCCATGTAAATTCTGATATGACACTGAGTAGTGTCTTTACATAATGAAGTTAGCGCTAACTGACATGCTTTCAATTCTAAAATATTTATATGCAAGTTTTGTTCTGCCAAAGACCACTGACCATTTGTTGTAGCATTTGTGGTTTTATTTATAGCCCCATATCCTTTTTTCGAGGCATCAGAATAAATTACAAATTTAGGCTGTCCATGAGACACAAGCTTTTTGCTTGTTCGTAAATTTCTTATCCACCAATTTATTGTTGGTTTGACTGTTTCTGGAAGTTTCATGAAGTTATTAAAATTCCCTTTGGCCCTTTTAATACATTTGTCTTTGACCTTTTCTAGAGGCTTATAGAATAAAGGGGCAGTTTCAACACCTGGTTCAGCCGCTACCATTTTTCCTATAAGTTTAGCAAAAAGGCGGATTGTTAAAAACCTTTTTGAAAGAACAGAACCGCAAAGACTTATCAACTCTTCTTGCCTTTCTGGGGTTAACCTTACAGACATTGTTTCAGAACACAATATAAATCCTAAAAAATGTTATTTGTTTACATGGTATCAAAACTGATTTTATTGGATGAACTGTCAGTCCTAATGAATCCATGAGTTTTTTAACTGTGTCTGAGACATTTTTTCTGGCATTCAGCAAACGTAGATGCTTGTAGACAAGAATCATCTATGTACGCTGAACTAATATGACCTTTCCCTCTGAGAGAAGCAAATACAGGTTTCATGACTTTAGTAAAAACCCTTGGGGATGTGGTTAAACCCATAACTAAAGCGGTAAAATTGGTATTTTTGACCATTATGAATAAACCTGAAGTATTTTCTGTCTTGCATTCGAATAGGGATGGAGTAAAATGCTTCAGAAAGATCTACAGATGCGAAAAAACAATCTTTTCGCATGGAGTTGATTGCATGTTGTAATGTTTCCATTTTAAAGTGAATATTTTCCATTAAAGCTATCGTTAAATTGTTTAAGATTAAGAATAATTCTAATTTTACCATCTTTTTTCGGTCTAATAAAAATGTTTGAAATAAATTCATCTCTTTGTGTTATATTATCTACTTTTTCAATTATGTTGCAATTAAGAAATCTGTTTAATTCACACTCAATTAAATTTTGCTCCGACACATTAAATGATAATGCTTTTGGAATTGTATGTTGAAAGGGTGTTTCGGCCAATTCTACGTGATAACCTGTTATAGTTTGAAGTATCCACTTATCATTTGTAAGTGATTTCCAGTTTAAATAATAATTTCTTGTTTTTCCTGCAACAAAATTGTCAGTGGTATTTGTCAGATTTGATATGTTGTTATTTACATTTATTTTTTGTGATGTCTCGTTGTCTGTTGTGCTTTCTTTTGTTGGAAGGCCTGCCCATATGGTCTTGGTTGATGTTGATTTCGGTTTGTGCATCTG